CCTTCGCCCTTTGGATCGGAAGATGAACTGTTACGGTGAGAAGTGTGCAGAGAACGGGGTGTTTCCGACCGTGTGCTCCGACACTCTAAGAATTTCGAGAAGGAACCTTATCCGAAGCTGGGGCCCGCGATCGGTTATCGGACGATGGCATTGGGGTGTTTGGTTTCGTAAACGAGATTAGAGGTGCTGTACCTTGCACTTGATGACCGTAGCAGAGCCTTGATCCGGAGGAAGCTCCCACGGCTCTCACCCCGCGCGTAGCACGACTATTAATAGCACATCCCCCTGCGCCGTTTGTTTAGTGGTGCTCGTGGCGCATGCACTCCTCGCGGACCACTGCATAACAAACGCCTTAACCTGAGCGCCTGAAAAACCTGGACGACAAGTATCGCCGGAAGAACGCGTCAAACAGCTCAAGGCCAGCGTATCACGGTTCTCCTTTCGTTTTCGTTTGATCAACGATTCAGGTCTCTCGGTCTTTCTACACGGCTAGCGGGTTCTTCGCCGTATCTTTCTTTTGGGTTTCGTGAGGTGCCTCGAGTGCTACGGGTATACGCTTGAAGGGAACGAATTGAGAGGAGAAGGATAGCATATATAAGGATTATTCAGGATGGGTTTCGGTGATTTCACTGAGATTTGTGAGAGGGCACAGTTGCCGCTGTGTTCGTTGGTGGGTGGATCACAAGGATTGGAGGCTACGTGTTATGCGAGAAATATCGAGTTGGCGAACACCATGATCTTCCAAGTCGGTACGTCTCATCTATGCCAGCATACATCTGGGCTTTACTGATCTGATGTGCTTTTAGCTACCGATTTCGTTCATCTTGGAGCGTTGGTCATGCTCGCTATCATGATCTTCCACGTCCGACAAAAATACACCGCCGTCGGCCGAAAAGAGATCTTGCATTTCTTTTTCATGTTTATGGCGCTTACCATTCTCTCGCTTCTTCTCGATGCTGGTGTCATTCCGCCGTCGTCGCCTGCGTATGCGTACTTTGTCGCGATCCAGTGTGGACTCGCGAGTGCTACAGCCTGGTGTCTCCTCATCAATGGTTTCGTCGGGTTCCAGTTCGCTGAGGATGGTACACCTGCCTCGTTGTGGTTCTTGCGGTCGACGAGTGCGGCGAGTTTCACCTTGACGTTCGTCATCTCGCTCTTCACCTTCCAGTCCTGGGCAAGCTTCGATAACACCAAGACGATGGCGTTGTTCATCGTTCTCTACATCCTCAACGCAGTCTTCCTGGCCATCTATTCCGTCCTCCAAGTCGTCCTCGTCCTCAACACCCTTGAAGACCGCTGGCCCCTCGGCGACCTCGCCTTCGGCGTCTTCTTCCTCATCGCCGGCCAAGTCCTCCTCTACGCCTTCTCCGCCGACATCTGCGAAGGCGCCCAGCACTACATCGATGGTCTCTTCCTCGCGACACTCTGTAACCTGTTGTCTGTGATGATGGTCTACAAGTATTGGGATTCACTTACGAAGGAGGATCTGGAGTTTAGTATTTCGACGAAGGCTACGAGTTGGGAGGTGAAGGAGTTGTTGCCGGAGGATGGGTATGCGGCGCCGTATGGGAGTAATTATGGGAGTGAGTATGGGAGTACGCATGCGCTGAATACGAGGATGAGTACGGCGTATCATAATGGATACGGCTATTGAAGCACGAAGGATACAAGGTGATATAGGAAGAGGGAGAGAAGAGTAGACGCGGCGAGAAGTGCTGCGCGAGAACAATTGCAGATGAATGCTATGCTTCCCAGTCTAGGTAGGGTAATATACATGGACCTTTTTGCGTTGAGCCGGGTGCGGGCTTATCGGGCTTATCGCTGTGTGCATGTGCTCTGACGTCGCGCGCCTCGATGCCTCGAAGTGAATGAAACGTCGACAAACGAACAATTGCGATTGACAATGGCTACAATCGAATCAGTCGCATCGGATGTTCTACTGGATCAGATCCTCCCGTTACTCGAAAACGCCGATATCGCATCCCTCTCACAAACATCCCGCGCTTTCCACACCCTCACTGATGAAGAGATCCTTTGGCGAAGGAAAGTCCAGGCGGATTTCAATCTTCCACCGCAGCCAGCTAGGCAGTCGGGCTGGAAGGAGTTGTATAGGGGGTTGGCTACTGCGCGAACGTTTACTTGGGGGTACGTACCACCGATTCAACTCGTTAACAAGTGCTGAATATGGGATAGTTCAACGGGAAATGGACGTTTAGGACACTCCTGGCCGGGTCGAGTCGGTGCAGTGAGTAGACCTAAGGAAGTTCGGGAGGTTAGAGGGGAGTGTATCGTTGATATAGTCGCAGGGGGGTTTGGGTTCCATGCGTTGACGAGTAAGGGGAAGGTGTATGGATGGGGAACGGTACGGTTAAACAAACGGTCTATGGGTGTACAGGCTGATCAAATCGTATAGGTTGGTCCATTTGGTGTACACGAGCGCCCTGAGGCACGGCCGAAGAGGGTGAATTTCCCGGGGTATGTCAAGACCCGGGCGATTTCGGCGGGGAGGTCACATATGATCGCACTCGATGATGCCGGCAAGCTCTGGGAGTGGCATTCGTTCAAGGATATTGATCTTGGGACGATTGGGTTTCCGGGATTGGAGGAGAAGGAGTTCGTGAGTATCTCGGCTGGGTGGGGGTTTAGTGCGGCATTGGTGAGGAAGCATGGTATTGTGGTTTGGTGGGAGGATGATACGATGTATGATTTGAGGGCGGATTATGTTACGGTTCCGGGTACGGAGGATGTTGTTGCGATGTCTGCTGGGGCTGGGTTTCTGGTCTACTTGACTGCGTCGGGGGATGTGTACCGGGTTACCACGCACTCGGAGAGTGACTTGCTCTCGACACCACCGGTTCACCTTGAGCGGTTTTCTCAGCCACAGGCGGCGGGGTCTGCGCACTTATCCGGCAATTTCAACAGTTTTGCGGTCTTCAACACCGCTACTGGCGCCGTTCTCCTCGGGTCGAAAGATACATCTACAACACCCGACTCCGAGCCCTTGACACCGCCTGAATTACAGAGTCGAGGTGTCATCAGCGTTGCATGGGGTGACTACCATGCCCTAGCATGCTGCGAAGACGGTACCCTCCTGTCCTGGGGTAAGGAGTCGCAGTCCTGTGGATGCCTAGGTCTCGGCCCACACCTCGAAGTCAGGGAAAAGAATCTGGAGGGATATCAGCAAGACGCAGATGGGATTAAGATGACGAAAGCTACCACAGTCGATATGCCGGGGAAGGTGTTCGCTGTCGCAGCTGGTGGGTGGCATTCTGGCGCTCTTTGCGTTATGGACGATGAGTACGAATCTGAAAATGAAGACCATTCCAAGATTCTGGGAGGGACAGTGCACGTCGGCGTAAGGGGTGGTATCATGCGCCCGCCGCCGGTATGGAACCCTGGTCCGGTTATGATGCCTGGACCGGTTATCACGCAGCTTGGGGAAGGAGGCGAGATGCAGCCTGTGACAGGTGAACAGGCTCCTGAGGGCCATCCGAGTCATCATAATCTTGGGCCTCTGTTTTTGAGGAGGCCGAGGGTGTCAGGGGAAGGATTTGCGCAGGATGGACAAGGTGGTAGCGAAGGTGGCGAAGGCTCGTCCGGTGGATTGGCCGCGGAGCCTGATAATACGTGAGGAAGCTTGATAGATGCGTTGAACGATACCAGCAATACCCTTCGTATCATAAGGAGAACAAAGCTCGTTTCTAATCATACATTTTGCAGTACGCGTGGGAATAATTTCATCTCCACACTCTCTGCCTACGTCCTCCCAAAACGTGCCCCTCCCATACCTGACTGACACCCCTACGCCCCAAGCTTCGCAACACCCTCCTCGACCCACTCCACATTACTAACGAATCCCATGAAACTCTCCGCATTATCCACACACGCCGAATGATGTCCAATAGGGCTCGTCGTCGCACAGCAATCGTCGAGCATGATAACGTCGAATCCAAGGTTCATTGCATCGATGAAGGAGGACATGACGCATTGATCGGTGTTTACGCCAGTGAAGATGAGGGTGTCGATACCGCGGGAACGAAGAGTGTCTTCGAGACGGGTGCCAGGGAATCCGGAGATGCGGTATTTGTCGATGAGAATATCCTCGGGGAGCATCTCCGGCTTCAAGCTATCGTGGACGTCTGCAGACCAGGTGTCTTTAACGAGGAGTTTCCCGAGGCCATCAGGAAGTTCGCTACCGAAGCCTGTGTAAACACCAGGGTTCGCCTTGCCTTCTTTCCCATCAGCATCGGCCTGAACCGAGAATGTCGTGGGCAATGAAAAGGAGCGTAAGATGATCGGTGGCATCCCATCGCAATTCGCCGGAACACCCCAGTTAATCCATACCACAATACCACCCGCCTTCCTGACCGCCTTGCACGCCCTCGCAATCCCTGGCGACAAGTTACGACCACCATCACCCCTTCCCAACTTCTCGGACAAAAAGAAGTTCTGCATGTCAATGACGACAAGAGCGGTACGGCGGGGAGCGAGGAGGAGGGATTGGGTTGTTGTGCGGAGGGCGAGGGTGGCGGAGGGAGGACAGCGCTGACGGGTTAAGTCATAGGTTTGGGAGGAGGGGTGGTAGAGCCAGTGGTTCTCGTCTGTGCCGATTTTGAGGGTGTCTGAAGCTACCTTCGAGGTCGTGGGAGGAGGTGCAGCGGCATCGATGTCGACTTCGTGAGGCATTGTTTCGGGATCTGTAGTGACAAATTGCTTTACAGGAGTACATTTGAGATGATTCTACGATCTTATATAGCAGATCAAAGGGCCTGTTGATAGGAAGAAAGGTGCTCGCGTTCGTCGGGTAAAGGGTTGGAGGCCGTAAACGAGCGCGGGGAAGCTTCAAAGGATGCATCCTTCCCCACACTGATAGAGGCGATAACGTTAAGGCAACGGGAGATCTACGGAGAACGTCAGAAGCTTAAACGTTGATTGTCATTCAAAGCTGCCTTAGCCATTGCGAACAGCCGTTTGTGTTTTTGTCCATGATGATGCCTTCAACAATTCCATGCCATGCCGTAATAAAGACTCCTGCCCTCTCCAATGCAACGTCTATGATAATCATGATCAATCACTCTCATCAGCATCCAGACCTGAATCATGGTCTATATCCTGAAAACCAACATGATGCATACCAATCGGAACAGGTGCAATGATCGTATCATCCGGTTCCCTCTCCTCCTCGTCTCCCTCGTTCATAACCACCCCTCCCTGTTCCAAACTCGGTTCACCGACGCCAGCCCTGTCCGCATCCATTTCAAACGGCGTCATCCCCTTCGTCAAATTCTTCCAATGAAAGGGGTTCCTCCGTACCTCCCCCTCACTCTCACTATCCGTCCGCGCCCTATCTTCGACCTCGAACGACAAAGCCCCCCAATGAAACTCATCAAAGTCCTCCTCACTCTGCGTCTCGCTCTGCGACTCCGCGTTGGGTGCGATTCGTGACATTGGGATGTTGATGTAGTCGCACAAGTACTTGAGGTCCGCGTATTTCCACATATGGGCATCGCCTTCGATGAGGATGTTTTTCCAGTTTTGGTTGAAGCCAAACCAGTCGCAGATTTGTTTGAGGGCGAGTTGAATTACTTCGTCATATCGACCGCCAGGTTGGCGGGAGAGGTACCGGTAGCAGTCGATGAGATGGCGACCGAAGGTGGCAGGCTTTTTGCGTTGAAGTTTTGATTCTTCAGAATCTAGCTCTTCTCTTATAACTTTGCGTTTCGCCCATTTCTCATTCTGGCGCTCAAATTCAGTTAAAGGTTCAGCCGGAGTTTGAACTTGAGCCTCAACATCTTCGTCTTCAGCTTTGGCAACGCCTTCGCTTTGAGCTTCCGGTTCACCGTCTCCTTGACGTCCACCGTCCTGTTCATTGCCATCCTCTCTCTCTTCGCTGTCTTCCGCGTCAGATATCGACTCCGGCTTCATGTCCAAAGGCCTCGAAAGGATAACCTGCGAGTTCAACACACGGTACACCTCCGCAATAAACTCCGTGTTCTCCTTCACCTCATACGCATGCTGCGTCTCAACCCACATCTTGACTGTTTTCCACTGTTCGCGCCAAGCAGAACTAAATGTCCAATCCAAGCGGTTGAACCATTCCTCCTCCCATCTCCTCAACATTTCGTGGCCTTCCTTGCGACGGATCCTGGCACGAAGTTTGCAGTAGTCTCGGAAGAGTGGGAACGGGAAGGCTTCTTGGATTGCGTATCCGATGGCGGTCCACATGATCTCACGTAGACCGGCTTCCCAGTTCCACATCGATGGTGTCCAAGATTCGTGGTCCATGACCTGGGCCACGTCCATGCACAGTTCGCCGACAACCCATTCACCCTTGTTGTCGTAATCTGCCGGATTATGCATCTGAGAAACCACGAACGAAGCGACGTTCCCGTCGACGAATCCTTCACCCGGCTCTGCGAGTCGGGTCTGGCCACGTCGACAAAGTCTGATCATCTGTAGTTGAGCCCACTGTACCAAGTCGTCGATTAAGTAATACTTTGCACCCCTATATACCTCTAGGAGTTCATTCGCCAAAGCGATCAGGTCTGGTTTCGGCGATTTCCAGCCCCCAATGCGCGGACCGAGGTCGCTGGGTAGCCAACCATAGACGTACTCGTGAAAGTAGTGAAATGTTCGGATCGAGAACGTAACGTCTTGCACCTGGTAGAGATTCTGATTGGCATCACCAAAACTTGAGGAGAATAGTATTTCAAAGTACGGCACGCGCAGAAGGAGCACGAACTTGTGCATAGGGTAGTCAGCAAACAAGCTCCCGTCTTCGTGTCGATGAGTTGTCGTGTCAGGTAGCATACTGTAGAGATCGAGCTCCTTCGTCGGGATCTCATCCTTTGTTATGAAAAGCCGTAGCGTAATATCTGAAGTTACGTGACGGTTCCGAAGGTCCCGCCAGCCATCACTTGCGTAGGCCTGCACGACTCGCAGTTGAACACCTTCGTACTGGCGCTCATGGATCTTTACCATCTGCGATGTCGTCCCTGTAACAGCGTTCTGCCGAGTCACTAACTGTCCCCAACCACCCGGAGCTGCCGTAAACAAGAACGTTTGTCGAGACTCTTGAGTAGCACGGCTCACCACCGTCGTATACTTTCCCATGATCGCCGAATGACACCAGATCTTCTTGCCTGTTGGGGTTTCGTAGCATACATCAGCATAGAAACGTTCTGCTTCCTTCCTGAGCTGATTCAAGTCGGTCTTCCAAGCATCTAGCAAATCCATGTCGTCGATGATCTTCCACTCCTCTTCGGTAAGAAACTCGATGTCTTCAACGTCAAGTTCAGGATCCGTGGGATCGTTCCAAGTGGTTGCACCAGGAGCTTCAGCATTGCGGTCGTAAGTCATGAGATGGCCCGGTACATTGAGCTCGAAGAGGGCCGGGGGTACTGCTAAGGGATGCCGTTTACCAGAGACGATGACCCTCCGGTACATATATGGACCGTCAATAGACAGTTGCGACATCCTTTACCCGGACTTTCAGGGGTTTTGTGCGATAAATAGAAAAGAAAATGATGCAGAGGAGAATTGAGCAAGCTGAATGCGTTTCGAGAATGGTCCGTGATTGTTATTTGTATTCGGGTTGTATGCGTGACGCTGACGCAAACAAGCGGCGGGTTGCCCTGACCCAAGCCTCCTCCGCATTCGTAGGATAACAGGTAACCCGCCGCAGAGTCGAGCTGATCCGCACTCAATGCTATGGACACGACCGGTTATGCTCCAGGGACCAATAGAGGACCTCCAATTCTGCTCCTGATTCTCATATTCTTCTTCCTTACGTCTGGAGGACCGGCACAACCACCTGTAGTCACTCCGCGCGACGTCTTGGAAGCAGAAATACAGAAGGCGCGAGATATACGATGGATAGCGGGGAATAGTACGTGGGAGGGTAGAGTGCCTTCTAATCTTACCGGGGTAAGGGAACGTTGTCGTTGAGTGCTGAAAGACTACTTAGCTGACTGCTCCTTCACAGGCAAACTCCGATTTACCACCACAAGTTCAGGCAGCCCGGAATGCTCTGATCCATAACGGGAATGTAAAAGAGGCAGTATATCATGCGAATGTGTCCGGCTTCGCATACGCAGACTGGTCCAGCGTAATGCCGCCACCAGAAGTCAACGAGAACTCCACTTTACCCCCAGACTTGATCTCGTGGGATTGGTCAGCTCCAGGAAAAATGAAGCTCTACCTTGCGGAGAAGGATACAGAAAACATCAATGGAACTCAATTGATAGACGTCAGTTCGACAGTGGCCTTTCCCATGGTGACACGCTAATCGTATTTACAGGCTACGCTCGATCTTGAATCATCGTCTGAGCTTTCTTACTCCATCAAATTCAGAGGAGCACATATCCTGTCTGACGGTCTCATGGTTTTCTCCTCAGACTCCACATCAAACTTCTACGGCTACGAAGCATTACCGCACTTCATGCCGGCTGAACGTTACTTTAACGGAACGAAAGCCCTCGTCCTGGATCAACTGGACCGCAAGATCAAGTCCGATGAGCGCAGTCTCGAATTTGGTACATTAGACCTGGTGCCCGATGACGATGTGAAGAGGTGCGATTGGTTCGCCTGGGTGCAGTTGATGCCCGTGAAGGAGAGTGAAGAGCGGTTGCGACTGATCGAGCAAGAAGCGCGGCTCTCCACCGGTGCTTTGCCATTCACGGCGATCCCGCCTGTCGTTCACTCAGCTGTTGTGTATTCACCTTCGTGCAACATTGCGCTTCAGTGGAAAGATGCTCAGGGGCAGGTCATGAAGACATTCTTTGGCTCTGCTCGCTCGGTAGCATCTTTCGCCGCTCTGAATGCATTCATCCAGGTTACCCTTCTCATCCACCAGCTCGGACAGACATCAACACCGTCCCAGATGAGCAAAGTCTCCTTCTGGACAATTGCGATCATGGCAGTCATGGACGGGTACCTTTCCATCATTTACTTGTCTGTGGGAATGCTCACCGAGAGCTTATTCCTGCCCTTCGTCACAGCAGCCTTTATCACCTTCGTTCTTGTCAGCATCTTCGGGATGCGTCTACTCTTGGTCGTTTGGCAGACACAAGAACCCGAACGCCGAGCAGCACGAGCACCGCCCGTCCCTCCTCGCCCACAACCTGCCGCCGATGGCCCGCTCCCAGCGCCCGCAACCGCTGCACAACCAACCCCAACTCCGGCTCCGGTACAAGAAGAGTCAACAGGCATTGGCTCGCTCTACGCCAGATTCTACTTCCTCGTCTTCGTCCTCTTCCTCATCTCTCTCCACGTCATGTTCTCATTCCCACCAACGCTCCGCCGTTACGTCCTGAACGCCCTCATGTTCAGTCTCTACTCCTTCTGGGTGCCACAGATCTACCGTAACGCGATCCGTGGAACGAGGAAAGCTTTTGGGTGGTGGTTTGTCATTGGGATGAGTGTGGGGAGGTTGTGCATCCCGGGGTTGTACACGTACATCTTGCCTGGGAACCTCGTGTTCCTCGGTGAGGAGAGGGGGCTCTGGGGATTTGTTCTTATCGCTTGGATGCAACTACAGCTTCTGGTACTTGCATCACAGCAACTCCTTGGACCACGGTGGTTCATTCCCGGCAAGTACCTTCCGCCGGTGTACGACTACCACCCCATCCTACCACCTACAGATGAGGAAGCAAACCAACGACCAGATTGTGCGATTTGTATGGCACCGGTTGAGATACCACATAGCGCTGCAACGAGTGTGCTGAGTAGGCAGGGGTATATGGTACCGCCTTGTGGACACGTCTTCCATTCGGGGTGTCTGGAGGAATGGATGAGAGTACGGTTACAATGTCCTGTATGTCGATGTGGACTACCCCCATGTTGAGAGCACTCCTTCTTTTTGCCTCAAGACATAGCCTTCGAGCTGCTCAATGCATAGCATAGCAGATACCAAGAGACAGTCTATTCTCTGACCAAACGTAAAGGTTTCGTATCCTGTAATCAAACAATCTCCAGGGCGCTTGTATATAGTGCTGCCCCCTTCCCAAAAACATTAAGCAATAAAATATGCAATCCGCCCATCGAATCAGTTCCCACCTAATACCTTGACCACCCCGGACCGCAGCCCCCTAATCCACCAATAACCATTCGTTCATATGCGGGTAGCACGCGCGACTTAGAACGTACTCCAAACCCAGTCCTGAGGTACAGAGGGCATAGGCATCTGGTTTGCCTGGTCTTCGCTTGCCTCTGAACGCTCACTCGTCTGCCTCGAGATCGTCATGGGTCCCTCGCTCATCGTCCGCGTGGGGGTATGCCTCCTCAACTGCTCAACCTTCCCTCCTTTAGCCACCTGGTCCGCAGGCCCACCAGTCGTCCCCGCAGAGGACGGCGACGGCGTCGGCACATTCTGTGACCTCCTCCATGAATCCCACTCCCTCGCACATCTCGGACACGCCCGACTCATGACGCCCTCATCATGAAACATCGCACTCTCATCCAACCGAACCGTCGCCCTCGAGTGCTGCGCACAGAAAATGTCACCACAGCGTCGACAGTGGTGGCGGCGGTCCCATACGCCGAATTTGATGTGGCAGGTCGAGGCGGCGCATTCTTGGGCTGCGGAATCGGGTTTCCAGTGTTCACGCATTGGGGTGACGGTGGGACGGTGGCCGATGGTTTTGGAGGAGGAGTCGGAGGGGGTTGGTGAGGGTGGAGCGGTGTAGGAGCCGTAGTTTGCCATAGTTGGGAGATCGCGGAGGGTTGGTGGACGGTAGGAGGATTGTCGTAGTGCTGCGGATCGTTAGTAAGACGGACAATGACCAGCGAGGAAAGCTATGTACCTGCTGGCCTATACATCGGACTCTTTGGTGGGTTGCCTGGGTGGTTGTGTAGAGCTATCTGACTTGCTTCACGCCGCAACGGTGGTAGGGTCTCCTCTGGCTTGGTGTTGACGGTAGATGGTGAGGTCGTAGGACCTTTCATGGGACCCATCGTAGGGTTTGTAGGGCGGGTCTATATACCATGTCAACATCACATGTCGGGACGGCATCCGGCACAGCTACACAAACCTTGCGGGTAAGAGCGTAGACGTCCATTGGTTCAGATGATGCGTTATGAGGCGGGGTAGCTTGCTAATGTCTTGAACCTTATATGATTCAAGAATGTTGCCGTATGACAGGATCTGACTGCAGCTGGGTTCGGGGTTGCGTACGTATATCGACCCGGATCGCAGGTACTGACGTGAAACGGCCGACGGCGAAGCGATTTAGACGTTGAAGCGCAAAACGCGCAGACTGAAATTGATAAGTCAGCCGATATGGGTTAGATGAGATTCCTGCTGGAAATCTTTAAGGTTAAGGCGGGGGAATGCCGGGGTCTGTATGTGCAGGCTGTCGAGTTAATACAACTGGGTTCGAAGTTTCTGCGGTTCCTTCGAGAGCTTCGAGGTGGCAGCTACGCCCGCCCAACCCCATTTAGCGCTGCATCGGAGATAAGGTAGCACGCTTACTGGCTACGTAGTTGTACGTGAGGCTTATGATGATTTGAAATATTTGAATAGGGCGACTCGATGATTTCTACGGGGAGTTTGTTCGCTGTGTTTGGCTGCTGGATGGTGGGTGATGCTCAGTTCATGACGAGGCGATGTTCGCTTGGAGTTGCCTCGAATGCGAGCCAGACGCAATCCTGAGCCCTCAATATAGATGAGATTATTGGCCGGTTAGGTCCGAAAAGGATGACATGAAGATGAAGAGGACATCAGTGCAGACATTACCGAGTTCGAGTTGCAACCGAAAATTCGAACGTGGGAATTCGCAATCGCGCACCGAAACTCGATCAGGAGCATTAAGAGAACCAGTTGCAGAGGGACAACGTTGAGAAGAGGAGGTACATGTATATTATGCTAATTTCTATCTCCTTTGCCTGTCCTGCAGCCAACCCATTTCTATCTTATCACTTTTCCTATTCTACCACATCACTCGCTTAGAGAGCATTCTCCTCACGAGCAGACCTATTCTTGCGCCCAATAGCAAAGAGGGATCCAGGAGCGTGCTGAATCCAAACCTGCTCAGGAGTCAAGACACGGCCGTTCTTGAAAGTCTCAGGGACGAACAAGAAGAATCCAACGAAGAGGATACCACAGCATGCAGTGAAGACGAACCAAACGTTGGCACCGATAGCCTCCTGGATAGGCAAGAAGATCAAACCGATGACGAAGGCAGACAACCAACAGATGCTGAGACCGAGGGACTGAGCAACACCGGCGGCACGGATGTCGACGATCTCGGGGGTGATGATGAAGGGCAAGGGACCAATACCACCAGAGTAGCAGATGATAAGCATGATCAAACCGAACATGCCCAATCCCTTCTGGACCTCAGCGTTGTTGATGTTCAATCCGATACCGAGAACGATGGTGAAGATACCGTAGGATCCAATAGACCACAACTCAAGGGTACGACGACCGACACGGTTGAGGAGGACAACGGGGATGAAGGTAGCGAGAAGCTGGATAGCGGAGAGAGTGATGGAAAGAGCCTGAGCCTTGTCGGGCATTAGACGAGTCAAGATGTTGGTAGAGAAGAAGTTGACAGCGTTAATACCACACCACTGCTGACCCAACATGACGAAAAGGGTAGCAACGAAGGGCTTGCGCCACTCGCGAGCGAAGATGAACTTCCAGAAGGGAATGGCCTCGTGGGAACGGGCGGCAGTACGGGGTCCAGGGGAACCAATGCGCTCGATGTCCTCGACCTCAGTGTTGTCGTGCTTCTCGACGGAGATCTCGTTCTTGGCCTCGTGGATGATGGAGGGTGCACGGGAAACGGAGGCGGAGGCGGGCTTGGAACCCTCGGGGGTAACCATAGCAGAGTCAACGGGAGCGGACTCCTTGATAGCAGGGAACAAGGCAGCGTTGCCAGCGTGCTCGGGAAGTGGCTCATCGGCATCCTTGGCCTCCTCGTTGTGGAGCATAGCGTAGATCTCGGCCTCGATCTCAGGGTGGTCAGACGGAAGACCCCGGAGCTTACCGAGCTGGTACTTGGCCTTCTCGATGTCCTGACCGAAGGTAGCGAGCCACTTGGGAGACTCGCCGACGACAAGGGTAACACATAACTGCGTCAAGGCCAAAATGAGACCGATGAAGAAGATGATACGCCAGAGGGAGGTGGTTGACAAAGCCAAACCGAAGATGTTGACGAGCAAGATACCAGTGCAAATAGCCAACTGGGAAGCAACACCAAGGGGACCCTTCAAGTGAGCAGGAGCAGACTCGTTGAGCCAGAGAGATCCGATGACACCGGCGAAACCAGCACCGACACCGAGGATAAGACGGCCGACGACCATCATGGCGTAGTTGGTAGCGAAGGTGAAGATGAATCCACCGACGAGGAAGATGAAGGAGTAGAGAAGAGTGGACTTCTGACGACCGAAACGATCGGCGGTAGTCTGGGAAGCCAAAGCACCGATCATACCACCCAAGTTGTAGAGAGCGGTGACCATGGAGTATTGGTTGTCATTGAGAGAGATACAGTTGGGAAGGTTGAGGTGCGCGTTCACGTTGGTACCGGAGAGATCAATAGTTTGACAGCGGACGACCTTCTCGGGCGTGTTCAACGCGGCGATGTGGTAACCATACTGGAAGGTACCCAAAATGATCGAGGTGACCACAAGGAAGAAATACTGCCAAACGAACCGCAATTAGTACCCCGAAACCGCAAAAACGGGATCATTGAACTCACAGGACTCGCTCTCGAAGCACCGGCCATCGTTAAATTTCACTCAAAAAAACTTCGAAAGACTGAGCAGACGGAACTGGAGACCCCGGACGGAGGAAGAACTGGGGCAAATGCTGGCCCTAAAAGGAGATCGTCGTGGGGGGAGATGCGGATCTGGAGAAAATGAAAAAAAATCTACGAGGCCCTTATAAACCCTTGGCGGGCCATCTTCGGAAGACCGCCGAGGGTTTAGGGTGTCGTAAGTCGAGTCTTTTGGTGCGATACTAGCGGAATCGGATGATAGTTTTTCCTTAGAGACCATTAACGCCGGAACATGCGCGCAGTGCAGCGCCTCCCGCTGGAATAGAGTACGTGAATGCTACGCCATCGGAGTCGAACGGGGGTTCATTCTAATGCCAAATGGCAATTCAAGCACGGAACTGGGGCCGTAGCACACTCCTCGCACGGGGAAGGACGGAACTGGGACCCCATCTGGACCTCCACGAAGCGTTTTCCACGCCATCCTGGGGCAAGCGCACCTCAACTCAACGAATTGAACCCGCAGTAACGTTGCGCAATTGCGAAGCCTCAACAGTAACTGGACGTCCGATGGCGTCAAGGCGTCCTGGTTGTTCCGAATGTACCAGTAGACGCCATTCCCGGCTCGGACGGGTCGCATTCCTGACGCTCTTACCGAGAAGCCCCCGAATTTGGTGTACATGTGCGCTACCACAACTGCTGTACCAGCCGGCGATACACGGGAGTAACAGAGGTCGGGACCAAACGACAGAACCAATTGAAATACATTGTGCACGGCCTTATTGGCAAGAGCAGGTTCAAGATCAACAAGTATCGATTTTAGATAGTGTATCATAGCGTATCGTAGGTATATACTTCCAAAAATTAACCGAATATCCAAAGTCCAAAAGAAGGTATCACAAGAGTCCCAAAGCATACAAACAGACCAACAAGTCCAAAAACAAAAGAGGGATCGACCAGCTCTCCTCACTCGACACTTACTTTTTTTGCTTCAGCTCTTTCTCGAGTTTTCGTAGAAGGCGCGCAAAGGCTTCGGTTCATCCTCCGGCGCTAAAAAAAACATATAGCCGGTACGGATGCATCTCGGGCATGAGCCACACACAGGCCTTCTCCATAGGGTATCAAACAACACAGCACAGCAGCACGGCACTGCCTCCATTTTCCACGTATATCGTACATCTCATCTTTGTAGGAATGACCATCATCGTAAAGAGGCGAAGCGAGAAGGCTTAGTTAGCCTTCATCTGCGCCAATCCATCGACGTAGGCATCCACACTACTCCTCATCGCGGGTGTCCCGGCCAAGGACTTGATGTATCCGGCCAAGTACTCCCACACAATGCTCATCGTCTCCACGCCCGTCCCCGCGTTCGACCGACTAGCGACGATGACGGCAACGATGCGGGCAAGCAACTTGCAGTCATCGGGGTGCACAACACTCCTCAAGACATCACCGACCGCATCAGACGGCGCGGGAGGTCCGAGAGGGTAGACAGAGTGCAACCACTCGCTAATAACCATCGCCGAATCAAAGCTAACAAGTTTCACGAACAACACCGGCGCGGAGTTGTTGGATCCAGCGATCTTGTCAAACATGCACACGGCATTATTCGCATAGAACGCAGCCTTCCTCAGCGCCGTACCTCCACACTTGCCTAGGTGAAACCGTGCCTTCTCCCAATCACCACGATAGAAAGCACGCTTAGCCCTGCTCAAATCGACATACAACCTGACATACGCCAAATTGAACAGAGGGATCGCATCAGCGCTGAGAGGTCCATAGGGGTTCGTCTTCGGACACAACGAAGCATGCGGATGCCCACGCCACGCAACCTCCCACTTCCTCAACGCCGGTCCAAAGGTCCTGGTGTGGAGCGAGACGAACGTAGCGGCTTGCCACTCCTGGCTGGTGTGTGCGCGGTGGGATGCGGTGAGTTGTTGGTGAACGGCACAGATGAGGGCCAATCCACCGAACATGCTAAACCTGTACTCCGCGTCCTCGAGCGCGGGGGCACCAGAAGCGGGAAGAAGACACTCGAGGGCAGTCCCGAATAAGGAGTACTTCGTCGCGGAAGGCTGAAGAGCCCTCCACCCGTACGCAGACCCGATAGTGAACAAATCCTCATCACAAGGCATCTCCAACCCAGCCGGAAACTCCGCGTTAGGAATAACCGCGGGAAGCGAGTAAGTGAGGACAAACATCGCGCTGAGGACAAACAGCGCATACACAGTCCTCTTCCTTTCCTCCTTCTTCGCCCACGCACGCCACTGTTCCTCAACCCCCGTCTCGAAAGACCCAAGGTCACCGACAGAAGGCAACTCAGCCATTTGAGGCGAAGAGCCAGCGGCCGCGGTGGGACAGGTGAGGAGACCGATGGAACGTGCAGCGTCAACAACGGCACCGAAATCTCCAACGGCGATCTCACACTCCTCACCACCCCCACCACCCTCCATAACCCCAAACAACACGCCAAACAACCCTGCCTGAACCCCCTCCAAACCCTGTGCACCGACGTTGAGTTCCTTGGCACGTGCATACATCCTCTTCGCTTCATCCCTCGTGACGGCGGGAGAGGAAAGCGCTCCGACAGCGCAGATTGCATACTGCAGCGCGGACAAGGAAGTGTCGAGGGCTGGCATCACATGTGTCGCCGAGTGAAGGAACGGAAGACGAGGGTGTGCGTGAACCCAGTACGCACTCCAACTCGTCTCCAAAACATCCCTCGTCACTACCTCATCATCCACCGATCCGACACCGTGACCCATAGCGAGACCCTCGAGAGGTCCAAAGAGGTCCATGTCAACATCCATAGACTGCACATCAGTCTCAACCGATGCAGAAAAGTTATCATCAACAACCGATACTGGCGTCCCAACCCCCGAAAACAACATACTCCTCCACATCTCCTCCTCGGTACCCTGCTGCCCACCGGCACAGCCAGGTTTCGGCAACTCCGTCTCCCACCCGAAGCCATTGATTGCTCCTTCGAGGGTCGCGACACCCGCGGGAGGTGAAGGGTATGCCGATGCGGGACCAGACTGGAGTTGAATTCCGACGGCGGGGGTGTGGAGGGCGTGAGAGGTAGTGTTGGTGGTGGTGGGGTGCGTTGGGGGGAGAGCGAAGTAGTCGGGTGGGGGGTAAAGCATGCTCAAAGGATCCAGACCCTCTGGCTGAGGTTCCGCGATCGGCAACGGGGTCTGTTGGATCTCAGCCTCGGACTTGATGGAAGAGTCCTCGTCCATGTCGATGTCCAGTGGGTTGGGACGGGACATACATTGCCCAGCAGGTGCGCGGCCAGAACCGTCCGCAGCATGCGGGATGGTCCATGAGGAAGCGTAGTTCAAACTCATTGAGCGGTTGATATGAGGGCGGTCCTGCCCGGGGTGACCGATGAGGGTGGGAGGAGAGGTGCCGAAGATGTTGGCAGGGTCGATTGTGGTGCCATCGAAACTCCACGGTTGCGAAGAGACCGAGACAGGAGGCGAAGGCGGCATCATAGCCCCGGGGCCAACGTTGACGTTGTATGGGTAGTTGAGGTTCAAGTTCATGTTGACGGGGTGCATGCTCGCACTCGTCGATGCACGGCGCCGTTGACGCTTCTTCGGTGGTGTAGAAGAGGAAGAAATAGCAGGATTGTATTGTGCCATCGTCTTATCCTTCCCACTCAAATGGATCTTCTGCGAATGACGAAGAAGCAAATCACTGTCATCCCACGAGTTAGAACACTAGCATACATGAGGCAAGCAGAACGGGAAACGAACGATCGGGCAAATCCACGGGCACAAATCCCACATACGAATGGTTTCTCTTTGGTGTGTGATCGTTCGTGTCGCTTGAGGTGTTCGAGACGGTTGAATGCGCGTTGGCATGTTCCGCAGACAAAGTTCCGTGGCTTCACCTCACCCGTCGTAGTTGTTGCACTCGCGCTGGTGACAGACGAGAACGAGCCATCCCTCGAAGCAGGCGTATTGGCATCCGAAATCGTGAGAGCATTCACCCCCGGAGCAGCCGGCGAAGGCAGATACGAGGCAGGGGAGTTGATATACGCAGGCTCACCCGGGAAAGGGGCCCCATGCACATTCAGCATCTGCAACGTCAAATGCGGCTGCTGGTGTTGTTGCACTTGCTGTCCTTCCATCGTCGTGCTCATGGTGTATTACAGTATTGACTTTTCTGGTAGGGACATATGTCCAAGTCACGTTGGCAGGCACGCACCTTAAGTACAAGCTGATCTGGGGAGGCAGCGACCAGTTGACGGCAGCGGGTAAAGGAGCAGCACGTGTGGCGCGCTTGTGTTGTGCGTTGATTGGACTACCCCGTGGAGACCCCAGCAATTCCAAGCCACACGCACTAACAAGGATGGGTAAAGCCGTCTGGGGCAAGCAGCTGTACCCGAGTAACGATCAGCCTTCTGGGGGAGAACGGCTCAACGATGCCCCGAGCCTGGGCTGTTGGTCAGGGTTGGCAATCAATTGAGCAGGGTTCGCTCCCTTGCAATTGAGATTGGTGTGCTTACTCAGCGCAGGGATTTTTCCGAAACTCTGCGGAAATTTACTTTACGGTGGCCAGGGTTCGCCCCCAAGACCCCGTTCATCTCCCGTCTCCATCGTTACCCTTCTCGTCTCGCGAGCTCTGTGTTGTCGCGGGCGGCTCCACCCATCGTGGCCGTATCCAAGCTCAATTGATCGAGCTTACGTTATGCTTAGACACACTGCATCCCCTAAACATCTCCCAACTGCTGCAACCCTGTAACATTCCGAGAAATTCGCCACTGTAATCCAAAACATGCAAGCCAGCTGTCAACTTGCATCGCTCCAGCTGCTCCCACACCAATTCACACAGAGATCATGCGTCACAAGATCCTCCCCAGCCGTCCGCCGTCCGCCGGCGCCGAGCAGTAGCATCTGTGTCTCGCGTCCACACACCCAAAACCTTCAACAGCAAGCTAGGATAGGAGCTTTTTCTCGGGTTGTTGATTGGTGTTTTGGCCAATGCACGGCGTTCTGCCCTGAGTAAGCGCCCCGTCCATGCAGTGTGCCTTATCGGGGTTAGCGGCTCCCCGTGGGGTTGCTGGGTCACATGAACCTCCGTGCTTGAGCCGGGATGCGCGCCAGTCATATTTCTGCTACTAGGCCTCTTGCTTGCTGTACGTTACGGCGCGGTGTCTCGGATCGCATTGTGCCGGATCGACTCTCCCTGCCAAAATGTAAAGTCGCCTGAGCCCAACACAGTGAGATGAAGGGGCATGGAGAGCGAGACATAGATGCACCAATGAGGACCCTGGGACGCTGGGTGACCCTTAGCTGAGGATGCGGAATTGTCGTACAAGCAAAATGGAGGTTTAGGACTAGGACTAGGGAGATCAACCGTAGCAAGAGAAGAAAGGCAAGCCGCTTAGGTAATGGGTGCCATTACCCGCGGCCGGCGGGCGCGTATGTGGGTTGCTGGGGACGACTCGAAGGGGAAGGAATGGCGACGCCGAGAAGCTCGAGGGCAATTGATCATCATTGCAATTGCAAGTGAAGGGATTCGAGTTCTCGAGTCTCAATCACACACGGGTGACATCCAGCCAACCTCGTCGCTGAGCGCTGAGCTCGCGCGCCTACCCGACACCGATGCCAAGGGGCCCAAAGATGACAGATTTACCCCATGGGGTGACGTGTCACGTGCCCCTACCATGTACGAGCGGAAAATGCGGGATGACCTTGCGACACATACAAGGGAGATGAAAGTGACTCAATTGGCTGTGGCTATTTCCAACGGTTGTGGGCAGGACATGTTGATCGGGGAAAAAAATTTGAAGCACGTACGACTCGACGTATGCGACGAGCCGTTGCGATTGGCGTTGAGCTTGGTGGGATTGGCGGGTTTAGTGGATGTGGATTGGGTGGAATTGGGTGTCTTACGCGAGACATTGATGACGAGATGTATATCAGAATATGCCAGATGTTAGCTGCACTTGGACTATGGATGCAGGGGGAGTTGCAACTAACTGCAATTGAGAGGGAGAGGGACTGGCAACAGCTGCTCGGTGTTTCGCAGCAATCATGCTCCGAACTAGTACTGGGACTGCGACTGTGTTGGTGTTGGTGTTGACGGTGCACTTGGCAAGCGCAAGTAATGTCGGACCGTGAGTATTCAACTCAGATGTACATTGCAATTGACAGCCTACAGTTGTTATCTCGTTATAGCAGTGGACAATATTCGCAATTAAAAGTGCCGTCCGTTCCGAGAGTGTAGCGGCGCTCCGCTCAAATCAGTTATGCCTTCCTCGCCCTTCCTCAAGATCGACCCCGGCCCGTACGTGTTACCGAACACACTTCCGCCTAAGGACCCTGCAAATTGAGACCCTGCCCTTGCTTCGAAGACCTTTACAATTATCCGGTCCGTCACTCAAGCTGTTCTCCAGCGCTGGTGCTTACTGATTCTCAAGACGCCATACCGCTGAATCAATCTCTACCCTACCTCTCCTACCCTCGCGAGCTCACAACTCTTACATCAACCCCGCCACACACGGTATAGGGTTCACCCATGAACGACTTTCATCTTCAAAAAGTAACACGCGTGTCCAAAGCAGCACTTTCGATCACCCAGGTTGATTCATTTGAGGACGGGAAGGGTTGGGATTCGATAAGTTAGGTAAGCGTGAGCCCGAGTTTATGCCGTGGGACATGTGTACCGCGTACAGCCGCCTGTATGACGGCGCGGGACGGGCGCAGGGATGAGATGGGATGAAAAGGTCAGGTGAGGTCAGGTGGGCGTGGCTTAGATGGTGGCCGTGAGATCACGGGGGAAAAATTCCGTGGGGTCAGGTGCACTGGAATAACGTGATCTGGACGGCTTTGCAAGGCTTTGCAAGGCTTTGCAAGGCTTTGCAAGGCTTCCGAACGTTAGATCTGGAGAAGTCTTAGGTTTCGTTGGGGATGGTCGACAGGGCAGCAAAGCTAAAACTGTTGGTTACATCATTGTTTTGAAGGTTCCGGTTGTCATGTACGCGAGATCCCTATCTTCGGATGCGTCTTTCCGCTAGATACATCGGAACTCGTGGAACAACCGGTCCGAACGAAGAAGTAGACTCCATCCTTAGGCCTTTTCTCTCCCAACATTGTCGCTCTGGGTAACAATATCACATCACTCTTCAGAGCCTGAACCCTGTCTTGCAAAGGGTTCTCGGTCCGTGAATCGAGACTGCCCCAGACCGCGAAAAGATTCCCACGGCGCGCACGTACACCTACAATTACACGTATGGGGAAAGCACAGATACCTAACCTTGCTTTGAAACTCGAAACCGCTTTGCAAAAATATTTTGAGATGAACTTCGCCAGGCCTAGGGAAGGGTCCTTTAGATGTCAGGGACCAAGCCGAGAATCGGCGTTTGGCGGGCGTCAGTGAACCTTAATGAGCCTTTGTTTCTTTCTTTTGTTTTCGTTGATTTGTGAAAGGCCGTAGCGAGATTGCGACTCCCCGAATGCGTGAGGGGACATGTGTAGAGACTTTCAGGACCTGAAATCTGTCACTCATTCCTGGCTTTCTAACTTGGGATTCAGACATGAGCCCGCACAGAAAACTCGGAAGCTTCCAATTCCTAGCCAAGGACCCACGCGAACCCTGTCCACTCAGTCGCCAATTCCCACTCGCTCCCAAACCAAGTCCTAAATAACCCACAAGACTAAGCAAACTACACTGCCATAGCTTCCCTAGCTTCTCATCGGCCTTCTTTCCGTTGCAGCCCATATGCTCGGATAGTCAACCGCTGCCGGATTCCCGCACCCGCCACGCCGGATGAGCGGGGCGCCTTGTGGTAGGAGCTGTTTGTGCTTAATTCCCGGATGTCGGGAGTGCTAGACCTTTGACTAAGAGCTTTGAAGCGATATAGAGCTAGGGGAATGGATTTTATTGAGTGGAGGGTATGGTGGGGTGACGGGGGTGGGTTTGGTAGGGGAAAGATCCCACGCATGACAAGGTCACACATCCACCGAAATAATCAAGCAAGTAGGGAAGCTACCAGAATGCTTGAAGGGAGGACAGCAACGAGGTATAGAGCAAGTTACACTGTTGCTCATTCGATATGTCATTGTTCGGACGACAAAGTTGCCGCGTTTTGTTGTAGGACGGAGAGCTTGGTGGTGCACGGCAGTGTGAGCATGTATGAGGCAATCGTAAGGTCTAGAGAGCTCCTGGACCCTGAACGGGAGAAGGCCACGAGACAGCCTATGGCCTGCAAATGCGACTCATCTTGCCTTGTTCCGCAACATATCCTGGCGGATGTCTGTAAGCCGTTACTATAAATAGCATCACGCCGCTCCGGATCTCAAGATGACCCCGCTTAGGCATCACAGATACGCCGATCCTACCACAACCATACCTGTCCTCACCACCCCATATACCCTTCGCTACCCTTCATTGCTTGAAACCATCATCAATTGAACACCAAAGATGTCTTCGAACGATCAGATCACTTTCTATGAGCTCGTTGGGAAGGATCAGAAGCTTTACTGGAGTCCGAATACCTGGAAGGTGCGTGGATCCGGTTGGTCGCCGTCGAGATTATAACTAACAGGTTGAGCAGACGCACATGGCTCTGCACTTTAAGGGCTTGAACTTCAAGATTGAGCCTTTGACATATGTCCAGATCAGGGAGACGTTGGGCAAATTGAGGTGAGGAGAAGGCGAAGTCACGCCGAAGAGTGAGTACTGACAGCCTACTCACAGTGAACCATTTGGCAATACCCCCACAACTGAGTACACCTGCCCTGCTATCACCCACAACGGTCAGACCCTTATCGACGGCTGGCGCATCGCCAACTATCTTGATGAGCAATTCCCTAACACTCCTAAGCTCTTCCCTGAGGGTACCCTCCCTCTTCAACAATTCTACCAGACGTACATCAACACCTATGTGATCAAGCACTTCTTGTTCTTGTTGATCGACAAGGTGCCGAATATGATTTTGGATGAGCCGAGTGCGGAGTACTTTAGGCATACGAGGGAGAGTATGTTCGGGAAGAAGTTGGAGGAGATCAGTAAGAATAGGGAGGAGCATATCAAGAATATCAGGGAAGGTCTGCAACCGGTGTATGCGGTCTTGAAGGAGCAGGGAACATTGACTGGTGATGGCAATGGTATGTTCAGTGAAAGTTATCGAAGTCGAAGACTAACAGGATTCACAGTATCGTATGCCGACTTCATCACAGTCGGGTTGCTTGCTTGGACGAAGCAGGCTGATGCCGAAGCGTTCAAGGAGATTATGGGAATGTATGGAGATGACACGTTGGAGAAGTTGTACAAGAAGTGTGAGCCTTACATGGCTAAGGACACTTGCTGGTTGAATTAAGTCTAAACATATTTATCTGACCCGTTGTCTTTGTTAAAGCTTAAATCGCCGTCATACGCGCGTCGTTCTGTATGCGCTTACGTCGTCGTCGGGGCCGGTTCGAAGGTTCCTCGCCTCAACCAAACCCAACCACATTCAGTCCCTCCACCTGCCCTCAAATACCCCAAGAACTCCCTCAATCACCCTTTACACACCTAGAAGAACGCATATACGATAATGACGGACCACGTCGCCGACAGCAAGCCCAAGCTTGACCCCTCCGGCGCGACCCACCACGACGATGAGACCGCCACCGCAATCCTCCGGAGGAAGAAGAAGCCCAATCAGCTCATCGTTGACGATGCTACGAACGACGATAACTCTACTATCATGCTCAGTCCCAACGCAATGGAGACCCTTGAGCTCTTTAGGGGTGACAACGTGCTCGTGAGAGGAAAGAAGAGAAAGGAGACCTTGTTGGTTGTTCTTGTTGATGAGGAGCTGGAAGACAATATGTGCCGTGTCAACCGAGTGGTGAGGAATAACCTCCGTATCCGTCTTGGTGACATTGTTACCATTCACGCGGCACCGGATGTGAAGTACGCTGAGCGTATCTCCGTTCTCCCTATCGCCGACACCATCGAGGGTATCACTGGTAACCTTTTCGAGGTATACCTCAAGCCTTACTTCGTTGAGGCCTACCGTCCCGTCAAGAAGGGTGACCTCTTCACCGTACGTGGTGGTATGCGCCAAGTCGAGTTTAAGATTGTCGAGGTTGAGCCTGGAGACATGGGTATCGTTGCTCAGGACACCATTATTCACTGCGAAGGAGAGCCCATCAACCGTGAAGACGAGGAGGCGAACCTTAACGAGGTTGGATACGATGATCTCGGTGGTTGCCGCAAGCAGCTCGCTCAGATCCGTGAGATGGTCGAGTTGCCTCTCCGTCACCCACAACTTTTCAAGACCCTCGGTGTCAAGGCTCCCCGTGGTGTTTTAATGTACGGGCCTCCAGGTACCGGTAAGACCCTCATGGCTCGTGCCGTTGCCAACGAGACCGGTGCTTTCTTCTTCCTCATCAACGGTCCCGAGATCATGTCCAAGATGGCCGGTGAGTCCGAGTCCAACTTGAGGAAGGCTTTTGAGGAGGCCGAGAAGAACTCCCCTGCAATCATCTTCATCGACGAAATCGACTCTATCGCGCCCAAGCGTGACAAGACTAACGGTGAAGTTGAGCGTCGTGTTGTTTCGCAGTTATTGACCCTCATGGACGGTCTCAAGTCCCGTTCCAACGTCGTTGTCATGGCTGCCACCAACCGTCCCAACTCCATCGACCCTGCTCTCCGTCGTTTCGGACGTTTCGACCGTGAAGTCGACATCGGTATCCCTGACCCGACTGGCCGTCTTGAGATTCTCCGCATCCACACCAAGAACATGAAGCTTGGTGATGACGTCGACCTTGAGTCTATCGCCGCCGAGACTCACGGTTACGTTGGTGCTGATTTGGCATCCTTGTGCTCTGAGGCTGCCATGCAGCAGATTCGTGAAAAGATGGACCTCATCGACCTTGACGAGGATACCATCGACGCGGAGGTTCTCGACTCTCTTGGTGTCACCATGGACAACTTCCGTTTCGCCCTCGGTACCGGAAACCCCTCCGCCCTTCGCGAGACCGCTGTCGAGGTTCCCAACGTCAAGTGGGACGACATTGGTGGTCTTGAGAAGGTCAAGGACGAGCTCCGCGAGACTGTCCAGTACCCCGTCGAGCACCCCGAAAAGTTCCTCAAGTTCGGTATGTCTCCCTCCAAGGGTGTTCTTTTCTACGGTCCTCCTGGTACTGGTAAGACTCTCCTTGCCAAGGCCGTTGCAAACGAGTGTGCTGCGAACTTCATCTCCATCAAGGGTCCCGAGTTGTTGAGTATGTGGTTCGGAGAGTCGGAGAGCAACATTCGCGATATCTTCGACAAGGCACGTGCTGCTGCTCCTTGTGTTGTCTTCCTTGATGAGTTGGATTCTATCGCTAAGGCTCGTGGTGGATCTGTTGGTGATGCTGGAGGTGCCGGTGACCGTGTCGTCAACCAGCTTTTGACTGAGATGGATGGTATGGGAACCAAGAAGAACGTCTTCATCATTGGTGCTACTAACCGTCCTGATGTCATTGACCCTGCGTTGATGCGCCCTGGACGTTTGGACCAGTTGATCTACGTTCCCCTTCCCGACGAGGAGTCCCGTCTTGGTATCATCAAAGCGCAGCTCCGCAAGTCCCCTGTCTCCGACGATGTCGACCTTACCGTCATCGCCAAGGCCACTCACGGATTCTCCGGTGCCGACTTGTCCTTCATCGTCCAGCGTGCCGTCAAGCTCGCCATCAAGGAGTCCATCACTGCTGAGATTGAGCGTGAAAAGGCTCAGGCTGAGGCTGGTGGTGACGCTATGGACGTCGAGGCTGAGGATCCTGTTCCCGAGATCACTCGCGCTCACTTCGAGGAGGCCATGTCCTACGCTCGTCGTTCCGTGACCGATGCGGACTTGAGGCGCTATGAGATGTTCGCACAGACTCTTCAGCAGGGCCGTGGAATGACTGGATTCAAGTTCCCTGATGCTGCTCCCACTGCTGGAACGGAGGGACAGGGACAGGCTGCATTCGGAGACGCCGGTGCTGATGATGACTTGTACGCTTAGAGTGGGAGAAGAAAAGGGGTGTGTATGAGTGCATATACCTTGATGATGACGTTGACCTGAGTTCCTGTCATTGTGTCTTGTGTTTTTGTTCGTTGCTACTGTTTTGTCCGAATGGGGAGGAACTATGATATGCTACAATAAATGGTCTGATCGCTTTACTACAATTTCGACTTTGATTTTTTTCTCACATTCCATGATGTTGACTTCGACGTCGACGTCGAGCCTCGAAAGGGGCGAAGGTGGTGCCTGGGCCTGGCTTGCTACCGCACCTTCCAGGCTAAAGTATAAACTCGCGCAAAACTTCGTAGAGATCTTTACCTGACCAACAATCTCCTCAAGGCAAAATGATTATCTACACTGTACGTACTGTCTTCCTGCTGCTCGGATGGTCTGTCTCTCTTGCTCTTTTTCCTGGTTGCGCTGTCCGGGCTCCGGCGGCCTGACCAAACGGCGCGGACGAAACAGCAGTCCCTCGGCTTCCCTCGGTCAATTAGAGCGAGAATTGACATTTTTGGCTTTTAGGACGTTTTCTGTGGTGACGAGCTCCTCTCCGACGCCTACGACGTGAAGGAGATCGATGACGTTGTCTACGAGGTTGACTGTTCCATGGTTCAGGTCAAGGCCGGTGCTGATGTCGACATTGGTGCCAACGCTTCCGCTGAGGAGGCCGATGAGGCCCTCGAGGACGGTGTTGAGGTTGTCAACAACGTCGTCTACTCCCTCCGTCTTCAGTCCACCTCCTTCGACAAGAAGTCCTACATGACCTACATCAAGGGTTACATGAAGGCTGTCAAGGCTCACCTTCAGGAGAAGAACCCTGAGCGTATCGCTGCCTTCGAGAAGGGTGCCGCTACCTTCGTCAAGAAGGTTCTCGGTAACTTCAACGACTACGAGTTCTACACCGGAGAGTCCATGAACCCCGACGGTATGGTTGTTTTGTTGAACTACCGCGAGGACGGTGTTACCCCTTTCCTTACCTACTTCAAGGACGCTCTGGCCCAGACCAAGGTGTAAGTTACGTTTTTGGGTCGGTATAGCAAGGACGAATGTGGTAATCATCAAAATAATAAAAACATTGGAAAAAACAAACGCCATTGTCCCTGCCTGAGCCAACTGAAATAAACTTGCTGTATATCACCTTATGGATGATAACACCTTCGCACGCCTAAATCAATATGCCTCACCATGCAATGGTGATCCCTCGCTCGAGCTCTTCGAAAACACCTCCCGAAACCTGCTCTCACCACTCCTCCTCTCCGGCAAAGTATCAATCGTTAGCGTGCGAGTGAGGGCGGCTGGCTGAGGCGATGATCGACTCATCGCGTGATGATCTCGTGTTGGGTTGCCGAACGTATGTGTCGCACTCATCAGAATCGCTTTCGCAGGCCGGACAGGTGTAGCGGTGGCAGTCACGGAAGGAGAAACTCTGCGCGACGTACCGCCAGAAGCCTCATCTTTCACGAGGATCCCATCGTACTCCGCTGCATGACATACACAAACCATAGGAAAGGCACGAGTGTTATCTGCTCCGCCCGCTGTCGTAGCGCTCCAAGCACTCGCCCGCTTTCCCTCACCGCGGCTCGTCTTGATCCCAGTAGCCCAGCCATCATGCCAGATAGCGGTGATCGTGATCGTGTCACCTCGAACGAGGTACATCTCGTCTGCAAGATGCGGTGTATATCCCCAGAGTGCACATACTTTGCTGCCGGGCTCGATCAGCCGCTCGGAGTAATGGTCTTTCACACGGTCGAGGAGAGCGGCGGAGGTAGACGTGGAGCGCGAGGTGATTATACTTGGTTCGGACGCATTGTCCCCTTGCGGTATCGTGATAGGGAATGGTCTCTGGGTTGGCCGATGAGCAAGATCATGAGGCCCGGCCGCCGAATCCGGAGTACCACCTTGACGACCTTCACCCGGCGGACCACGACCAACGACGTGGTGATCAAGGGGATGATCGTAGTACATAGGTGAAATGGGGTAGACGTCGCTAGTGACGAGTGAGCCATTCTTATTTTGGGAATCTTGAGGTACCGGAACGTACCCTCTTGCGGGCTTTTCGGCGCTTTCGTCCATGTCTTTCTGATCTCGGTGCTTGAGCAGTCTTTTAATGCAACAGAACGCTATCAGGCCAACCACAAGCGCAGTGAATGCTGCACAACCCAGAACAATCCCTACGATCTTTCCCGAGGTCATGTTTGTAGGCCAAGTATCGAGGCTTTTGTTTGATGCTGCTTCTGTAGACGGAACAGCACTTGCCGATGCTGAAGCGAGAAGAGGTGTGCTTGACGTTGCCGTAGCTTGATATCCTCCGCATGAGCTCAAATCCATACCGTTGCAACATGCAATGGCATTGCTGCTTCCACTCAGGCAGAACTGACATAGTTGTGCCGTATTAGTCCCAAACCCGCAGTTATCCGGTTCATTCTCAAGGCCTTCGATACAACGTAAAGACGGCAATGAATTTGCCGGAGTAGAGCACACTACGAAATCAGCGCGGATAAGAGGAAGTACAGAACTCGTTGAACTAGACGGGCATAAAGTCGAGTTAACCACGATCGACTCCTCCGATGTCGCCCATTGAGCGCATGTATCCACACAAACTGGCTGGCTGTAGTCCGAATAAGCTTTGTTTCGTCAAACCTTTGCTAAACTTCAAGCTACCTGAGGTCCTCAGACAACTGGCACGGCTCCAAACTCTCCTGCACAATACTGGCACACATCACCGTCCTCGTCCACCTCGCACAAAACACATCCGTCACATTTCCAATCTCCGGACCCGAACTGGAGCAATTGAACAGCACGTCGTATTTCTGCCGTACGTGATCACCATTAAGATAGGTTTGCAGCTGGTCGTCGAACTCGCTGACGGTGGTAATGTTATTGAGAAAGGGGCTATAGGACAATCTGTCAGCATACACTCCCGGCAACAGGGTTCCAAGGGGGGCTAGACAGACAATTTATCACTTTGCTGAACTGCGACGAAGGATTCGTTGAATGCTGGACATAGCCGTGACCCCGTGAGAGAGATACATGCTGGAAGTGTTTGCGCCATGCTTTGAATGTCGTATGACAGGGAGAGTAGAAGGTAGTAAAGATAGTGAAGCGAACGTCTAGACATCGTCTTGGCACCCCTTCGCCGGATATATGCTGTTCAATTGTTGTCGTGTCTGGAGGAGACGCTCGCGCAAAGTGCACCGGCCTCCTTGGCTGTGGACAGCGTGGGAACTTCACCCTGAGTCGGGCAACAACGGAAGTGGAGAGTGCATTCCAGGCCAGAGAGAATTCCATCTCTATTAGCTGAAAGTACCCATGCCCATGTCATAGGCACCCCAGTCGCTATATCTATACGTCCAAACCTCACGCGAAACTCCCAGAAAAACAATTCCCAGACAGATCACAAGACCCCGTACCCAACATCAGCAGACGCATTGATCGTATATGTAAAGCGTCCTGCTCCGTCTCTTCCCCCCCTCACTTGTAGTTCCTTTCTCCAAGGGGGTCAAAGTGTTCCTCACTAACACTGCTATGACTTCCCCCCCTCACCCTCCTTCCTCTCCTTCTCCTTCTCCACACCCCCTTGCGCCCCCATGATATAACTCATAATGTCACTCAAAGTAACAATCCCAATCAACACCCCCCCTTCCTCTCCTTCCCCTTCGCTTACGACAATCAACCGATGCAACCTCTGCCTCCGAATCGTCTCGAATATCGCCGCGAGCGTATCATGCTCTGTACAAGTGTGTACACCGGCGAATTCGGTCCCCCATTCGGATCGGCGCGCGATGGCTTCTGCAACGGAGAGTTCGAGGTCGTGGTAGTCTCCGGCGCGGATCAGGGCGAGGGCGTCGACGGCTTCGTAGACGTTTAGAACGTGGCCTAGAAAATTAAAGCGTTAGCAAGCTCTCTAAAAAGCTAATGTTTCGCTTTTGCTAACCCTACCCCCTAAGAGGAGGAAAGGGAGAGAAGGGATGGGAGCATACCTTCGGTGTCGACGATAGGCAGAGCAGCAATTTCGCGTCGAACGAGTTGTTGAATGACATCATGTACAGGCGTTTCCATAGTCGCCGTCGCTAAATCGTGATACCGCCCAATACCCAGTTCCTTCAACGTTCCTCCCAACATTCTCGTTTCTTTGCACTAGAACCACCCGCACATCAGCACTGTCTCACAAGCATCTGGGAGCGAGTGAGGGTGCGACTTACGTTCAACGCGATAAACTTCAAAATTCGATACTGTGTCAACACCGACAACACGGTTTCTTTCCCCGTCTCGTCATCATAGTCGATGAGCGGGATTCTTCTAGCGTGAGTTTTCGACATCATTTGACATGCTTTGTACAAACTCTTCATCGGATTCACCGACAATGTTTCAGGACTTGGTGCTCCTATCCGTTTCTCAACGTCTGGTGCAAGTGTTAGCGAGCCGCTCAAATCACATTCTTCAAGGATTAGGTCATACCGCGTAAGCCGTCTAGGCGGAAGCTTTCAATCTCGGAAAGTGCTTGCGGATAAGACGTATTCTGATAATAATACTGAATCACGTTCAGAAAATCCGACGCGGTTAACAACCCTGCGAATTTGGATTTGCTGCTATCCCATAATGGCGCCGACACGATATCTGTTCCCATACTACATCAGACATTTTGTGAGTAGTAGATGTAAGTGTGCACGTACTGTTTTGCATGAGAATCGCGAGAGCTTTCTTGACGAGGAGTGCGGTGTCTAGTACGATGAGACGGAAGCTGACGGGGAGGACGTCGTAGGTGTTGCGGGCTTTGATGAAGGACCTGATTGCTTCCTGTATGCAAAACGTGAGCGTTGGGTCTTTTGATGTTAGTGAGGAGATTCAAGCGTACCAGTCCAGCTTGCCCATCCCTCATGCTATCGGAAGGGTGCGGTCGATCCGTCATACTCAGCAACGTTCACCCTATGTTTCTTCAAGTGCTCGTACTGATCGCGATCCAAACAGTAACTAACAAACAAATGTTCTTCCTTGAAATGTCGTCAAGATTACCTCTCAGTCCTTGGGCTTTCCAACTGTTGGTGTAGCGTTGATGCTGCTGAATCGGCAGCGTGGGGTGATCGCCTACTAGTAACCCTCGTCAGTGCTAGCCGCTCCAGGACGTACGAGAGTGGACGTAAGGCATATCTACGTTACATCCGATCCGTCCTCGACTCCAAAACTCCAAAGTTATCCACTTTATTCACACCATGAGAATGCCCCGATCTGCAACAACCCTCTTCCGCTCTTGTCAATTGCAACGGAGATGGAACAGTACGAGTAGCTCATTGCCTCCACCCCCTCCAACAACAGCCTTCACAAACCTCTCCTCCAAACGCAAACTCATCGCGCTCTGGGGTCCCGACGCATCCAAATTCCTCAACGGATTAACCACAAACCATCTCCCACCCGCTGGCTCGACAGAGGGGCTGTACAACGGGTTTCTGACTCCACAGGTATGTTTTCTCTTCCCCTCCAACCCGGTGAAATGGAAGCTAATTCAAAGTGCCAGGGTCGGGTGTTGTACGACACCTTCATCTACCCCGCCACTCACTCCTCCCACTGGACCAACATTGCCAACAGCACAGATCAAGCATACTTTATCGAAGTCGACGCAGACGCACACGCGGATTTACAGCTCCATCTCAAACGCTACAAACTTCGCGCGAAATGCAAGATCCGCTCACTCGAGGATCAATTCACCATTTACTCCGCCTGGGGGCTACCCACCGCCCCATCCTACTCAGTCGGGTGTCTGGATCCACGAGCTCCGAAGATGGGTCAGCGATTGGTCCTCCCAGCCGAGGTTAAACCAGAGATCGACGCAGAGGAGGCTTCGGTCGAGCAGTATACGCTGCGTCGATACATGCAAGGCGTACCGGAGGGTGTATCCGAAATCTTTTCAGGAAGTGCGTTACCGTTGGAGAGCTGCATGGACTACATGTCCGGCGTCGATTTTCGGAAAGGGTGTTATGTGGGACAGGAGTTGACGGTGAGGACGTACCACACTGGCGTCACCAGAAAACGTATACTCCCCGTGCAGTTGTACAACCTTGACCAGCACGAGGCCATTCCTACCTCCCTGACGTACCACCAAATGACGACACTGCCGACACCGCCCAGTCAAGCAAACTTGACCCGACCGGGCAAGAAGGGCCGAAGCGCAGGCAAATTCTGCGGGGGAATCGGTAATATCGGACTTGCGCTCGCACGACTCGAGATTGTTGGCGCGACGGATACTAAGGATGCGGAGAGTGTGGAGGATAAGTTGGTGGTTGAGTGGGAGGAGGAGGCTGCGCAGGAGGATGGGGAGAAGGAGAAGAGAAGCATTGGGATGAGGGCGTTTGTGCCGGAGTGGTGGCCGAGGGAAGGTTCCCAGGAGTAGGTCAAAAGACTTAAGGAACAACCCATTCCTTAGGGACTCCGCATAAAGATATATAAAAATAAGGTTCTAAAGAAAGAAGAAGCCTCCTCCCTCTAAAAAATGGATGGCAAAAGAGCTTCTTTCCTGTGCATTAGCAGATGGAAGTACTTCACCTAGGTATGAAGGACTGAGGGAACATTTGAGGAGGCACAATGGGCATTTTGGTAGTACCGTCACAACAGTGCAAAACGAAACAACAGTTCAATCAAGACAATTCCCAAAAAGATACTCAGATCCAACGAAGGCACCGTCGCAGGCGCGACATTCCAGAAAAGACAAAAAGTGCATCAACCATATTTCAACCCCAACCCTCCTTCCCATCCACAATCCAGACGGTGTAAAATACTATACTTTGCTATGCTTTACTGGCAGGCCCAGTGACAAGCGCAGGCCCATTTTCGGGAACCTGAGCTGACAACCTCTCAGACTCTTCCACCAACTGCTGCGTCAAAGTACCACCTTGCCGAGGAGGCTGAGCTTGATTCAGCTGTTGCGGTACGACTGCGGCCTGCTCACCCTGTACCAGCGGCTGCGGCTGCGGCTGCTCCGCTGCCGGCGACAACGCCGACGCCTGAGGTTCCACCCAATTCAATCTCACGACCATGCAACTGTATTAACACATTAGTTTTCGACCTGTGCAAAGTTCATTCTGTGGTTCATACCTGAGGTTATCAGTACTAAACCGACTCAACGCATGCTCAACCAACACCCGACTCGCCTCCTGCGGATCAGGAACTCCGCGAACCAACTCAACCGCTTCCTGATCACTACAAACATCCCACAACCCATCACACGCTAAAATAATGAACTCATCCTCCCTTGCTATCAGGACCGTTTCGGTGGTATAGGGATGTCCCGTGACCAGATCTTTGAGGTAGGAGTCCCCGAGGGCACGGGTTACGGCTAGGACGCCGTTGACGCGGTTGTTTAGCATTAGGCCGCCCGCGTCGGAGACTCGTTTGGATTCGTAGAGGTCGGAGCCTTTGTGGTCGTAGGAGAGGCGGAGAGCTTGACCGCCGCGGGCGAGGACGACGCGGGCGTCTCCGGCGTTTGCGGTGTAGAGGACACGACGGCGTTCGGGTCTTGGTGCTTCTTCGGTTGAGCCAACAGTGAGGCTGGGGTTGTTCACTGCTTCCCGTGCAGCCACCTTCTCGGTTAATTCGTCGATGGGAACAGGACTTGCGGTGTTTCCCCTGCCGGCGGGATTTGAGGGTCGTCGCATGATTCTGTCTTCCCATCGGAGGAGAGCGGTGACGGCCGTACAGCCACTGTTTTTGCAGATCTTTTCGAGGCTTTTGTCGACGCTTGTGAATGTTCTATCTAGAAGGTCCGGGATAGGGGTGGATTGATTTTGTGCGATCATATCAGCGAGAACTTTGTGGAAGTTGCTGCCACACCAGTCGGCGGCTTGTTTACCGGCGTGACCGTCAAAGATGGCAAAGTAGCCCTGATCTGGGACGGAAGCATAGTCGTAAATGTATGCGTGTGTATCCTGTAATGCGAGTTATCAGGGACAACGATCAAAGACAATTGCAATCGCTGCGCACCTCCATCGTTCGCCTGCACTTTCTGTTCTTGTCTTCTGCCACACCAACTCTGAATGTACTCGTCGACGTTGGCTGACCCGCAGCCTCACCGGCCGAGTTTATGACCTCATCGTCGCTGGACTTCTTCTTCGTCTTCTTGCCGTCCGAGTTGCCCGTGCTATCTCCACTCCGCGTACTCGTCGGGCTGCTTCCAAACTTGTCCGCGCTCGAATTAGACGACGAGAAGGGGTTCATGCGAGCGATGGTCGCAGAGAGCGAAGGCCGTCGACGGCCAGACATGGATGAATCGCGGGACTTGAAGCGTTGTAAAGACACTTTTGTAGGATGTATGCGGTGTAATCTGTAGATGAATATGTACTGCTGGTCAAAGCAAGCCGATTGAGTCAACGCCAGTGGTTATACAGGGTTCCAAGGTGGTGGTGTAGTGTTGCGCTCGGCTGGCACCAGACTGACCCCATTGGCTGCACTTGCCTAGACCGAATGTGTAAGCCTGCGTGATGTGCAGTTTCGACCCGCATGTCCGGGGTACCGGTATATGAAGGCGGTGGGCTCCGATGGCAAATGGCGGGGTGTACGTGCATGCTTTCTCGAGGAGGGTTGTTTTATAATAAGAACTGGCTGTTACTACTGCTGCCTCTCCATAACCTCCATGGCAACCTCACTCCCTTGCTCGTCTGTAGCGACGGCTTAAAGATATCAAAGTTAACGCTCTCCAACTCCTCCAACCATAGCGTCGTCGGAATCATGTTCAAAAATACCGACCTCGAGTCCCTGTTCACCAATGCGGGGTCCAGCTCCTTGATCATCTGTCTCGTGGTAATAAGGTGATCATTCGCCCTCGTCGCTACCTCAAACACAGCTTCCTGTAGCTTACCCAGGGTCTCCTCGTTTGGCTGTCCTCTCAGCAGATCCTCTTCGATGATATCATGTCTCGCCGCGATATCCACTGGCAGCGTAACCTGTCCCTTCGCAATACTATGCGGAATCCCACGCAGATGCGTCGCCAGTCCACCTGACTTGCCAATATGCGATACGATATGATCCAATTTCAACTCTCTCAATCCAAGTGCTTCCAGTTGTAAATACAGGAGCGGACTGTAGATATTCTCTGCCCTCGTCTCCAGCGCATCCAGGTTCGCTGGCGCCGGTGCTTGAATAAGCACGTTCTCCCTCTCCTTGATCATCCTGTTGAAGAAACTCCTTGACATTTGCGTCGTTTGTAATGCATGTGCCAGCAAGATTGCCACTGGCTGGTCCGGTGGTACCCCGTTGAATGCCTTCTCTACCACCTCTCTCCAGAACTTATATCTCATCCCTCCCACTGCCATTTGGGATACCTGATCCGGAATGATTGCCAAATCAATATTTAACGCACGGATCGCCAGATGAGCATCTCTTGCTCGTGGCGGGATAAAGGCGTGGATGAGATGAGAGGGATAGTCGTACTTCTGCAACAACGCCCGGCAGTGCTGGCGAGCGGTCTCCACGCTCGGACCCGTCGAGGAGGCATATGTCCGCTTCTGAACCGTAGATAACACACTTCTTGACTGTCGCGACATCCTTATGGTTTTGTGGAGAAACGTTAGGTGTGGCGCCAAAGAAGCTTCTTGCATTTCTATTTTTATCACATGCGACGTAATCACACAAAAAAGCTCAAACGACCGATCAACGCACAAAATTGAGCAGAAGACCAGTGATCCGTGACCAAGATGCCTGTGATTCCTCCTCAACAGCTGGTAGCGCTACAGAGTACTCCAGAGAATATCCGCAACATCTGTATTCTCGCACATGTCGACCACGGAAAGACCTCACTCTCGGATGGCCTGCTCTCCTCGAACGGAATTATCTCGCCAAAGTTGGCTGGTCAGGTCAGATACCTAGATTCAAGAGAAGATGAACAGCTACGTGGTATTACTATGCAATCGTCGGCTATCTCCCTTTTCTTCCGCACCCTCAAGGCTCCTCCACCAGAAATGCCCGATGCACCCCCAACTGCGACTGATCACCTTATCAACTTGATCGATTCGCCAGGACACATCGACTTCTCATCTGAAGTCTCCACCGCATCCCGTCTCTGCGATGGTGCGCTCGTTTTAGTTGATGTCGTCGAAGGAGTTTGCTCACAGACTATTACCGTCCTTCGACAAGCATGGTTGGAGAAGATTCGGCCTGTGTTGGTGCTGAACAAGCTCGACAGACTGTTTACCGAGTTGAGACTGAGCAGTGCCGAGGCTGCGGCACATTTGAATAAGGTTGTGGAGCAGGTTAATGCCGTTATGGGATCTTTCTTCGCTGGTGAGCGTATGGAGGAGGACATGAAGTGGCGCGAGGGAAAGGAGCGACGGAAGGCTGCGGGAGAGTTGACAGAGGAAGAGTTCGAGGAAAAAGACGATGAAGACATTTACTTCGAGCCATCCAAGGGCAACGTGATCTTCGCCTCCGCTATCGACGGATGGGCATTCCGTCTCTCCCAGTTCGCGCAGCTGTACGCACCCAAGCTCGGTGTCAAGCCCGAAAACTTGCAAAAGGTTTTGTGGGGCGACTACTATCTTGATCCTAAGACCAAGCGTGTCTTGCAGGCGCGACACTTGAAGGGCAGGAACTTGAAGCCGATGTTTGTGCAGTTCGTTATGGACAATGTGCACGCCGTTTATCAAAACACAGTAGTGGAGCGTGATACTGAGATGGTTGAGAAGATCGTCAAAGCCCTCGGCGTGAAGATTTTGCCTCGCGATCTCAGGGCGAAGGATGCGCGTATTACTCTTACCTCGATCATGTCTCAGTGGCTTCCGTTGTCGACTGCTGTTCTTCTGGCTGTTATTCTGGAGCTTCCGTCTCCTCTCGCTGCCCAATCTGCTCGTATCCAGTCCATGCTTGAGGAAGCACCTGGAGCTGAGGCGATCGACCAGGAAGTGAAGCAGAGTATGCTTGCGTGTAATGCCAACGGACCCGTCATGGCATATGTCAGTAAGATGGTTGCTGTGCCTGAAGATGAGTTGCCAAGGAACAAGAGGAGACAGCTGACGGCCGATGAAATGAGAGAGCAAGGATTGCTGCAAAGGGAACAGCGCGAACGACAGGTTAGGGAGGCTCGTGAAAGGGCGGAGAGGGCCGAGGCCGAGGCAAACGGTGTACCGCTTGAGGAAGCTATGCAGAAGGCTTCATTGACCGATGCGCCAACTGAAGCACAGGTAGCAGAGGGTGAAGATGCGGTGGAGATGCCCGAAGAGGAGGAGTTCGTGGACGAGAAGAAGGAACACATGATTGGTTTCTCACGCATCTACTCTGGAACCGTTGCCGTCGGCGACGAGTTGCTTGTCATGGGACCAAAGTACAACCCTGCACAGCCCGACCGTCATGTCTCACGCGTCACGATCACGGACCTTTACCTCCTGATGGGACGTGAGCTTGTCGCCTTGGACAAAGTTCCTGCCGGTAATGTCTTTGGTGTCGGTGGTTTGGAGGGTAAAGTTTTGAAGAACGGTACCATCTGCTCTGTTCAAGGTGGTGGTGTGAACTTAGCTGGTGTGAACATGGGTTCTGCGCCTATCGTCCGGGTTGCCCTCGAGCCTGCGGACCCTAGGGACATGCCTAAACTTGTGGACGGACTGAAGCTGTTGAACCAGGCCGATCCTTGCGTTGAGGTATTGGTTCAGGATACCGGTGAGCATGTCATTCTTACTGCCGGTGAGTTGCATCTGGAGCGGTGCCTGAAGGACTTGAGGGAGAGGTTTGCAAAGGTTGAAATCTACTCTTCGAAACCAATTGTGCCGTTCAAGGAGACGATTGTCAAAGCACCTGAGATGGCGCCTCTGAAAGAGGGTGTTGAGAAGAGGGGCGAGGCTGTGACAACCATCTCTTCCGAGAAGGTCGGTGTTAAGATCAGAACAAGGCCGTTGCCTGCCGCTGTTACCGAATACTTGGTCAAGAACGCTGCTTCTTTCCAGAGAATGTTCAAACATGAGCAGCAGCAAGTGAGTGTAGGTGAGACTACGACAGCCCTGGATGGTGACATTGTGGAGGACGAAGAAACCCTTCAGACCGAGAAGTACCTCAGCAAGGAGGACTTGAAAGCGGGTCTTGAAGAGGCTTTCGCGGACAAAGAGAACGACGACAAGTTTGAGTGGAAGGGTATCGTCGACAAGATCGTTGCTTTCGGCCCTAAGCGCATCGGACCTAACCTCTTGGTTGACTCGACCAGTGAGAATTGGATGAGGAAGGCGTTCCACGGCGACTCTGAGGAAGACAGGGCCCGCCAGTCCGGTGCTCTGACTGCACGCGACTTCGAGGATTACCTCTACACTGGTTTCCAGATTGCCACACTTAGGGGTCCTCTTTGTCATGAGCCCATGCAGGGTATTGTATGTTACGTTGAAGACGTAACCGTCGAGGACGAGGTCGATGAAAATGGCACAAGCGTATTGAGATCGCAGATGGGTCAAATCTCTGGCCAGTTCATGACGGTCGTGCGTGACGCCATCAGACAAGGTTTCTTGCAATGGTCACCACGCCTTCTGCTTGCCATGTACTCTGTCGACATTCAGGCATCCACCGATGTGTTAGGCAAGGTTTACGGAGTCGTAGCCAGGCGACGAGGAAGGATCGTTGCGGAGGAGATGAAGGAGGGCACGCCTTTCTTCACCATCAAGGCCGTCTTCCCTGTTGTTGAGTCTTTCGGTTTCTCCGATGATATCCGCAAGAAGACCTCCGGTGCAGCAAGTCCGCAGCTTATTTTCAATGGTTTCGAGATGCTCGATATCGACCCATTCTGGGTGCCGACCACGGAGGAGGAATTGGAGGATCTAGGAGAACTTGCTGAACGTGAGAACGTAGCAAAGAACTACATGGATGCTGTAAGGAGGAGGAAGGGGTTGTTCGTGGAACGGAGGCTGGTCAAGGGAGCTGAGAAGCAGCGTACCCTCAAGCGTTGAGAGATGTCTCGTTTACCCTCGGATCTGGGGGCGGATGAGAATGTTTTCGCATTTACAGCATATTCAATAATAATGGCACACACTGCGTTTCTTTTGTGCGATCTCATTTCTGTGTAAAGTGGTCTATCAATCAAGGAACCAACTCATGCCTCCTCTATGACCTTGCCTTCACCTTCAATATAGTCCTCGCGACTCCCTGGGTAGAAACATCATCAACAACCCCTGACCTCAACAGATTCCTTGCCTCTACCGCCCGCTTAAACTCATCAACACCCCCTCCAACCCCAAAATAAACCTTCTTTGCAGCAACCAAAGCCTGCGAGCCCGCCGCACAGCATCCATGCAAAACATCCATGAAAGCTGGTAAGGAATTAGGGGAATAAATTGTTTCTGACGCCAAGAGGATAGTAGGAGCAGGGTTCATATACTCGAGCATTTCTACGCCCCAGCCGCCGCTTAGAAGGGTGATTTGGATGTTCTTTGTCTTGAGGTCATTCAGGAATGCTGTTTTGTCCTCATCTGTAACGTCAATTTCACCGTCACCTTCCCATTCCTCGGCACCCACGCGCGATAGTGCCCAGGCCAGGTAAACATTCGGCACCGTAACATGCTGCAAAACCGACGCATTGTAATCCTGCAATGTCAGTGCCAGCGCGTGACCCTTAAGGAGTGCCTGATGCAACAAATGCATACTCGGCAATGCTGACCCACATCCAAGCTCAGCAACTCTCTCTGGGCACGTCAGTGTGCCAGCACCAATCTCCATCGAAAGATACCGCGATAGGTCGATGGAACACTCCCAAGTTTTGAACCCGCCTTCGTATACACCGGGAATGACATCGTCGACACCATTGAGTGCTTCCTTCGTTCGCTCATCCTCTTCTTTGACATCATCCAGATTTTCCTCGTGCATGAGCTGTAGCTTGATATCCCAAAGCTCACGTTTTGGGATTCGTGCAGACGTGTTGGGGATGTTGAGGGTGGAGTAATTGAGCTTATGCGGTAATCTTGACACAAACTGCGTCAGATCATGGACACAGGGTGTGAGTGAAGGGACGGTCAACGCAGGGCATTCAAGGGAGAGCGAGGATGTGGCTGAAGCTAGTTGCTCATTCTCGTCAATCTCAATGTCCTCGTCGGCGAAGTTGAAGGTGAAGGTGGAGGACATTTGAATTGCGGGGATTGGGTTCGGCGCAGCTGCTGGCTTTTGAGATGATGCATGTGCAAGCTTCTGCTCGCACCGTCGCGCTAGATCTTCCATTTCTTTCCTGTCTCCGCTGACTATCCGTGGCGCGCCCTTTGTGGGCTCTTTCAGGAATTCTGTTGCCAGGTTCAGAGCCTTCTCGTATTGTCGTTGGTAGTAGAACAACTCAATCGCACTCTTGATGCGTGAGATATCAAATTTGGTCTCGGCTGGTAGGGTCTTTTTCTCGAGCATCTGTTATGATCTGTCAGAATAAGTACAAAGATGCCATTTAAGAGGCATTACCCCAGGTTCCTCGATATTCACGTTTCGCCAGAAGTTCTCCTTCTGCTTCGCGTATTCCTCCTCGCTCATTACCGCATGACGATCCTTCTTTCCCTTCACAGGCTCCGCGATGACAGTACATCCGGCAGCTTCAGAAGCGGCCAAGTCCTCCTTGACATCCTCAATGTCGCTGCCCAAGTCCAATGCGAAAAGGCTAACCTCAGTGTCTGCTGGGTCCATGGTTGATGATTTTCAGACTACGTTACACACGGATGTAGGTAACCGTGGCCGTGCCTGTCTTATAAGCGAAACTGCGCCACAGAAACGCAGGCTCGACCCAGGTCACCCAGGAAGGATGCGAAATCTGCGGAAAAGGGTAGCAAACGATAGATTGCAATTCACGCTTTGAATTGGCACCACTTTCGGACCTTCTTGATCGCGACCTCGCAACTGCGGTGCTCGCTGCCTTGCCTGCGCCACCTTAGCTTGGTGTGCGGTGTGAGCCGTGGGAGCAGGATCAAATATAATGTTCTGAGATCGTAATAATGGAAAAAGAACAGCAAAACTAACACCGTAGCCCAAGCGCCAATGAACAAACCAATCATAGATATATGAAATCACAAGAGAGAAAAATCCGAATCACCTGCGCTGCTCTTGCTGCATCTTGCTCGTCTTCTCCAACAGTATGACAGACTCAATCTTGTCCAGTGCGAGCTGCAGCAACTCCTTCTTTTCTTGCATCTCAATGTGTGCCTTCACCTCCTTGTCCTCCCTTGCAAAGGCCTGGATTTGATCCGGCGTCAGATTGCGAACAAGTCGGTTCTCGAGCTCGCGAGGGAACTGAATACCAGGTCAGTATCTATCATACGGAGCAATAACGTTCCCAACACACCTGATAGTAAAACTCTGTGAGCAACTCGACGTTGATGAACAACACTGCCGTCGCAGCAAGCTTATCCGCAACGACGTTCAAGAACGCTTCCGGACAGTACATCTGATTCTCCTTGGATCGACACTGCTTCGACTTGAGTGCCATAATTCTCATCTTGAGAACATCTGCACGGGTTTGGAGGTAGTTTGCGTAGTTGCCTATCGACGGGGTTAGTCCATGCCTCTCAATCACGTATGAAGGAACGAACCCTTCTGTAGGAGAGCGCCACTATATCCGCCCATATCCTGCTCATTTGCTTGTACTTCCTTCGCACCCTGTTCCTTCAAAAATGACATGACCTGGCCAAGCCTCTTCGAGCCCACACTCTTCTTCAATTCTGTGATAGCTGCCTCCACACGTGCCGCCTCCTCCTTCAACAGGACCACGGCACGCTCCTTACCAACATTCCATTCTCGATCATCAACCTCAACCTCATACTTGAATGGCTTGACACAGTTCTCTACCTGATCAGCAGTGGAATGGTATCGAGACCTGAGGATGTTCTGGACAGCGGACTGAATGTGGTTGGAAGCAAAGTGATTATGGCGGAAGTCGGTTTCGTCTGCAAGTCGTTGCATCTTGCTTGACAAAGCGTTGACAACGAGATCAGTCGCGACTCGGCCAACGCCCAACCTCGTCAGCGCAAGCGATGATGCGTCGAAATGGTGCTGCCAGTGCTTGTCATCCGGAGAAGCATTCGACAGGGACGCGAGTGTCTTGTCATCCCAGTAATGCTCAGCAAGAATATTCAATACACGTTGATCCAAATCCGTCTTCAACATCGCCGCAACCTGCGGTTTTCCGAACCGTGCCGAGAACTCCTTAAACCTCTGCTTCAAGGCATCCACATTCTCCGCCAAATATGATTCAGCAGTTAACTCGCGGTCGTTGTACAAGACCTTGAACTTATAGGAAACCTCCTCGAGCTCCTGCGTGATCGCATTCGAGATACTTTCCAAACTCGACGACATGGATGACTCGAGAACATGCATCAAAGTCCGTCGCAGCTCGACTGTACCCGTCTTGACACCGCTCCCAGTATCGAATTCCCGGCGTCCGTCAAAGAAACTCTTCTCGTTCTGTGCGATGATGCCAGAGATGTTGCCCCCCGTCAACCTCTGCCTCAAACCCTGAGATAGAGACGGTGCTTGGGCAACGACACCGATGTATCCGAGATGAAGTGGGTACTGGTTGTCTCGCAAGATGGCAGCACCCCGTTCTGGGGAAACAAGGTCCATCTTCGTAACCACTCCGATGGTTCGCAGGCCCAATGGGTCAACGATCCTGCTAGCCCTCAACGCGGGTGAGTTTGCCAAATCCACGTCAGCGGCGCACACAGCGAGGATGATGTTCGGGCTGCGGATATACTTGTCACACAACTTCGAAATCTTCTCCCTCAGCTCCGGTGGTTGGCCCACCGACTCGACCTGGATATACCCAGGAAGATCGATCAACGACAGGTCAGGTACCATGGGAGAGTAGATGATGAGCTGAATCGGGTCATCAGACACACATTGAGCATCCGAGACAGCCATGTTCAGGTCCGTCAATGTCCTCTGAATCTGCCCAAAGTCCGTGATCCTTCCCAGCCCAAGCGCCGGGAATTCTCCATATTCCACCGTCGCACCAGGCGTATGCACCAAAGTCAACTCAATAGGCCGCCTCGTGACCATGTTGTTTCCCTTCGGCAAGAATTCATGTCCAACAATCGCCTCCAACACCGAACTCTTTCCAGATGACTGGGACCCGATGACAACAATGGAGGGAAGTTGGAGGGAGTCAGATTTGCCGACGCGTTGGAGAATGTTCCGAATTTCAATCATTTTACGCGTAAGAACCATGATTTGGTCGTCTCTTGCTTGGCCGGGGGTGTCGTCGTCTGTGAAGAGAGTTGCGCCTGTAGCGGCGGCGAGGGTGGTGAGGATGTTGGGTCGTTCGGGTTCCTTGGGGTCGGTGTTAAATGAGGAAGATGATTCCTTGTCTGAGGATTCTCTGGAATTCGATTGTTCGGAGTTTGATGGGGATGCGGATTGTAATAGCTCTTGTATCCACGCGGGAGCCGTAACCTGCGGTATCGCTAAGGAATGGTACAGTCCACTTGCTGTTGCCCATGCGCCGTTTGCAAAGTCTTTGGCATAGTTCCTCGCCTCTGTGAGCAAGGTCAGTAATACTCTTCCTGGATAGAGCAGCGATCGCTTTACCTTGCACTTTGTAGTCCAGATAACCTAACACAGTAATCAACAGCGTACCAGCAGCCACAGGCACTCTAAATGATTTCAAAAACAACTTTGGTATATTGTTCGTCCACAAGGCCCTTCCCTGAATTGCCTGTAATTGCCCGACTCGTACATGGTTCAGTCTCGCACGAACCAAGGGGCGGATCAAAGGCATTGGCGCCCGGTGCACTTGACGAAAAGGTGTAGCATGCCGTAAGAGCAACGTCCGAGACGTTCTCAAAATCGCCTGAGGGTTGGCGATACGGGCGAGCATGGTGTTCTAAAAATAACTTTCGTCGAGGTGTACGAGCTGCAACATCCTGCAACCGACGTAACGTCAGCTGCCATAAACGCGTAATAGCGACAATCGAATGGAAAATCATATTGTTCTATGTTGAATTGAAACTACTCAACCTCCTTCAAAGAACCTTTCGGGATTTTTTTCGACGCTTAATCTACCCAAAATTGGAAACGAAACAGGTCTGGAAGAACCAAAGTACGTGTGCCGTACCGTGGCCCAAAAGAGTCGGCGCGAGGGCCGGCGAGGAAGCCGGTAAAGTTAGAAGTTGGAAATTCGCTGAAACGATTTGAAAAACGTCTTGTTTAAAGCAAAATAAACACATCTTTAAGAGGACAACTCGCTAACTACTGTATTCGCTGGGTCCTTCCTGAGTACCCCACCGGCTCCATCCAACACCCCCCTCCTCACCCTCGCTAGAAAACCTCAATGTCTTGTATGACCCCTCTTAACATCGTACAGGTCCTTCACCCTCTGGGGCATCGATACATTGAGCTTCCGGAGGTATTCGAGCGGAATCTTTTCCCATTCCTTCAACGTCTACTTCCATAGTTCATCGAGGTCTTTTGCAACCGCAGCTCGCTTTTCCAGGCATTTGGAGATCAGGCACCACAAGTCCTCAATGGGGTTCATATCAGGTGAGTATGCCGGCCAGGGTAGGACTCTGTATCCCTCCCGTTCGTACGATTCTCTGCAGTCGGCGCGTGAAACTTGGCGTCGTTGTCATGTTGGATTGTGAGATTGATGTCGGCTTCTCTGAACCCCTGAAGCTTGGGAAGTAGAAAGTCTTCAACGAAGTCACGCATCACGACCTTGTCGACCGTTGGGACCTGCGAACGAGCGTGTTTTGTGGCCCCCCACCAGCACTTTCCACCAAACACGAAGATACTCCCACCACCAGAATGCATCCGAGGAATGAATTCATTCTCCCTAGGAGGATCCCCAGGCCAGACATAGACCTTTGCAACATGTCCTGGCCCAGAACACGGGAATTTCGGTTCGTCGGTGTGGATGATCCGCATCCAGTCCTCCTTCCTCCAGTGCAAGTGCTCCTTTGCCCATTGGTAATGCCTTTCCCGAGCCGCAGCCGACAGAAACGGTTTCCTCTGCTGTGTAACACACTTTGCTTCGCTTTTGAGTAGTAACAAGCATACCGTCTCCGCTGAAAGATCCCTTTGGCGACCATGATTGAAGGCAGCAGCAGCTTCCACAGCGTTGTTGTACTTCCCTGTGCGAACACTGCGGGTGAGCTCGTCCTTATCGCGTTTGGAAAGGATCCGAGGACTCCAGAACAAGGGCTGTAGCGGTAGGAGGCTGTCTTCCACCAATTGTTAGTGATACCCTCCAATGTCCTTCTCTTGACAAGACGCTGCTCCTCAATCTTCTCCTTTGGAATTTCAGCTTTTGTGAGGCCCACGATCTCAGCGCAACGGTATGGTCTCTCTTCATGCAAAAGATCGCTGTATGGGATGTCTTCTATGTTGAGATCTGGCATGTTGGGTGTGGGGGTTTGAGAACACGGTGCTCAGCAGCTGTGCCGCAGACAACCTTATTCCCAGATGTGACAACACCAAGTACTCAGATCAAGTCAGATCAGGCTGAAAGTAAGTAGAGTAGTTTAAAAGACCGTCTTTTACATCCTATTGAGTTACTCTTGGTCTATCTCCTTCAATTTTGGCAAGTTAGAATTTCTACGCTTGTCGCGGCCGACTTTTTTGGGCGTTCAGTCCTCGCAGAATGGCTACGAGACTGCTATTTCGTTGTACTGCAAGGTCGTAGACTCTCCACTTACAGCCAAGTGCAACAGTCATGCCAATCACGTGTTGCGCGCGTACTCCACACCACCGACAAACTGGAACAAAAAATCACGTCGTATCTTGCCCAAATCGAGTTGACAACGTCTGCTGATTGATGCTATTGAATCATCGCAACGTAGGGCTTCTTCCCGTGCTGCGAAACCACGCGTTCAACACGTCGTCGAAACTGACTTCTCATCGACTCCAGAACCGAAGAAAACCTTCAACAACCCGCAACAAATCAGAAGCTCTTCCCATGCCATCAGATGTCAGCGAAGAGCTCGAGTTGCAAAGATTCGTCATCAAATTTGCCACCACTAGGACCGGGGGTAAGCCCTCAATGGAAGGGCAGGTAACCATTCTACCATCATGGGATTATGACTACGTCCATGCCATGCTCATGAAAATGGCCACCGAAGATCTCTGTGACGACCTGAGCTGCCCTGACGACATATCCCCCAGGATTTCTTACATGATCCTGGGTTACCAGATCATTCGAGGTAGGGTAGAATATGCAGTGACGAAGCTGCGCAGTGCCGCTGACTTAGAGGACTTGAAGGATCAAGTGAAGGATCTACAGGAGCTCTACAGTGGTAAAAGAACAAGAACTGGAGTGTTTCCATCGGTATTTAAGCGAAATACGTCCCTCTTGACCCGGGTGGATCTTCAGACGCTGAACTCGATACCCCTCCCCGCATCCTTGGAGGACGTCAGAGGCCCCAAAAAGCACGGAAACAACCCCTCCAAGCCTATGCTGAACGAAGTGAAGCAACATGTTGAAATAAAGCCTTCAAGCGTGCTGTTTTGTCTAATGTTACGAAGCTTCAGGAAAAATGGGTATGTAAAGTACACGAAGGGTACTGCTGGAAGGTCCCGGGCTCAGGGAAGCGAATGCACCTTGCCTCACATCATCTGAGCCGCTGGGGACAGTTCATGGCCCTTCCCGACAGGGATGTTGATGAGTTGGTCCCACCACATACACCGACCTTCAACAAACTTCACAAAGGCACCGTGCACGCCGCAGCAAGCTCCGAGACTTACAGTACACCAGCTCCTATGTGGAGAACTACGCCTGCAATCTCCTCGACTCCCCATAAGCCTGCTACTACTCCGATTCCCACAATCTTGACTGTGCCGGTACTACTCTCGAGCCCATTACGGATGGAGGACGTCAAAGATGTAGCAGGCTTTACGAGTTTTGTGGCGAAAAACCACCCTAGCTACACCAGGTTCGATGCTGTGCAGACCGAGCAAGCTTTTTGCGAAAATGGATTGGCACTCGAGGATTTAAAGAGGGTGCCTGCCAGTCAGACCATCCCAGGTATCCGACCAGGAGATATGCTTGCTGCGCAGCGCTGCTTGCCCCTTTCGAAGGCAAAGGAGAAGACCAAGCGCTGTCTTGAGGCCCGACTGCAGTCCATAGATTCAGACGTATGTCCTCCCAGCACCCCTCCAGAGAGTACCATACTGACGAGCTTGCTTGGTAATGATGTTCTAAGCTTTTCTGCGCAGCTGCGCAACTTTGCTCGAGTCACCCATTTGCGAGAGAGTATTTTTGCGTATCTATAAGCTTAGTCAGCTTAGTTCGTGAAGAGGATGAATGTTGGGCAGGAGAGAGAAGGAGAGAGGGGTGTCAGGATCTTTCTTTTTTTATGCCTTTTCGAACGGTACCACTCCCATTGTATATAGTCTATGTTTCGTCAAATTATTAAAAAAAGATCTCGACGCAAGCCTCTTACTGTCCGTCAAAATGTCCTAGAGTCCAGGGACCGATGTGCAGGTCCCTCCCCTGAATATCCAACTTGCCGAGATTTGTTAGCAATTTACTAAGAAATCCAGGCATGAATGATATTGAGAGGAGGATGCCTGCCTCTGATCAAGGGACGCTTCATGATGGGTCTAAGTTTGATGTATATTAATTATGCTACAGCTACCAAGTTATGCCTTCAAGGGTGACCCCTCGGGAGAATAGCCAAATTTTTGATAGGTGCAACGGTTGTTGGTACTCGATTCATCCCAGAAAACAAGCATATCCATCGAATAGTTCGCGGACAGTAAGGCGTAGTTTGCTCGAATCATCTCACAAAGCATTTTCCTGCTCATATCAGCCGCCAAGATCTCAACTGCCAGGTCTGCAATTTTAAAGCCGATGATGCTGATAAGGTCGATGATTCTCTGAAATTCGACTGGAGAATAATCATATTTGTCGCGCCTGGATGAAAGCAAGGAACCGCAAGAAGTGCTGTGTCCGCTGATGGTTCGCAACATCTCCATCAATCCATCCCCCGTCATGGAAGGCCAGAAACAGAAAACCGACTTTGCTGGTGAAACTTTGTGTGCTGTCCCATAACCGTGAAGGAACTTACCTGCTGCCATAGAGGAGACCCGATAAGAATAAGTCACAACCACAACCGGTTTGACAAGACCAAGATACTGATCTGTGAACTTCATGCAAGCATCAAACTCCACTGTCTCTGGACATGGGAACAGGTCATAATATGGGAAAAGATGCCCAGCAAAAGGTGATGCTCGTTCCTTTTTTCAGCTCCCTTCCTACGCCTGCACCCTCCATTGTGGACTGCTGCCCAAGACGTCCAGCGCGCAAATAACCGGAGAAGAAGGATTTGATCATGCCCAATGCTTCCTTAGTCGAATCTTTCCCCAAAAAGAAGAGAACATTGGGATACCCTAATCTCCATGCAGGGTTGCCTGCTTGATCACCATCCCAAAACCTCATCAATCCACGATAGTTTGCCAAGTACAGTCTCCCTGCGGCCTTATGCAAACTTACCGATGTTCTTGAAGTGCTGGGACAAGTCAAGTGTAGCCTGACATCTTGTATCCTTCTACCATACGCCAGCATCAAAGACACTTTGTGCTGCCACAACTTCACGGGAAAAGAGGCTACACAAGATCCAAGGGTACCAAGCGATTGCTCGAGACTCCATGTATCCATGGCCGTCTTCATTTTTTACTCTCAGCCTTCAGCTATACTGCTCTGGTGCTGAGGTAGCATCCCTCGCGCGCGATCAGGCGGGTTTTGGCGCTATGACATGAATCTTGCGCACTGCAGTACTTAATGAAGATACGCGAGACGCGTTCAATGAATTCGAGCTGAACTCCAACCAATCCACCAACGAAGATCCAAGTTAGCAAAGACGTGTCTGCCTGCTCTCACGGCATCCTTATCCTTCCCGTATCCTACAGACCTTGCTTTATCATCCTGGTTCACTCACGGGGCTCCACTCTTGTCACCACCCTCCCGGACGCCTGTCGACGCGTCAATTCACCCCTTCACCACACCTCTGAAGGATAGTGAACCAACATGACGACTCCTAAACCCCCTACAACGCGTCAGATGAAGGGTGAGCTCACCTTCAGGCCAGGGCTTTGAGATCTGGATTACTTACGGTTGTGCTCACAGTCAAAATCCTGTATACGTTCGACACCACACATGACCATCCATTCCTTGCAAGGTCGTCAACACCTATATCCATCCGTCTTCTCAACGACACGCCAGGGCGTACATTGGATACGCCGCTGGTTGGTCTCGTTGATCTTCGAACGTGTATCTCGGCAGTCTGCTCCGCGTCGCCAGAACTTATCGCCAATGGACCGAATGCTGCTGACTACACCGTCTACACAACCGACTACACGGAAATGGATGCACCATTCCTTGGACAGGGGATGCTTTCGTGGATTTTGGGAAGTCCTGAGGCTGCTGAGAGACATTACGTTACTGGACGCGTGATCGGTGCTGGACCTATTTACGGTGCAGGAGAGGTGTTGGAGGTCAAGTTGAAACTGTACAAGGTCGCTGGGGCCACGCAAGGTGAGTTCCTGACGGCTATGAGGACGTATGACGCGATAAGCAAGGCATTACCAAAGAGCTTTGACGTGCAGGCGTGGACGGCATCGTTAAAGGGGCTCGCGGTGGATGTTCAGACACAACTCCGACAACTTGCGGAAATGACGCCTCCGGCTGAGGAGTTTGCACCGACGAAACGTTCGCTGTCGCGGGCTTCATCAACGGCTGGAGGACGTAAAGCGTCTTTATTGGCAAGTGGAAAACGCGTCGCACCGCAACAAGTGCACGAACGCTCGGTTGCTGCTTCCTCACCGGCAGCATCGTCGCCTTCTTTTACGCCCGTATTACCGAACGCACACCCTATGTTGGGTTCCTCGCCTCCGCCGATGCCCGGAATGCCCCTTTCCACTAGCAACCTCAGCGACTGGCAAACCCAACGCGGCGCCTCCTCCCCTATCCTTCCCAGCATGCCCATGGCCCCTCCCGCCTCCGCCAGCGCCTCAATGGTCAGGAAAGCTTCTATGCATAGCGTTGCCGGAAGTACGAGTGGCCGCAAGGTCACCATGAAGATGGATCCGGCAAAAGGTCATGCCGTGGTCGTCATCACTGGCGAGGACGACCAGGAGGAGCAGTCAAGGAAACGCGGACCCAGTGGGCCGATGTCTGAGCCTGCTCCTGTCACGAAGAAGAGGAAGAAGGAGACTGCGCCCAGGAAGAAGGATATGCGTGGCCGGGACCGGGTACAGGCGAATAACGCTGCGCGTCTCGCTGCAGTCCAGGCTGGAAACCCCACGTTTATGGGACCTGGACAGACGCAAACGACACTTAGTGGCAAGATTTGTCAGCATTGTGGAACGAATCAGACTGCTGCGTGGAGGAAAGTCAATTGTGCGTTCGAGGCTTTGGAGGAAAGTCAGAGGTTTAACAACGATGGAAAGGATCGGAGGGAGATGTTGTTGTGTAATCCGTGTGGCGTGTTCTATACCACCCGGAAACGCATGCGACCGGAAGAGTTGTGGGATCGGCCGAAGGGTACGGCTTCGGCGGAGAGTAAGGCGAGGAGACCGAAGGCGGCGAAGAAAGCCCCGAAGGATTCGTTGAAGAGGAGTATGTCTTCGCCTCCTAGACCCCTGGGTGCGACGGATGGTGTCTTTGGCAACGATGATTTGGGGTTGACCACGGTTGAGGAGGATAGAATGAGCTCTACGGGCCGCGAAGCATTGTCTGATATCGGAATCGGTAATGCGCCGATTGATATGGGCGAGTGGCTTAACATGTCACCCATGAAGTTCTCACCAGCAAAGGGGAAGGAGAACCGTCCCTCTACGCCAGAGGCTTCGGCGAGACGGAATATTGACGATTTCTTGAAGACGCCGACAAGGAGTACTGGGAGTTTCCAGAGTCCGACTGTTGCGCCGACGCCGAGTCCGTGGAAGAGCAGTATCTTCAACCTGCTGGACAGCAAGGAAGCTCCGCCCAAGCCCTTGGGCTTCGAAATCGTCGGTGGAGTGGAGATGACGCCCCGTTCCAAGGCTGCTCTCGGAAACATGCTCTCGCAAGCGGGTATGGAAGACATGATTCCTCAACCCAATTTCGGAGCGGGAACGGGTACGAGTCCGCAGACAGATATCCTGCCGAGTTCGCCGCCGCCGGGGTTATTTTGTGATGATGATGGTACGACTGCGTTGACAAGCTGGGGTGAAGGAAGCGAGGTTGACACGCCGTGCAACACTGCTGCAGCGGCTAATGCTGGAAAGGTGCAGACCGTGGATGGGTTGAATAGAATGCAGGTCAACTTTGATGATTTCTTCGGTGGACAGGGTGAGCTTGGTCTTGCGTGATTGCGATTAGGAGACTGGGTTTTGAGTTGTACTGATATGGTAGCGATATATCGATAAGTATGGTGATAGCATTTTGTTTAGTTTTGCTTTGGATATGGCGTTTTATTGGGGATACCTGGTTATATTTGGACCGTGATAGATGAGGTTTCACTAGCATACGAGAGCTTAGGGTCTCGACACAATACAAATGGATTTCATTTAATCTTCACACCCTCACGTAGTACTTTTGGTGGTGCGGCTGTGCGCTGGGCGCAGGCGTACACTCAGACGCGTCGCGGGCACTCCAATTAACCTGCATCAAACGCGTCCTCGACCCAGGACTTTCAATTTCAGGAAGACAATCCTTGATTGATCAGATCAACATGACGACAGACGATCCAGCCATCACCGAAGCTCTCGAACAGCACTTCGGCCCCACCCTCCCCTCAACCCCCGACATCCTCGCCGAACTCCACTCCATCCTCCGCCTCTACTCCCTCGACCCCCAAGAACTCTTTTACAAATGGGAATCATGGTGTATCCAACAAAACTCTGCCGAGAGTGAAGTTGTACTCACATTGGAGAACGTGAGGAATTTCAAGAAGGATGTTCAGGCGCAGTTGGAGAGGGAGGTTAGGCAACAGTCAAGGGTGAAGAAAGAGGGGGGTGTAGGAGCAACGCCGGGGAGTGGGGTAAAGATTGGGAGGGGTACGGGGTTGGATGAGTTGATTGGTATGGGTGGGGGGATCATGCCCGGTACTCCCTCGCCCTCGCTCAAACGAAAGCTGAACACGAATTCGTCGGCGGTGAAGCCTTCCCTCCTCGGCGGCGACACTCCGACGCCCAAGAAGCGACCCGCCGACTTCGTCGACTCCTCCCCGCTCTCCCAATCTGCGACCCCCCGCGCCAGCGCCTCACACCTCAACTCCAACCCCATCGGAACCGGAACGCCGTTTACCGCTCGCCGCAACCCCGGCCTCACAACCGAAACTCTAAACCCCCATCTCCCACTCCTCACCCACGCTCCCCTCTCTACACCCTTGCCGCTCACAGCCTCCTTCGAACCAAAGAAGTATCAATTCAGGACGTGTCACATGAAACCCACCACCGCCTCAGACGTGTTGGATGACCGTGTCGACGCGTATGCAGAAGCGTTGGGCTTGGGCGAGGAAGAAGTGGGAAATCCGAGTGTGGTTAGGATGGGGGAATGTGTTGCCGTGGGACGAGTCGTCGGTGACTCGAACCAAGGAGGTCGGCTTAATACTGCGAGTTTGTTGTTGGAGACGAGTCGGAGGTATGGAGCTGGTGCCAGGGTTCCGCTGCGGTTGGCGGAGGAGTTGAAGAGTTTTGCGTTTTTCCCGGGACAGATCGTTGCGGTGAGGGGGACGAATGCCGGAGGGGGGTATTTTGCTGTTAAGGAGATTTTGTTGTTGCCGCCGTTACCGTTGGCGGCGAGTTCAGTGGATGAGTTCGCGGAGGAGGGTTACAGGATCGCCATCGCGTCAGGTCCATGGACGATGGACAATTCCCTCCTCTTCGAGCCCCTCAAAGAATTCTGCGGACGGTTCGAAAGGGGTGAGGAGAGGGCTGAGGTCGTCGTCCTCATGGGGCCCTTTATCGATACCGAACACCCGCTTATCAAGAATGGGGATTTTTCTACGGTGGAGGCACAGGTGGAGACATTGGATGAGTTGTTTAGGGAGTGTGTGGCAAAGGAGATCTTGAGGATTCCGAGTGGGACGACGGTGTTGTTGATGCCGCATGTGAGGGACGCGTGTAACCGGCATGCGTGTTTCCCGCAAGAGGCCTTTGAGCTCAAATCTCTTGGACTCTCTGGGCAGAAGCATATCAAGTCTTTGCCGAGTCCGGCGGTGTTTAAGGTTGGTGATGTCGTGTTGGGGTGTACGACGAACGACATCCTCTTCCACCTCTCGAAAGAAGAGTTGGTCCGGAACCCAACACACCAGAATATGTTGGCTCGGCTGCCGTCGCACCTCATCTCCCAACGCAACTTCTATCCCCTCTTCCCCTCCCCCTCGGGGAACCTCGATGTTCCCTATCTGGGATTGACAGAGTTCGTGGAGGCGGTCCCGGATTTGTTGGTGACGCCGAGCGAGTTGAAGGGGTTTGCGAAGGTTGTTGATGGGGTAGTGTGTTTGAATCCGGGGGTTATGGCGAAGAGGTTTGCGGCGGGGGGATGGGCGCGGGTTACGGTGGGGCGGAGGGAGGTGAGGGAGGGGGAGGGGGAGGGAGGGGTGGTGGAGAATCGGGCGTGGGAGAGGTGTAGGGTTGATTTGGTTAGGATTTAATTGGAAGTGGATGATTAATGAAGGTTGAATCTCAAATCAGATAACTTCGCTTCACATGACTCGGGGTCGCTTAACCAACTCACCCTCGGCTAAAACGTCAGGGGGGGCTAGGCTATTCTGGGAGATCTGATAACTTCAGCTGGCGTGCAGAGGAGATTGGGGCCGAGTCTGCGCCGTTTGCCCGAGGGAGGTCTGGCCTGCTGTCTGTCGTAGATGATGCGAGGATCATGAACGACGATCGTTTGTCTGGTCGCTCATCATCCTCCGTCCACGCTCACTGCCGGCACACTTGCCTTGACAAGAACACCCAACCAACCTCTCGGCAACAGCACGCGACAAACTTCGGACGGCACCATTCATCTAAAACGCCCACTTGCACTTGCACCCCCGACAAAAAAAAAGATCTTTTTCGGCCGAGGACTGTGCAGCTGCTTGAAATGATTGGAAGCTGGATCAGATTATGCACCAAGCGTCAGATCAGATAATTTTTGGCAGGTCCTGCTAAGGGTTGGTTCGTACTCTAGATCTTCCGTGTCTCGTTCGTCGTCGCAACTGGCTTGAGGTGTCGTGCATGACTATGGGATGGGTGGAGGGGTATATATAGAGCCCTCGCTATGGCCTACCCAAGGGAGTGTTTCGTCACACTCGGCAATCGCAGGGAAAGATGGAGAATATCATCAGCGAGGTCGTTAAGAGATCCTCTTCGGGCCCGGCTTCGAGCACGAACGGCACCGGCGGCAACAACGGCGGAAACAACGGCGCAAAAGCCGCCATGGCCGCACTCTCCTTCGAATACGCCAAACTCGTCAACTACAGCTTCTCCCTTGCCGTCCTCATCTTTACGGTCGTCTACGCCTACCGTCTTCTCACTCTTCGACTCTCCGGCACACCCTCTTCCAAGATGGGGAGTGTTAGGAGGGTTGTGAGGACGCCGGGGGTGGTGTGGAGAAGGTGGATGATGAGGACGACGAGGGTGGGGAAGGTTGGGTTGTGGGTTGCTTGTGTGGTTTATTTGGGGTTGAATTTATTGTTTGTGTTGAATGAGACTGGGGGGACGGATTTGAAGCGTGTGGCTAAGCGTTTCGGACGGTTTGTCTCCCTTCCCACATCTCGCTTGAACAATGGCTGACTTTTTGTGGATAGTATCGCCGCGGCAAACTTCCCCCCTCTCTTCTTCCTCTCGATGAAGAATTCCCCCCTCGCCCTCTTCATGGGCCTCTCTCACGAAAAAGCCAACGTCCTGCACCGCTGGGTCGGCCGCGCAATGCTCCTCTACGTCTTCCTCCACACCGTCCTCTACTCCTACCTCTACACCTCCCAAGGCCAACCCGAGCGTCTCAAGAAAACCACAAACGTCATCGGCTTCGTCGGATTCGCCGCGTGTATCTTTCTGAGTTTCGGAAGTGTGAGGTGGTTGAGGAACAGATTCTACGAGAGCTTTTATTTGGTGCATTTGGCTATGGCGGGCGTTATGCTTGGGGCGAGTTGGAAGCATGATAAGAGTTGTGTTGTTTGGGTCAAGGCGAGTATTGGGATTATTTGTTTGGATCGGGTGTTTAGGTGGATGAGGATTGGGGTGGGTGCGCCGTTCCGCAAAGCCAGTGTCGAAACATATCCTGGAGGGATTGTGGTGTTGAGGATTGAGAAGCCGAAAGGGTTGAGTGTGATGAGGAGGTGGGCGCCTGGATCGCATTGTTTCTTGAGTTTGCCGGCGTTGGCGCCGGGTCAGGGACATCCGTTTACCATCATGTCTACTTCTGAGGATGACTCGATTGATATCTTGATTCGCGCTCGTTCGGGTGCCACAGGAACTCTCTACAAGAAGGCTTTGGCTGGTGCGCAGACTGTGCCCGTGTGCGTTGATGGACCTTATGGACATTGTGCTGCGTTTCACCGCTACGAAACCGTCCTCCTCATCGCCGGAGGAACTGGAATCACCTTCTCCATCACTGTCGCCAGAGACTTGGTCCGTCGCCGTGTCGCGCAGACGGGGATCTATACCAAACGCGTCAAATTCATCTGGGTCATCACAAACCGCGCACACCTCTCCTGGGTCCGCAATGAGCTGGCAGGGATGTTGGCCGATGCACCCAATGACTTTTTGGACGTTGAGATTAGGGTTACGAGGGAACAGGCGCTCGTTGCTGAACATCCTGAAAAGAAGCCGCAGTTGTTGCCAGAGGCGAGGGAGGTTACCTCTAGCGCATCTTTGGACACTGAGTCTACTGCCGACGAGTCTCGTGAGGGCGATGTCACTGAGGTGCCTTCATCCACTGAGGGTTCCTTGCTTTCATTGACGGACAAAGAGGGTATTAGCCAGTTCGCCTCGTACGTCTGCTTTGGACGTCCGAATGTGCTGGCGTTGGTTGAGATGGCTGTGGCGGAGGCGAGTGAGTTGGGTAGGATGGCGGTTGGTGTTTGTGGGCCTTCTACGCTTAGTGATGAGGTTGCAAATGCTGTCAGTGCGAACATGACTGCTGATAGGGAGATTGATACTTTTGTGGAGAGTTTCGGGTGGTAGACGAAGATAGAAAAGAGATGAAAAAGACGGGAGGAGGTGTAGGATAACGGCATAACTTAGAACAGATTCACTTAAATATAGCGAGATTTTCAACGTCGTTTTGGTCATCGTGCGAGTTAAGGTTCAGTCCTTGCAGTGGAGTGCAGGTGACTGCAGCACGCAATACACCGACCGAAGGCGGCAATAAGTGTAACGACGACAAGGCCGATTCCTCGAAGCAGCTGAAGATGTGTCGGCTATTGATCTACAAGGGGAAGCGAAAGATGCTGTTGGCAGGTGAGCACAAGGGAGTACAGTGACGAATCATCGCTAATCGCACCCTCCCAGATCTGATTACCAGACCGCAGCACTCGATCATCAAGTGAAATAGGATCTCGTCTTCAGCATAAAACTGCATACTGATCTTGTTCACAGCCAATCCTTCGACTCCCGTCTCCGCATTGACACTCGCCGCCCCATCAACGGCGACGGCTTCGGCGTCGGCTACTACACCCAAGACCCCTCCTCCCCCGATCCCGAAATCGGCTCAGGCCCATGTATCTTTACTGCGATTACTCCAGCATGGAATAATTTGAACCTTGCACGATTGGCGGAAAAGACGAAGAGTGCGCTTGTGTTTGCGCATGTGAGGGCGAGTACGGCGGGGATTTTAGCGGAGGTGAACTGTCATCCGTGGAGCTTTGGGAGTTTGATGTGGATGCATAATGGTCAGGACAGGAGGACCATGACGACGTAGAAGTTTTGACTGACGATTCTGTTCTGACAGGGAATATTGCGGCGTTTCCGAAGATTAAGAGACGGTTGCAGACGGCGTTACGGGATCAATACTTCCTTCACGTCGCCGGAAACACAGACAGTGAATGGGCCTTCGCGCTCTTCCTAAACTGTCTCCACGACTCAGGACACGACCCAGCATCCTCCCCAGCCAGCGGCTTTGGCCCCGAAGTCCTCCGGAAAGCTATGTTGGCTACCGTCGATCTGTTGAAGGCGTGGACGAAGGAGGCGCAGGAGGGGGAAGACGAGGATGAGCGAGAACCGAGTATGATGAACTTTGCTGTCACGGATGGCGAGAGCGTGGTTTGTACGCGGTATATCACGAGTCGAACGCAGGAAGCTGCCTCCTTATATTTCAGGTAAGACCACTACTATCCCAGGGCACCTTGTGGGTTGTTGGTATGCTGACGGTGGTGGTTACCAGTTCTGGGTCCTCGTTCCATGAGTACAAGCCTGGAGGACATTACCGTATGGAACGGCGTGATCGGGGACAGGATATTGTGCTTGTCGCTTCTGAGCCTCTGACGTTCGAGAGAGCGGATTGGGTTACAGTGCCGAATAACTCGTGTTTAACAATCCGGAATCAGATGGTGTTGTTACATCCTATCATTGGTATGTCTTCCTTAACCGCTGCTACATGGCGATTGCTGATTGTGGGGATAGACGAGTATTACACTGAACCGGCGATGCCGAGAAGTTCGGAGCACGCGGAGAGTCATGGGTTACATGGAGCGGATGTCAAGGCGCATATCGATGCAGAGCTGGGATTGGATTGTGCTGAGAGTCCGTTGAGGACGAGTTTCGTGGCCGTTGTACCGGAGATTGATACTCAAGACCTCCCATGATTGCGGTGTTGCGGGTCATCACCGGTTCCCCATAGAACAGATAGCATTTTGGAGCATGAATAAAAGCATTTTCAAACAAGAATAACAAGAATCCTCGATGATGGAGTCGGGATGTTTTCGTGCCTCACCCTTCGCATGCGTGTACTTTCACGAGGCCATTCCGTAATTTCGAGGCAACCCTGCATCAAGGCAACAACACTCACTCCGAAAACTCAGCTCGCTCGCCAACGACAACAATGGACGTGCAAGAAACCCCCAACACTAGTGTCGAGGACATGCCCATGGACGTCGAAGTCCAGGAATCTCATGACCAGACCGAGTTCGAGGCTGGGTCGGATGAAGCTGGTGTCCCTACTGGACCGAGGGCTATGCAGAGACAGCAGCAGGAGGGACAGAGGAAGGCTTCTAGTGTGTATACCCTGCCAAATTGACTTGCTGTGGGAATGGTGCACTGATTGTTGGGTGTAGCGTTGTATGTCGGTAACTTGAACACGAGGGTCACGGACTTTATGTTGCACGAGATCTTTGGCGTTGCGGGGGCTGTGAGGAATGTCAAGATCCTCACTGACAAGAACGTATGTGTCCGTCTCATCGAGTTCTCGGATTGGGTTGCTGATTGATTTGCACATAGTTTGGTGGTCAGGGTTTGAACTATGGGTTCGTTGAGTATGAGGACCCACGGGCGGCAGAGACGGCTATGCAGACTTTGAATGGGCGGAGAATATTCGATACCGTATGTCATGCTCCATTTCATTATTGCTACATGTGCTGACTGGGGGTTACAGGAGATCAAAGTCAACTGGGCCTACCAATCCACCAACAACCCAAACCACCCCGCAAACGCAAACAAAGAAGACACCGCCGCCCACTACCACATTTTCATCGGCGACCTCTCCTCCGAAATCAACGACGAAATCCTCGCAAAAGCCTTCTCTGCCTTCGGGTCCATGTCGGATGCTCGAGTTATGTGGGATCCGAACACGGGAAGGAGCAGGGGGTATGGGTTCGTTGCGTTTAGGGAAAGGGGGGACGCGGAGCAGGCGATTGCGACGATGAATGGAGAGTGGTTGGGGAGTAGGGCTATCAGGTGTAATTGGGCGAATCAGAAGGGAGCGGGGGCTGCGCAGGTTCAGGCTGCGGCGTTGGCGATGATGGGGTGGAGTGCGTCGGTTGGGATGCCCGGGATGGGCATGGGTGTCGGTGTGGGTGTGGGTGTCGGTGTTGGGGTTCCGGGCTTTCAGAATCCGGCGGCGGTGGCGGGGGTTGGGATGGGGGGGATGGGTGATTATGCGATGGTTCTTGCTGCGTCGTCGCCGACGAACACTACTGTGTATGTCGGGAACTTGCCTCATACTGCAACCCAGAATGATGTTCAACCTTTGTTCCAGAACTTTGGGTATGTTCAGGAGTTGAAGGTCAAGGCTGATAGTGGGTATGCGTTCGTGACGTTGGATTCGCATGAGAATGCCGCTATGGCAATTTGCCAGCTGAACGGGTTCGTTGTTGGTGGTAGGCCGGTCAAGTGTGGTTGGGGTCGCGATAAGGGCGCTTACGGAAGGGGATATGGACAGCAGCAGCAGCCGTGGGGTGGTCAGCAACAGCAACAGTACCAGGGTCAGCAGGGTGGTCAGCAAAACCAGCAGCAGCAGTGGCAGCAGTGAGTGATGATGGATCAGTATGTGAGGATGTTGGGAAATTGGCGTTGTGATGTTGTGTTGTGCGCATAGATATACCATCGACATATGTTCGGACGATCTAGCTGGCCGAGCTACTTTTTGCTTCTTCATTCAGGTTGCATTTGAATTGGAAATTACGTGTACATATATAGATGTTTCTTGGTGGCACGAAGTGGAACGCGAAGAACTTGAATACCAAATGAAGCTCCCCTCTCCATATCAGGTATATTTCGAACATGATCAAACCCCTTTTTCGCCTTTGAAATTCTCCAAATCACTCCTTCTCGTGCAGCAACTGACTCAAAGCCGCCAACCTCGCCTTCTCCCTCTCAGCCTTCTGGTTAATCTCATCCCAAGCTCCTCTTCTATCCTTGATAATCTTCACACTCTTCGTCCTCTTCTGCACCTTCTTCGCCATTTGCTCCATCACAGCCTCCGCACGATCCTGACTCGCCTCCATCCTCTTCCGCGCTTTTGCGGATAAAGCCTTTTTCCGTGCAGCAAGCTTAGGTTTTTGGATCCCGGAGTCACCGCGGGCTGATAGTGATGCGATTTCGTAGTGGACACGTTGTTTTGCGGGGAGGGCTTCTTCGTGGGTCGCGGGCATGGATTCGACGACTTTTTCGATTGCTACGGCGTCTGAGGCATCTGGGGTGACGGCACGCTTGGCGGCACGGGAGCGGGTTGATTGGGCTTAGGAACCGGTTAGAAGCAATCCTCGGGTACCACGGTCGACAAGAACTCACGCTTTGCCTTGGCCATCTGATTATGTTGACTTTGATTTTTTTTTTTCGTTTGCGTTTCGCTCTCTCGGGCAAATCGATAAGGACGCAACCTTACGCACACTGCCACCTGCGCCGCTCGTCCTCCCCGCGGCCGAGGCTCTCCGCCTGCCTCCACCACCATCCCCTCTCTCCTCCATCGACTGCTCCGGGCATGAAGGACCCTTACATTTACCATTTGGACGCAGTCACCCTCCCCGACTTCCACGACCTCGCCCGCCTCCTTCCATTCGCCTGCTCCACCCTCCTTTTTCTCTACATCTACCTCGCACCCGCCTTTGATTGGCCAAGCGTGCATGACTTGGGCGTCATGCTTGTTGACTTCTCGTTTGCGACAAAGAGGGATAAGTTGAAGGGGGTGTTTGGGGGGGATGTGGTGGGGATGATGAGGGCGAGGACGTTGTCCAGGAGTGTGGTTGATATTGAACGGGAGGCGACGGTGGGGGGGCTTGTTAATACTGGGAACAGTTGTTTTCTCAATTCTGTATTGCAAGTGCGTGACAGTCTTGCCAGGCTTCTGAGCTGGAGCTGACTTCTTGCACAGGCTTTCGCATCCCTCGAGTCCATCACCCCATACCTCACCTCCATCTCGTCGGCCTCCCCTCGACCAACACCAGTGTCAATAGCCCTCAACCACACCCTCGCGCAACTAAACACCTCGGGGTCACATACACCCCGCGACGTGGTTTACGCGCTATCGAGTAACCGACGAGTAGTGAACAACGAACAACAAGACGCTCAAGAATTCTTCCAAATCATCACGGGCGCACTCGACGACGAAGCCGCAAAGGTCTCGAAACGCCGACACCTAGGCCCTGGAATGTCTTTCAGGCCCAACCGGCTCTATCCTACACCGGCTCATGGAATTCCAGGAGAGAAGGAGAAAAGCATGAAGAGCCCCTTCGAAGGCCTAATGGCGAATCGCGTGGGATGTTTGTCATGTGGCTACGTCGAAGCCATCCGTCACGAGAACTTCACGAATTTATCCGTGCCATTACCGAATGAGCGGAGTTGTACGTTGGAACAGTGTTTGGAGAGTTATACCACGCTTGAACGAATTAATGGAGTTCCGTGTCGGATGTGTTCGATTATCGCCACTCAAAAGCAGCTCGCGAAACTCATCTCGACGTCTCTCAACCCCCTACCAGCACTGGTCGAGCGGGAAGAATTATTGCGGACAGCGGTGGATGAATGGAATCCGGAGCATGAAGCTCTCAAAGGAGTGAAGCTGCCGGTACAAATCGAGAGCACGAAAACGAAGATCGCGGCAATTGCGAGGGGGCCGCAGGCTTTGGTCCTACATATTAACCGCAGCGCACTCAACCTCACCACGGGGGTGGTACATAAGAACGCTGCAGCCGTCTCTTATGCACCCGTCCTTGACCTCTCGAAATACATGTCGACACATGCTGCGCTTTCAACAGATCCACGGACACCTCTGGTCTGTGCGGAAGTGGAAGGAGGGGGGAATCAGGATCGGTATGAGTTGAAGAGCGTTGTGATACATTACGGGTCCCATTCGTTTGGACATTATGTCGCGTATCGCAAAACCGCGAACGGCTGGTTTAGGATCTCGGATAGGGATATTTGGGCGTGTACGGAACGCGACGTACTTGGCGAAATGTCGAACGTATTTATGTTGATGTACGAGAAGATGGAGGCGGGGGAGGAAGTGGTAAAATCAAGTCCTGGGAGGCACGGTATGATCCTCAGAGAGACGATTAGGGGGATGGGACGGCATGAGAGTCTTGAGGATGTTTTTGAGGATGAGGAGGGGGAGGAGGTGGTGTGGGATGATGAGGTTGGGAGAGCGAGTGCTCGTTTTGCGAGGACTGGGGGAATCGGGACAGCAGGGGAAGGGAGCGCAGGAAGTGCTGATAGCACGTACAGTTCGGGTGTCAGTGATGATTGGAGAGGAAAAGAGGCACCAGAACTGTATGATGAAGTTCCGCCTGCGGTGTTGGTGTCGAAGGCAGTGGAGCATGTTAAGGAGGATCACGCAAAAGGTTCAATGGAGGAAATCCACGTGAGGGAGATCTCGGTTTGAGCATAGGGACGTCGACGTCCACATGTATGGGTAGTGGCGGTGTCTTTGTTTTATGGGGTTCGGCGGACAGGTATAGGCGTTCATGACATTTTACGATCTTACAGCAGTAATCTTCGCCTCCAGGGGTTCAGGGGCAGGGGGGTGTCCAGGTCAGTCAGTCGGCTTACGGATCAATCCAATCCAATCTCTGTCTTCTTGACGCTGAGGCGTTGTTCGAGGCATTGCGCAGTGTCCAGCTGCAGTACGGCCGAAGTCCTCCGTTAATCTTGCCGGTACCAGTTGGACGCCTTTTCGACCGGGGCGCATGTCGGCTTCACACTTCACTTGCAGGGCGGTGCTGGATGAAACAACCCCGAACGCTTTCGCCCCCAAAATCCTGTAGACTGTCCGGACGGGGAGGTGCAGATCGATGGGGGAGATAATCTGGGATTATCGATCTGGTTATAATTGCAATTATAACATCTCAAGGTTGAGCCCCTACCTTCGCACAAAGATGATCTTCAAGCGAAGCCCCTTGTATGTTCCATCCCGTTGATTCAATTGAGAACCACGAATTGGGATCCTCATTTTCCTCTTGTCAGATTGCTGTCAAACACGTGGTGGAATTCCCGTCGGTGCTTAGCGCAAAATTCCAAACAGCTTCAGCTCTCGAAGTTTAGCTCTGAATCCGAAGCGCCCGTGCTGTGGCTACTGTTGCACTCCGCGGTGCATAGCATAGCTAGCTATACATCCATAGAACCTTGTAGCTGACGGATCTGGACGATTCATTTCGCAATACAAACGACTGTTACGGTCAGCAATTCGCCCTCAGCTTTCCTTCACCCTGTCCTGAAGTCTGCTCATCTTCGTTCGCCGTTGATCCAGGCGATCTGACCGCCGATTCGCCGAGATCCAACGTAGACCGAACAGGGATACGAAGAGCGACCTTTCGCGTCGATGGATTTCGCATTCTCTGCTTCCGTCAACCATGCAACATCGTGCGGGTCGTCTGCAGTCTCCAGCGAAGGATCCACTGACTCGGCTGTGTGCGAAACCTTTCTGGACTTTTACTCGTCAGGAGTGATTGATGTCGGCGGAGAGGAGATGCCATGGAACGCGAAGGAGCAGCTTGGTGATGATCATGATGGGTTCTTCGATTGTCCACCGCCCAAGGATGAAGAGGCGCGTTTGGAGGAGTTCTTTCGGTACAAGGATTTGACGTCTTCGGACACGGCCAAGGAACTTGGATTGGACAAGTTTAGTCGGTTGGCGAGAATCTTGTTGGACTGCGATTTCGCGTTCATTCAATTCATGGACGAGAAGTATCAGGTAACAGCGTCAGAGGCAAGCCCGGAAGCACAAGGATGGATCCCCCGAATGAATATCACGCCAAGAGCAGTCAGTATCTGCTCTCACACCCTGCTCAGAAAAGAACGCGACAAGTTATTCGTTATCCCGGACCTCAGCAAAGATTGGCGATTCAAGAACCGGAGCTGGGTAACGGGTGCACCACATGCGCGATTCTACTGTGGAGCGCCATTGTTCAGTCATAGCGGCCACGCACTCGGTGTCATCTGTGTTTTCGACTCAAAGGCTCGCCAGTTGTCGACAGATCGTGAACAAGCTTTCCTCGACCTCGCCACCATGGTCATGCACGAACTCGAACTCAAGCGTGAGCAGGCTCTCCTTGAGACAAAGACGAAGATGCAAAAATCCATTTCGAGATTCGCGCGTGAATTCTTGAGCAACGATATCGATAGCACTATGACGGAGCAAGGGGATTTGTTGGGGATTTATCGGTCGGCGTGTGTGTTGATGAGGGAGACGTTGGAGTTTACGGGTGTCGTGTTTGTGGATGTGGAGGGGGCGAGTGATGAGGCTGCGAAGCCGTTGCCGGATGGGAGTGAGAGGAAGTGGCCGATTCTTGCGACGTGTCGGGTTGGGGAGACGGAGCATGGTCATGATCCGAACGGGCCACCTCTGATGTTGTCTGACGCCTTTGTTAGCAACTTCCTGAAGGAACACCCGCAGGGACATATCTACGGGAAGAAGAAGCTTCCGGAGGAGTTGGCTGCTATGCTACCGCCGACAACTGAGGAGCTTGTGATGGTGCCTATTAGAGACTTTGCGAGGAATCCGTATGCGATTATCGTGGCTTTTGCAGAATCGAAGAAGGCTTCTGATGCGACTACAATCAAGTATATCGAGTCGTTCGGTGACTCGCTTATGTCTGAGATTGGAAAGAGGAAGATTCTTATTGCTGACCACGCCAAGGCCAGTTTCATTTCCAATGTCAGTCACGAATTGCGGAGTCCGTTGCACGGCATCCTCGCAGCCGTCGAGTTCATCCAAGATACGGAGTTGGACCCACTTCAAACGAGTTTCGTGGCGACCATCGAGAGTTGTGGAAGGACATTGATCGACGTGATCAACTCTGTGCTCGACTTCTCGAAGCTGTCACATCTGACGAAGGGAAATCTGGTGGTTCTCGAGTCATCACCAACACCGGCAATGCAGACATTCCAGAATACCGAGGTCGACCTTGCTGTGCTTACTGAGGAGGTAGTGGAAAGTTGTTACGCTGGGCACGAGTTCAAGGCGGTAACGGATCATGTTGCGATTGGGCAGGAATCAGTATCTAAAGCGATCTGCATCGTTGTCGATGTTGATAAACGCGATCAGGGATGGTTCTATCATACCGATCAGGGTGCATTCCGCCGGATCGTGATGAACCTCGTTGGTAATGCAATCAAGTATACCAAGGAGGGACATGTGCATGTCAAGCTTTCGTACAGCAATACCGGAATCATCTTCCGAGTAACTGACACAGGTGTCGGCATTGGAGAGGATTTCATGAGGAACAGCCTATTTGCGCCGTTTTCGCAGGAGAATATACTCAATGTCGGAACAGGGTTGGGGTTGTCGATTGTCAAGCAGATTGTGGAGTTGCAGAATGGGACAATTTCGGTGAAGAGTCCAATTGGAAAGGGACCAGGCGGAACGCAGTTCACTGTTGTTTTGCCGCTTACCCCAGCAGATCCCTCGAAAATTGACCTCTCGCTTGTGTGTGCGACACGCGAGAAGGCTCGGGGGCTTAAGGTTGCGTTTACAGAGTTCGACGTGGCGTCTTCCACCAAGCTTCTCAAGCAGTCCTTGACGGGCTATTGTGAGAGGTGGTACGGCATGGATGTTGTTGAGGATAGAACGGAAGCGGATATGATCATTCGATGTGAGCTTCCTTCAAGTAATGAAGCCTCGGAGTTTTACAAGGCAGCCGAGGGTAGACCTCACATGGTCTTATGCAGCCATTTCAGGCGCTCCGGCAGCTTCCTTTCGAAGGCCCTCATTCTCTCGAAATCCTGCGGTCCTGCTAAGCTTGGTAAGGCATTGCAGACTCTTCTGGATCGCGCACATGGTGAGAGTCATCATCCTGGACGACCTCCACTCACGCGTGCTGAAGCATTGGCAACAGGACGAGAGTGGCATCCCCAGACTGGAGTAACCCTTCTTGAGGACTTGCAGAGCACTTTGCCGTCGCCGCCAGTATTACGACCCAGCTCGATTAGCCCGCTGGCAGATGTGAAGGAGCTTGGAGATGCTTTGCCGAACACCGAGACGGCGGCATCAGTGAAGGAAGACATACCTATGGTGCTGGTGGTTGAGGATAATCCAGTGAACATGATGTTGCTGGCGACCTATCTTCGCAAACGGAAGTACCCGTTCCTTACTGCAGAGAACGGTGCCTTGGCGGTCGAGTTGGTCAAGCAGAGGATTGGTGAGACTGGGTGTAGCTTTGACGTTATTTTGATGGATTGTCAGATGCCGGTGATGAATGGATTTGACTCAACAGCGGGTATCCGCGAACTCGAGCAGGCTGCCGAGCAGTTGCAGGACAAGGCATGGGTCGTTGCGTTGACTGGATTGAACTCTCCTGATGACAAAAAGAGAGCATTTGAATGTGGTATGGACGAATTTTTGACGAAGCCCGTGGGTCTGAAGAGGCTCGGGCAGTTGTTTGACGAATGGAAACAAAGGTCTTCTGCGCCTACCGGGGCAGCGCAAAGTTGAAAGAACACATACACGGATACCAGTGGGATTAGGTGCGGGATGGGCGTTCTTCTTTCATTTTTCATCTGGGCATTCGCATCACTTATCTCTTCACCATCTTTTTCGCGATAGGATATATGTGAGACACCATAGATAATATAATGTCCAGCATCTGAAGCGTGTACAATATCTTCGCGTGTTCAACCTTCCCTTACTTCGTCATTGGATGGCGTGGGAAACAATTTGGCGTTCGTTCAAAGTTCGTGAAGTGCTGTGTAAAGAAGTTGCGCTTAAGTAAACCTACAATATATAATGGGCAGCTGTCGTTAAACAGATGATTTATGCCTCCGGGTAGTCTGGGTCGAGGTGCAAGAACCATCCAAGAGACCAGGGTGGAAGATCGAACATAAACGTTTGCTAGGCTCCGTCTATATTCTAAAGAAGGACGTATGTGGCGAAAATACTACAATGATATCAGGAGCTAAGAAACCAAGGAGACTGTGGGCCATAAGCGTGAGAAATGTAGTACTCGTTGATCCGAACGTACGGAAAAAGACGGACTGATTCGTCGCGGAATACATCACCTTGAGCATGTCGTGCGATGGTTGCAAGTGATCTCTGTCGGTAGGGTACAATTTTGGAATGGTCCAGACTTGTCATAAATCATTTTCCGTTGAACAATTGCAAGCGATGAGGGGTCTCGACATTTGGACCAAGGAACAGGCCAAAAAAACGAACTGGCAACACAAGCCCATAAGCACCCAGATCTGCCTGAAGCTATCAGATATCATACTGCTTCATGGTCATGAACGGGAGACACGAAATTGCCGGACTCCGCGTGCGAAAATGCAGTGTCCCTGGAAGCCTGTGTGCGTCGCTGCAGGCCAATCGCGCAACGCGGCGAATTGTTTTGATAGATACCTATATGATAGTAATTATTACCCAATTACCACCTGAAAGCATCTTGCAACCTCGTTTCTGGGCATCTCCGATTTCTCACGTGTGCTGCGACGGCGTAAAGTACACGTCGATTTCGAAGTCATTTGGCGGTGCGGCTCAAGCCTTCGCCCTCTTATTTCGCGCCTTCTTTACTTCCTCTGCCTTCTCAGGATTTTCTTGTTTCAACTTCGCTCTTCTCAACCTCAACTTCTCTGGGTCGACTTTCCTGGCCAGCGCACAGACGACATGACGAATGACGTACCTTCACGGCGGCTGATAGCCCATTCCATCCATGCTACCTTGTTGGCCTCATCGTGAGGGCAGTGCAAATGGATATCAGGCAAGTGGGGCCGCCATAAACGTGCCGCATATGCTTTGCGAATGACACTGCGAGATGATCCTTCTGCAAGCCCTGCCCTGAGCACACAAGCTCGTTTGCATCACTGAGCTTCTTTCTGTGTTCAGGTGTATAAAGGGGCATCTTGTGATTGCGCACCCAGGCCAGCCCCAGCTTCTTCGTCAGCAAGCTCAGTTCTTGCACCAGTTTCCTTCCTGCATCAGTCTCCAAGTGCGCATTATGCGCCTCTAGAACCATCTCTCAAAGCATTTTCCTGCTCATATCAACCCTCAAGAACTCTACTGCCAGATCTGTGAGCTTCAAGGCGATCATGCTGATGAGGTCGATGATCCTTTGGAACTCAACTGGAGAATAGTCGTATTTGTCCCGTCCTGGATCAAAGCAAGGAACCACAAGGACAGCTGTGTCTGCTGAAGGTTTGGCAATGTTGTCATCAATCCATCCCTGGTCATAGAAGGCTTGAAATGGAATACCAACTTGCCTTGTTAAAGCCTGTGTGTCATCCCATAACCATGAAGGAAGTTGGCTGCGGCCATAGAGGAAACCAAATAACTATATGTTACAACCACAACAGGTTTGACAAGACCAAGGTACTGAACAGTAAACCCCCAACCATATATTTGACTCGGCTGTGAGTGTCAGGGACGGGCGTCGTGTCTCCTAATCAAATCACAACACTCATCGCTGCTGAAATCGAAGGCGTAATCGAAGTGCTGACTCGGGTCGGGCGGAGTCTATCCAGTGAAGGGGCCCGAGACCGAGAGGACGCAACACTGACGTAAGCTTAAGGCGTAAGGCGTAAGACGTGATCACAAGTAAGACCAGGCCCAAACCAAGACGGACCGAACAAGACGTAGACGGAGGTCGAGGGCGGCTTGGGTGCGTAACCGAAACTGAGAGTCGACTTGGTGAACAAGAATAACTCGAAGTGGTGTAACGAAGAGAGACTCAAGAGGTTAAGGAACCTGCAAGAGAGGTGAGGTAGGAAGAGGTCTTGGTTTTCTCAAAGACCCTTGTTGCTAACTGAAGAACCAGAGAAGGGGGGAGAAGCCACCCTTTATATAGCAGACGGTTACGCAGATCTGCGTACTCAGGGAGGGCGCTGATCAGCGTCCACCAGAGGGACGCAACACAGCGGACACTAGAAGGACGCAGAGTTGCGTACCCAGTTGATGAGATGGGTCAGGCCACTAAGCCACCAAGCCATGAAGCCACGTCACATCAGACCAGAAGACATACAACTAATCAAACCATAACTCGTATGATCAGTCAGACCATCACTCGTACGACCGTGAGTCATACGACTAATCTAACTGAGACAGAAATATAAGACTAATTAAACTAAGACATAAACTTAAGACGTATACATAGAACGGAATCGTAAGACAGAGTCATATGACAGGATCCTGGGACATATACACCAGCATACGCAGATGTGACGTAATCACAGTAAGAGTGTGGGAAACCGGAGGTCATGAAGCCATTCATGACAGTGAGATGCGGCCTCAACTGAAGGTATTCCCTCCACCTAAAATTCTCAGTATATTTTTTTCCCGCAGCATCCCATGCATCCAACATCATCCTTAGTGTCCTGACAGCAATCTTGATTGAACTGACACAAAAAAAGTGATGGGTTGCATCATCAGCCAATGTATCTTCATCAACTGTGCTGAGAGTGAACACCTTATTCATCTTAAGGTCTGTCAACTCCAAGGGATTCAGTATCAACTTCTTGTACAGATCTTTCTCAGGGGACTGTAGTGCAAAATTGAATGCATCCTTCGAAAAGGCAGGTGTTATGACATTGTCGGTTGTCAGTCTCTTCAGTACAACGTCAAATATCTTTTGATTCATGCCAGAGGAGTCCCTTTCCAAGCGTAACACTTTGCATTCCTGGTTGAGCTCAGATGGGCCACTCAAGCAGCGCTTGGCAGGCGGCATGTACGGCGTTTAATACGGGCGTAGACGTGGACCTAGACCGTGTTGATGGAGGAACCAGGGAGACGTAGACCATATCCGTAGATGTAGACCATATCAATGGAGGAATCAGGGAGACATAGACGTGGACACTCAACGTGGAGGTGTCTGAACCGCAGGTAACCGTGGAACTTGAGAACTTTGAAGATCTTCAGCCGCCCTTTGTCAAATGGCGTGTGACTCCTTAATGTAAACCAAAAACCTCGACGATCTCGACAGTAAAGAGTTGTAGTTGCTGGCAGATGACTCGTACGCTTCAATATTGCTTTACTTACGCTGGGCGATGCAAGGTTACTGCTGTGTGCAAAATTCTTGACGTAACTTCCACCTGTGCGCGCGAATCGCAAATTCATATCACAAATACCCCTAAAACAACATAGATAAAGGCCTCGGAGGTTGAGTAAGGGTTCAAACTGATCATATCTATCCTTAGCAATTACGTCGTGCCACCGGTTTTGGGCCATAAGGTCTCCCTCAGTCGCTTCATGCTTAAAAGGTGTTTTCAGTTACAAGAAAGAAATGCACCCTGGAAGCATTTAGGGATGCAGCTCCAGGTATCATGAGATAGAGGGATCTTGATGAACAGATTCTGCATGTGATTTCTCTGATTCTAATAGTTCTTAAGGTTTGTGGGCCCAGTGAGTGTATTCGATGCTTTCCTGCATGTTCATGCAACATCACGCACCTACGCCAAACCCCTTCACAAGGTCACAGCTCTATGAGAAATGGTACTACTCGCGATTCAAGAACATCAATCGATTCCTACGCGTCTGATCTATCGATTGCCCCCCTGAAACCGCCCTCCCAAGCCTTGTCTATGAAGATGGGCGTGTTCAGTAAACTATCCCCGCACAGACAGGCGGTAAAATGCGCGCCGTCAAGAATTTTGCACACAGCAGTAACGTACGACGCCAACGCAAATACGCGTCTCCCAAAACGCACAGAGGCGACTCGGAACTGAACACTAAATCTCACTCCATTACACTTGACAACTTGACAGAATGGGTATCTTCATCAAAATGATCTGCATAGAATACACGCCGCTGACCTTCTCTGCCTCCAGAGGCCCCTACTCCCCGCGTCAACGCCTCCACCCGCTCCGAGCACGTCGGCTCCTCCATCCGCATCATTGGCAAAGTTAATAGCGCAGGCGGCGGCCGAGCGATTATCGACGCTGGCGGCGATGTTGAGATCTCATATCATGAGGCCGCTACACTGATCACTCCTGGGCGTTTTGTGGAGATCCTCGGGAAGGTGAACCAGGACCTGACAGTAACTTGTCTGACTGCGATTGATTTCGGAGAGGATTTGGGTAAGTCAACCGCCTTTTTGCATCTGGCAGGATCAAAGCTAAATATTTCTGGTAGATATGAGCATCGTCGACAACGTCGTGCAAGTGAGTCAACAGTACCGCGACATCTTCTACTAGGGAGCACGTGTGCCTGAAGAGCGTGAATGTGCAGGGAGGGCCGAAGCATTCGTTTGACGTCAAGGATAGTGCAGTGAAAGATAGAAAGACCATATACCCGTGCGGCGGCAAAGGGATGCCGCACACATTCTGAACCAATATACTCAGTAACAAGGATCGCATTCTACTGTATCATGGGTATCTTCATGCTATATCTCATCACCGCCTTGGCAAGCCGATCGCCAAGTTGCCCATCTTCAATCCCAACCCTTCCTGTCTCCCTCCTTCTCCAAAACTTAGCATACCTCCCATGAGCAACACCTCGAACTTCTCCGCAACCTCATTGATCTTGAGCAAGATACCCGCTGCAAGCATCTTGGTTCTGCCTTCATCTATCATATGCTCAAAGACACCTCCAACCCATTCCCTTGTTTCCATCACTTCCTTTGCCCAGCCTTCTGCTAAGCGCCTCGGCTCATGGACCTCAAAGATGACTAGCAGTGCGAAGAGTAGCGCCTCAGTCAACGTATTGTCACCATTTGCTTTGGCGCGAAGTCCGAAGACAATACCCCATAGCTCACTTGTCATCTCTCGCAAGTCACACGCACTAGGCGCAGAACATCTTAGCACAATACCGAGCGTTTTGACAACTTGTGCAGCGAACAAGGGTTCCCGGACTCCTTCACCACGCATCATCATCCACCATCCACCGGCCAGCGGGAAGAAGTATCCTTTCCCGGCGATCCGAGCAAGAGTGTTGACCTCTGGTTTCTTCTGTCTTGCCTGGACTTCCGGACGGCGTGAGAACCGTCTGGTCTGTCCGACCTTAAGTGCCTCAGGACCGGAGAGTGCGTCTACTGCTTCTGCAGCTAAGGGTTTCAAGCTGGCTTCCTCGATACCCCTTGTCAGACGGTCGATTTCAGTTGTGGAGTCGTCGGCGTATATCGCATGCAGATGCTTTGGCAACAGTTTGCTCGCGATTACCGCACCCTCGACCTTCTTCTGTTGTCCGAGATCCTGACCCGAGAGTTCGACCGCAGCTGAAGAGACTGCAGCAAGTACGGCCATCCGCTGTCCAAGACTCCATTTACCACTACATACTCCTTCTGCAGCCCATGGTCCGATGAGCTTTGGTCTTCCGACTACGAGAGCAACGAGTGCGCGCTGTTTCATGTCAACGAAGTCTGGCATGTCGAACTCGTCGTTCATCCCAGCCAGGGTATTGGCGAGTTCAATTCCGTATAGGTCCAGCTCCGTTCCGAAGCTGGTGTGTCTCCTGACCAAGCCCTCCGCGTGCTTTAGAGCCAGCTTCACGACGTCGTACTTAGGTTCACTAGCTCTCAGTGTCACGAGCAGGTTCCTGATGTAGACTGGTGGTGTGATCTTGTGTTTCTCCCTGTTGATGAGAGTAGGGTCGTCGTCTGAGTCGGGATCATCTGAATCTGGTAGCTCATAGACCGGGAAGTCCTCCTCTTCGTCATCTGAATCAACAACTTGCGGAGTGGCTGGCTCCGGGTCTCGGGAGATGGCATCGAGGAAGCTGACTTCCTTCTTCTTCTTTGCCTCCATCTTCTCCGCCTTCGTTTCTTCCGGCCGTGTGAGCGCCTCGATTTGTCCCAGCATGGCACCATCCTGACGTCCTACATCAACGAGAGCTTTCCATGCCTGTGCTTCCTCAGTCTTCATCTCGTCCACACCGAACTTCAATGACTTGTCAACTGCCTCACCAACCACCATACCCAACCACCTTCTCCTTCCAATGGAGGTTAAGCGATTACTGGTGCTCTCCATCCATAATCGCTGAGCTTCTGAGTCCTTTAGCGGTAGATCGAAACGTCCTAAAGTTGGAAGCAGTAATTGTGTGAGGGCTTCCTGCGCGACTGTGGGTGCGTGTGCGATATACGTCACGTCCGAAAATCGAATAAGAATCTTGTTGAGGAACGTGAGGTTTAGTGGTGATTGCGAATGGAGGGCGATAAGTGCTGCCCTGGTCAATGGCAGCGATTGAGTGGTTGACGGTGACAGAATATATGCTTCCAGCTCGTTTCGTGATACCACCGCTGATAGAAGAGCCGCTGCTGCACCCAAAGGCGGCGATGAACCCGACAGATATTTCCTCGACAGCCATGAACATAAGGCGTGAAGGTGATTATGCCGAGCTGTGAGGAGTAATGCAGCATGTAAGTCGCATAATTGTGTGACGTTCGTTGGTATGAGCGCTGGGACGAGCACATCCATGAGCTCGAAAGTGTACCCCAATCCCAAAGCCTTGTTCAGTAGACCAGCAGCTTGGCTAGGGCCCAACTCATTCTTGATTGTACCCTCCGCAATGCCTGAGCCAAGCCAACAAGCCCAAGCCTTGCCTTCACCCAGCCACTTGACTCCCTCCTCCGCGTCTGGCATTGCCTGTAACACTTCTGCACATTTGCCCAATATGCGTCCACCAGCTGTCAGTGCGATGTATTCGCGCCAGAGGCCTTTATCAGCCTCTGCGTATCTCCAGACCGGAAAGGAATCGAACACGCCGGATAGGATCTGGAGAACTTGCGAACATTGGCTCCACTCCCTGGCTTTGAGAAGTCCGTCGAGCCGTGTAAGACATCCTCCAAGGCCATTAATCGTCGCAAGAGCACATATCAGTTCTTTTCTCGTTTTGTCGTCTGCTACCTCCCAATGTATCGGCACGATTTCCGCCAGAAGTGCCTGTGTGAACTGAGCTGCCCTGGGGTCCGGTGTGGAGGACGGACGGTGCGAGGCGGAGTGCTCAGCAAGCGCCTCTGTCAGAGCATGCACATCTGGCCGGGACTTCAAAACGATCAACGGATCAGCCGAAGACATGGCCTGAATTGAATTGTTGCCGAGGATGGGGTTACAAGACGACGTTACATGGCGGTGCGCCGTACAACTGTGGCGCATCCTACTCTGGGAATATGAGCGTTGGGACCCCTCACAGCTTGGTCGAATCACAGATACAAGCGTAATCTGTCATTCATAGCAGATAAGTGCATACAATGCCGCTTCTGTTATTATTGCGCTACGAAGACCGCTATGGCAGCCATGTATCCTACTCATCCCTCGCCTCATTCTCCAGGATTTCTTTCACCAATCTCTTCCTTTCTGCTTCTCTCATCCGCATCAATGTTACGCTCTCGTAATCTGGATTTACGATTGCTTCCGCTGCTTTTCGCTTGAACCCTTTGAAGGAGCCAAACGACGGTGCACCGGAGGCGGATTGAGGTTTTGGTGCTGCCTGTTGTGGCTCGTCTGGTTTTGCCGCAGATTTGAGAAGAGGTGATCTCACTTTTGGTTCCGGTGTCGGTTGATGGGATACGTCCGGCGCTGTCCCCGATGCCCAGGCTACCTCCTTGAACCCTTTGCATTCATCCCCGGCCACACCCTCCGTTACTGCGGCATGTGCAGCAACGATTGAGGAGAACCGCACTAAACCTGTTTGAATCTTCTTGTCTGTAGCCCGTGCAATCACTGTGTCGATCTCTCCGTACTTGACGAATACGCTCCGTAGCATCTCCTCCGACAGATCAGGCCTATCCCCCTTGCGCCAGCGTACTTTGATTGTCCGATCCAGTTCCGTGAATCGGCTTTCTTCGAACTCGACTGCGTCCTGCTTCTCCAGGCCTTCGTGAGCCTCAATCTGGGCTCTCTCTTTCTGCCGTGCTTGTTCGTCCCGCAACTCTTGATCCCTCTTGCGCCTCCTCTCAGCTCCTTCGGCTTGTAACCGGACAAGTGTCTCTTGAAACCTCGCTTCTGCCTCCTCAACGTCTGTCTCTTGCCTCTTAGCTCGCAACTCTCGTTCTTCGAGGTCATCTTTCATCTTCCGCCTCTCCAAATCAAATGTCTCCGCCCGTCTCTTCTGAGCAAGCTTGGCAGCGCGAGCATTGTCGTAGGCGGCTTTCGCAGCAGGTGTCGAAAGTACATCGTATGCTTGGGCGAGAACGTGGAACTTTTCAGCGGCCTGAAGGTCGTTGGGGTTCTTGTCAGGATGGTATTTGAGGGCCGTACGACGGTATGCCCTAGTGATATCCTTCTCCGAGGCCTCGAAGGCTACTCCGAGAAGTTCATAATAGTCCACATCGGTTGTAATGGCTTCAGGATCCGACATGATGGTATATTGGTGCCAAATGCGAAAGGCGAACTCCGGTATGTATGTGTACGTACTGGCGTCCACATTACAACGCCAGCTGCTTGTAACGTTGACTAAACGCACGTGCACGTGCACATCCAGATCGGGCAATTACATACATACAGTGTGGAGCCCGAGCGGGGTGTACGCGGAGATTACTCTTGTCTAGATGATGATTCAAGCATGCTGATACAGACACTTGGGGCGGCAAATGGGCTGTCGTAGTTCGGCTCATATCTTGCTGAAATGCTGCGATGAAGAGTTCCAGAAAGGTGCTCTTGATCATCATCGGAAACTCGAGCGTCCCATAGCCGTATTTTGTCCATGGCGTTGTCCACGGCCTCTATGTCAAATCGCTCTGTCCGATTGTCACACAGGTTCACCTCTCGTCACACGTATGCACCGCCTGTTGAACACATATTTTTTGAAGCACACCATACGAAAAACGTCATGGTATTTGAATTGCCCAAACTGATCTCCGGATATGCATTGTACGAGACAAAAAGAAAGTACGCCGCTTCAGCCTTTTCTGGACCGAGAACACCAAGATTATATTCCGAAATATTGGACACCGAAACGATAAGATCGACACCTAACGACGCATAACTTTGCTGCCTCTGCACTCCTTCACGAATCGAAAAGCAATTTAACGGTGCTAGATGACTGTTAAAACATGTTTTCACGAAAGTCGATGGACCACCGGGGCCAGGTGCTGGACGTACCTTGACGAAGCCGATCTGAGCAGAGTACTCACGGAAGCACTGACGGCAGATGTTGAGGTCGTACTTGCGGATCAAACCGGCCTGGTGGGCGCAGACGCGGCACTGACGAGAGCCCTTTCCGTAGGAGCGGGGGCGGGAGAACCAGACGCTGAAAAAACGTTAGTATATGCTGCAAAACATATAACGTGCGTGCTGTCGGAAGGCATATTCAGGCTCAATGCGTAGAAGGACCACGGAAAAGGGCATTGCTGGTGTTTAATTGTGGAGGACTCCTTCGGTGTGTTGACTGTTGCATCTTCGAACAAGTGTGAAAAGCCGATAAACGATGGTTCATTCGTGAGCGCATGTCCTTCAAAATCGACGAACAGAGCTCAATTCATTCGCTCATCAGTTGAAGCATATTTGCTGGGCATTTTCCGTGTGTCTTTTGTCGAGCATTGCCGTCTCTCAACGCCCTTCAATCGCCGAAAACGCACCGAAACCTCACTCCTCCGCAAACCGACAGCATCACCCCTCATTCACTTACTTTTCGTGAGCCATATTGTGCTTCGGGTAGGTGTCGAAAGAACTCGGTGCTGATCGGACGCTCCTTACACGCGCAAATTCTCCAGGCTCTGTGCGGGCCCCAATTTTGTGGCGGTGCAAGAGGCGGTGCATTGGTGGTCAGTCAGGTGATCGGGAGAGCCCGAGTGATGAGGGCTGACCAAACCCTACGCATTTGTCTACGTTACTGCATACACGACCTACGATGAGCGACGTAAACAGGACGGAAGGATGGTGAGAGATACGCTCAAGAGCTTATTGATAACGCGTTGCTGACGGAGAATAGAGCGATTCCCATGCAACATATATCCACATGAACCAGCCATGGATCGTGGACCACCTCGATGAATGGCTGCAACAGAAATTACCAGTGGAGGACATCTGGGTTCCTCCGGAGCATCAGCCAATGAACCCAGAGGACGAAGATGAAGGTACTTGGCTGCAGTATGAGTTCTTAGGGCTATGCAATACTAATCAGCATTGCAGTTCCCGACCAGCATGCTGCTGCAGGACTCCTTCGTGCTCAGAAACCACCAGAGCCGGCATGGAGGGACTTGGGTCTGCGTGAGATGGCAGCACGAGGCCCGAAACAAGGTGAGGATGTGAAGAAAGTGGAGAGTCTGCGGAAGAAGATACCTTTACCGCGGTAATGACAGGTGCAGGACCGCGATGTACGATACAACGAAGGGACGAAGGCGTTATTGGTGGCGTAAATGCCCTTGATTGAAACCCAATATAAATGCACAATTGATAAACGCCGTACCCATGCCTAAGAACCGTATACTGCCAAAAACTGGCCAGCATTCAACCGCCTGCAGCTGTCCTAGTTTGTTATCTGAACATCCTCCTCCCTCGGCTTGATGCTTGCGGCATTACCAATCTATCCGCCTTGTATCTTCTGTATGCCTCTCTCAGACTATCAGGACTCAACGGTCCCGTACCCTCTCCTCGAATCTGCAGCGCAAGCTCCACAATTTCGCCCACAAACACCTTTGAGAAACCACCAATAACGATGGCGACATTAGGTGTAATTGACTGACCAAGTGCAGCATTTGCGATCTTTTTGAGCCCTGACTTATTCAGGTTCGATCGTCTGTAGATCTCGTAGCGGATCATCTGCTCCGTCGTGAAGGAGTCCAGCAAAAATCTGTAAAGCGCGGCACTGTCAGCCTAGTGATAGAAAGTATCCCGACCGATCGTCTCACCTTTCCTTGGCTTTATCACTTTCCCCTACACCTCTAGACATGACAATCCCATCGTCGTCCTCGTCATCGTCCATATCCTCATCTTCGTCATCGTCATCATCCTTCGGCTTTCGTCTCTTCCTCTCCTTAGGCGCAGCAATCAGGCCATACTCATCTTCTGTAGCTCCACCTCGTACTGGTGTATCCGCCTGTAGAGACTCTGGGATGTTGGAGGCTGTGAAGGAGTTGGCGAGAGGATGTGGAGTGGAGGGTACGGATCCTGGAAGAAGGAGACCTGAACCGAGGGATGACGGTTTGCGCTTGTGCGCTCCTGGCGTGGGCGTATTCATTGTACAATATGTCAAGCCTTTACGGGTAATTCAAGAGATCGGAGCTCGTCTGGCGGTGTGAATGCGTGCTTTACGGAACTCGAGTTCGGGGTCGGCTTCGGACGCGTCTCGGTGCAGGGTCGACGTTATACGACAGATGACGTACAGCGAATGAGTTTTCTATACATGTCCGTACTTCTGTAATTTCTAGGAGCATATCATCTACTGGAAACCTAACTTGAATATTGTCGACGGCCTGATCAATGATCGTCGGTCCCCGGCGCCGGTCGCGTACGAACGTGAATCTCACATTTCCGAACACACCCAACGATTAATTGCAGTATGGCCGCCCAATTCATCGGTCTTACCGTCCAGCTATCGCTCAGAGACGACACTGTCATCCAGGGAATAGTAGCTGATGTCGATCCCGTTACTCAATTGCTCTCCCTCCGAGATGGTTCGGTTCCTCCAACGTTCACAGCATTTACGCAGGGCTAATGGATTGAACAGTGGTGTTTCTAAAAAGTGGATATCGTGCCCCGAGCTACAATGTAGATGGGTTGAGCATTAGGGATCTGGAGGTGTTGCCGACTAAGCCGAAGATCGCTGCACCGGTGCAACCAGTCCTGGTTGTGTCTGCTCCGCCTCCAGTGCTTAAGCCGCAACCTGTGAAGAAGCAAGAGTTTCAGGACCCTGCAATCGTCTCGGTATGTACCCCGCATGTTGCTGATCGAGCTTAGCTGACGGGTTGAGCAGTTTGGTCGTCCTCCCACCATTGCTGCACAAGTGCCTGTGCCTACTCCGCCTGTCAGCTCCCCTGCACCAAAGACCGGCTTCGGTTCTTCTTCCACTGTCATCCCATCCCTGGCCTCTGCGTCTCGCCGTCCAAACAAGCCCCTTCATTCCGTCGTGATCAACGCAGCAGTCGACACTCCCACGCTCGCCACCTTGACCCTTCACGATGATTCAAACGTTGACACGGATTCCGGACAAATCCCATACAAGAAGAAGAGACTACCCAGACGGGAATTCTTGGCTAGGAGAAATCATACAGCTACGACTGTTGAGGAGGAGGGGTGGCGCACGGAGGATATTGATCAGGACTTTGACTTTCAGTTGGCGTTGGGGAAGTTCGATAAGAAGAAGGTGTTTGATGAGATCAGAGTATGATGAGCCGCGAATCCTTGAAAGATCCTTTGCTGATGTTTTTATCATAGGAAACCGATATGACCGATCCTGAGTCGCTATTGGTCGCCCACAACCGCGTTGGACCACGCAAGTCCCCGGCACCTTTGAGAAAGGTTCGATCGCCAGCGAATGGTGGACCCGTTCCTGTGCCGCAAGGAAACTATCACCATAGGGATATGGTGCTCAAGGGAGGAAATCACAGGGATGATTGGGGCAGCAGCACGGAAGAAGACACCTCAGACGATGATGGCCGCGTCTCAAGGCGCAAGCCAAGAACTGCGAGTCGATCAATGGTGGATAGGAGAAGAAGCATTGGTCGGGCCAGTGTTAGCAAATCTGCTGCACCCAGCCCCGTTAGTGAGGCCCCCGAAGGCAAGAATAGACTACGGACGGCGTCGGACAGGACGGTGGTACCTGCGGTCTCGCCTATGCAGATGGTCGAGGCGGAGAAGCTTGCTGCTGCCGAGTTCGGATTATCTGATGACCTCTTGGCAGAGAATGCGGGGCGGAGTGTGGCGATGATGGTCATGACTGCTCTTGGAGGAAAGAGAATCAACGCGAAGAACCATAATGCTATGCCCGTCATTGTGATCTTGGCTGGAAACAACAAGACCGGAGCTTGTGCGTTGGCGGCTGGCCGTCAACTCAGCAATCACTCCGTGAGAGTGCTGGCAACGGTTGTTGGTACAGAGAGGGAGGAAGACTACGTCGACTGCATTCGTGCGCAGACTAGGGCTTTCTTGGGTGCAGGCGGGCGACTTGTTAACCCGGCTGATCTCGAGATGACTGCGGAGTCCCTTGCCTTCCCAGCTGAGTTGATCTTGGACGGTATCTTCGGATACCAGTACTCCATGATGGACATTTGGGATGACGATATGCGTCAGCGCTCTGAGGAGATCATCACTTGGGCAAACAATCACAAGGCTAACATCGTGTCTCTCGATATGCCGAGTGGTATTTCGGGTGCTACTGGTGTGATTGCGGATGGGGGCGTCCATGTCCAGAGCAAATGGGTCGTATGCCTTGGCGTACCGAAGCAGGGCTTGATGACTGCGTTGCAGACAAACAAGGGAGGTATCGACTGGACGGGTTTGTTCGTTGCTGACATCGGGATTGGACGAAGAGTGTGGAGGAAGCTTGGACATAAGGCATTCGCCGGATGGGGAGCTGAGTGGGTCACGCCTTTGGAGTTTTCATAGTTGGATCATCATTTAAGATAGCATAAAACAAATGGAGGATATACCTGTAGTTACCCACCCTCATTAAACTCACTTTAAGTGACAGCTGTCTAGCCGTGCAGCCGTACGTGTCGTTGCATCAGACCTGCGCCCACACGCGACGTCCCGAGCAAACAAGGTCCGAAATTGAAATCACAATCCCCCTACTTCGCCATTTTACGCCCGTCTGGCCGCTGTTTCGTTGAGAGTTCCTGTTCATTCTCTTTGTCAACCTATCGAAACCAAGAGGGAGCTTTTTAACGACTCTCGATGGGCAACTGGTGCTCTAACTGCTGTGGGTGTGGAGGTGGGTACTGCCGGTCAACGTCATTGGCACGCATGCTGACTCTTCTATCTCAGGCCGCTCGCAAGACGGTCTTTATGAGCCGCTGTTGCAGGTATGCTGTTTGTTTCTTGCGCTCTCTGCTCATGATGACTGACCGCGCGTATAGGAGAATGAACGCGAAGCCGTCGCCGACTTGCTTTCGTACCTTGAGAATAGAAGTGATACCGACTTCTTCAGTGAGGAACCTTTGAGGGCACTCAGCACACTTGTATACTCCGACAATGTCGACCTTCAACGAAGTGCTGCATTGGCTTTCGCTGAAATTACCGAGAAGAGTATGACGCAATACAGCTCATCTTTGGCATCTCTAACCGGAATCATAGATGTCAAAGAAGTGAACCGCGATACATTAGAACCCATTCTCTTCCTCCTGCAAAGCCAGGACGTCGAGGTCCAGCGTGCGGCAAGTGCAGCGCTTGGCAATCTCGCCGTCAACACCGAAAACAAAGTTCTCATTGTCCGCCTCGGTGGTCTCGACCCTCTAATTAGACAAATGCTTTCCCAAAATGTGGAGGTTCAGTGCAACGCTGTTGGATGTATCACAAACCTCGCAACTCACGACGAGAACAAGACCAAAATCGCTCGGTCGGGTGCTTTGGTACCTCTCACCAGACTGGCGAAGAGCAAAGATATGAGAGTGCAACGGAATGCCACGGGTGCGTTGCTTAACATGACGCACTCTGACGAGAATCGTCAGCAGCTCGTGAATGCGGGTGCTATCCCTGTGTTGGTAGCATTGCTGAGCAGTATGGATTCGGATGTTCAATATTACTGCACGACTGCTTTGAGTAATATTGCTGTTGATGGTGTGAACCGGAAGAAGTTGGCGCAGGGTGAGCCGAGGTTGGTCCAGAGTTTGGTGAACCTTCTGGATTCACCGAGTCCCAAGGTGCAGTGCCAAGCTGCTCTTGCATTGAGAAACCTTGCATCGGATGAGAAGTATCAGCTGGAAATTGTTCGCTCATCCGGTCTTCCACCACTTCTCCGTTTACTCCAATCCTCCTACCTTCCCCTCATCTTATCCTCAGTGGCATGCATCCGCAATGTCTCGATACACCCTCTCAACGAATCACCAATCATTGACGCTGGTTTCCTCCGTCCACTAGTCAACCTCCTCGGAGGTGCTGATAACGAGGAAATCCAGTGCCACGCCATCTCTACCCTCCGCAACCTCGCAGCCAGCTCGGAAAGGAATAAGAGGGCAATTGTGGAGGCAGGTGCGGTGCAAAAGTGCAAGCAACTGGTGTTGGACGTGCCGATCAGCGTGCAAAGTGAGATGACTGCATGCATGGCGGTGCTTGCGTTGAGTGATGAGCTGAAGGGTCACCTTCTTTCTCTCGGCATCTGTGACGTTTTGATACCTCTGACCGATTCGCCCTCGATTGAGGTGCAGGGTAACAGTGCTGCTGCGTTGGGCAACTTGTCTTCGAAGGTCGAAGATTACTCGCCGTTCATTGCGGCATGGGATGAACCTGAGGGTGGATTCCATGCCTACCTCAGAAGATTCCTCGCTAGCGAGGACACTACCTTCCAACATATTGCCGTGTGGACGCTTTTGCAGTTGTTGGATTCGGAAGATGATAATCTCGTGGATTTGATCAGGAGAAGCACTCAGATCGTGGCGATTGTCAAAGACATGGCTCAACGTGACGTTCCGGAGGATGATGGTGACGAGGGTGAGGGCGAGCTGGTGGCACTTGCGAGGAAGGCGGTGGAGATGCTTGAATAATGACTCGCAAGATTATGATACAGTAGCAGTGTGAACGTTTTTGTGCCTTCTCTATTGCTTTTGGAAGGCGTATTGTCGGTATTTGGCTTTGTTATACGATATGGAATATATGTATTCCGTAATCCAATTATTGTCTTTTGTGTTCCATACTATAACTAAACGGTTGTACCCACTCACCTACCGCCGCTGTCTACCTAATATAGCAATATCGTTTACCACACCTTCAACCTCCAAAACATCATTATGCCTTCGACATCTCTTTGCTGACCTCACCATCGGCAGGTGTAGACTCAGTCATGTCGGTATCCTCAGCAGCTGCCTCCTGGACGTCATCGTTCTCTTCGGCATCCAAATCAACACTTCCTTCGTCGTCGTCTTCTTCCAAATCCTCCTCACCCTCAACTTCAGCTTCCGCAACAGGAGCACCCTCCTCGCCATCTGCACCAGCCTCCTCCTCCTCCTCCTCGTCGGCCTCCTCTTCGGCGGCTTCATCTGCACCGTATGTCTGTACGATTTCGTCAGCATTGCTACATTTTAAAGTATGAACACCCCGTACCTCCTCATCAGCTTCGACTTCATCCGCACCAGGCTGCTCTGGTGGGTAGTCAAACAACTCATCTCCAGAATCCCATTTGATGTTGAATCGCGTTACTCGCGGCTTATCCGCCAAAATTTCACGAATAACATGGTCCCATTGCACCTTGTCTGGACGCTTACCGCTCTCGGGGTCCTTCCATTCTTCGACGTCGTATTCGTTGTTGACGTAGTAACCGACACGGACGAACTCACGGTCGTCGTATGAGCAGGTGAGGAGGATAACTGTGCAACCAATCGCGTCGGCGGCGGGGATTTTGGTGGTGTCCGGGGGGTCGGCGGTGAAGACGAACTTGTTTACACCGACGGGGATCGGGCCGACAAGGAGGGAGTCGAGGACTTGGTCGTGTGCGTCGGACGTGGCAGAGCCGACGTACGTAAGCTTCCACTCGAGGTCTGTAAGCGTCCATGGTTAACAAAGTGCGGTTCAACCAAGACAATTGGACGATGTACCATTCTTGAGAGGCTCCAGACACTCGAAAGTAATTTCGAACTCATATGGAGCAGAGAACTTTGCCGGGTTATTCAGAACTTGGATGTTGAGGATATTGACAATCATGGCGACGAGGAAAACAGAGTGAGGAATCTATGTCGCTGACAGATCTACAACCGCGGGAATTGGTGAAGAAAGGAATTGGACGGATGGATCTGGAGTGTTTCGACGCGAAATGTTTAGACGATGTACGCGCGACGGGCAGTAATTAAGGGTGTGCACGCGAACCGGGTGCCATTCTTGCGAGATGAAGACCATCCTTGAGTCTTCCCTCTTCTACCAGTCGATTCTATTAGTTATTTTACAAAAGGCTATAATCTTTTCGTGTATCCAGGTGAATCGACAGCTGCACCTGACTCGTGACTGGGGGAAGGTGTTGGTAGATTTCCAGGTGCGGTCAACAGTCGAGAAAAAGTCGTCGAAGTTCAGATCTCTCAACCCAAGTATATCTCGGACCATGACAGTTACGATCATGGCATCAATATCAAGATCGACCTGTGCCTCCGCTCTGCGAGCAGCTGCCCCCTCCCGCCTCTTCCGCCAACAGGCATACCGCACTTCCGTGAGATGGAACAGTTCCTCGACTGAGCCCAACGCACGACCAGCGCCCGGAGACCCCGACACCATCGGTACCGTCGATCCCGCCGATCAGGCTCCTCCGGCGTCACCTATCCCTGCTGGTACTGCCAACAAAAACAGGATTTCCAGATACGCAAAACCGTACCCAAGACTCGAGTACCCCAATCCGCCATTAGGCGTCAATCCAGCGTACGACGAGGCTCTAAAGGTCATCGACGCCCACAGAGAAGTGATCAATGAAAAGATTAGGCAAGAGAAGAGAAAGATTACGCTGGCCACGGCAAAGCTCAACAAATTCGAGCAGTTCGAAACGGGACCGGGCCGAGTTTGGAAGGACAACCTCGACGGTTATTGCAAGAACCTTGAGTACTTTGAAGTTCAAAGAGACATCGATAGCCCAGAATTCCGCTGGCGACACGAAAACGGCGACGTTGACATGTCCAAGCCCGTTTTCCGATACCTCGCCAAGCAAGATTGGGAGTTCCGCCCTCTACCGGTTCTTATGCAGCGTTTGGAGACTATGTTCGTTGTTCCCGATACTCTCCCATCGATCACGCCTGTGGTGGACTTGCGTTTGAGATTCAATGGAAGTCACATCGTGGAACCTGGTAGCTGGGTGGAACTGGACCAGTGTACGAACGCACCTCCGGCAGTTGAGATTGTTCCTTTCGAGGATGGTGAGAATACTTACACGGTTCTTCTGGTTGACCCTGATACACCCAATGTCGAGGACCAGACCTATAACACTACCTTGCTTTGGGCGGTTTCCGACGTCAAGATCTCGCCTACTTTCACCGAGTTCAACGCAGCACATGGAACGGAGCACGCCCAATTCATACCTCCTCACCCTACCTACGGTATCAAATACCATCGTTACACTATGCTGGCTTTCCGCCAGCCTACCGAGAAGCTCAAGATGGAGGGTTATGAGATTCCTGGTGGAACGTTCAAGTTCGATCTCAGGACGTTTGTTGAGGATCATGAGTTGGAGCCTGTTGGTGCGAGCTTCTGGAGAGCTAAGTGGACCGAGGGTGTCAGTGAGCGCATTGCGAAGGAGACTGGCGGATTGGGTGGTCTTAAGTTGAAGAGGATTAAGGCGTAAGAATGGAGGACTGGGCAGGGAAGGGAAGGACGGACAAGGTTGTCTGCAGGTCACGATGCATCTGTAGGCTCTTGTACAAATGGTAAAGGTACCTTGAGTGGTTCTCGTAACCTGGGCATAATGGGGAAAGAATGTTGCATTTCAGTGGCATCAATTGCCTTCCACGCTGCGCTTTTGCAACTCTCTTATCATATAAATACCCTCCTTCACCTCATGCCCGCGGGGCTAGCTTCTGAGTGGTCCGCTCCTGGATTCTAAGCAAAGCCTCCTCCTCAATCACAACACGCCCCCATTTCAACAAATCAGTCACCTCAAGATCCTCAACTTCCTTCACCTCGCAATCTTTACCCAAGTTCGCCGCTGCCCTTTCCACATAGGCCACGTCCTCTGTCTTCTTACTAATAACCAACAAAGCTCCACCATGTGGCTTGTCCCAATTGTTTGCAGCCAACACCTTAGACATGACCCGGGTTTTGTATGTCGGAAGCTCTGTGCCGTCGACGATGGTCAATTCACCCATTCTATACCGCGTAGAGAGCGCAGTACGGAAAGCGAGGTTGTATAGCTTCTGAGGAAGCTCCGTAGAAAAGTCACGGGGCTTAGGACCGTGAATACGACCTCCTCCACGAAGCATACCAGAACCCCTGTCACCCAAACGAGCACGACCGGTGTGCTTCTGTGGGCGCAGCTTTCTTCCACTGTAACTGACTTCTGCTCTGTTTTTGGTACTGGCTGTTCCCTGACGTTTGCCGTCTGCTTCGAAGATGACAGCGCGGTGAAGGATATCCTTTCGCGTAGGAAGACCCAAGAATTCGTTAGAGAAGACGTGGAACCCTTTAGGTTCAAGAGAGGGGAAGGCGTGTACAGTTCCGAAAACTACTGATTCCTCGAGGGGAGCGGCCTTGATGACGGGCTTGTGGGCTTCGACGACGGTGGCGAGAGTTCGTCGGCATACCACTGGTACCCTCTTAAATGAAGCTGCTTCTGATACCAGGCTCAAAACCGATCTTCTCGTTGAACTGGCCATTTTTGTGGTCGTATATGATTTCGACCTTCGCGACAAGAAAGTCCGGAGATATGCAGGTGTAGGTCACGGGGGGTGAAGAGTCGAGAAGGATACAACGGAAGCTGCGAAGCGCAATTAGAAGAAAGTCAAACTACTAGTACTTCAAGCGATTACCCTCTCCTTCATGAGCTGCCGACCGTGCGAAGGGTGCACGTGCCTTGCCGGAGCCTGCCCCGCAAAGGTGCACCTTGAGCCCACCGGTGAAATACCCCGCCGCGTATCTTCCAGTTGAGTCTCCCGAAGACCATGCTCGCCTCCAGAACAGCTCTGCGTTTCAGGCCGGTCGCCATGCCTCTACGAGCAAAGATCACGAACCCTGCGTTCTTGAATGGGAGCATCAAGGTACATACGGTCTGATCGTTTCTCAGATCTCAATTGACCGTCGCAATCTTACAGATGGCCTCAAACTCTGCCTCCGAATCGCAACAGCTCGCTGAGGTAACGTTCTTGTCCGCTCGCTCGTCCTTGGGCATGTTTTGACATATCTCAACAGAATGACGTACTTTTCGAATCCAAATTCGGTACCCGTACCATCATCCTCAACAGACCTAAGAAGTTGAACTCTCTCACTGCCTCTATGGTTTCAAAAATCACTCCTCGGTTGCAGGTTAGATTTTGCGCAGCGTAGATACGATATATCAGAGGTCTGACCAAGTTATGCAGGAATGGGAAAAGTCCGATCTCGCCAAGGTTATCGTCTTGAAGGGTGCTGGGCGTGCCCTCTGCGCGGGCGGTGATGTTGTAGGTGAGTCCCACGAGGTTACGGCGTCTTTTCGGCTGACAGCTTACGAATCTCTACAGCCGTTGCCTCGGATGTCAAGGACGGGACGCCAGAGGGTTTCAAGAAGGCCACCGAATACTTTGGTGATGAATACAAGCTCGACCACCTCATTGCATCATATACCAAGCCTTACGTTGCCATCATGGATGGTATCACGAGTAAGTTGATTTGCCCCATTTATCTGAGGATGTTCATAGCTGACGGATTTTTACTTAGTGGGCGGAGGCGCCGGTTTATCCATGCACGCACCTATCCGTATCGCGACCGAGAAAACTCTCTTTGCTATGCCGGAAACCACTATCGGATTCTTCCCTGACGTCGGTGCATCCTTCTTCTTGTCCCGTCTCGATGGAAAGTTGGGTACCTACCTTGGAATGACCAGCGCGCAGCTCAGGGGCTGGGATGTTGTCATGGCTGGTATTGCTACGCACTATGTTCCTTCTGAGCGTCTCCCGATGTTGGAGACTCGTTTGGCCGAGCTCGAGACGTCGGACTTGAGCCAGATCAGCGAGGCGATCGATGATTTCGTTGGCGAGGTGCCTAAGGGATACCAGTTCGCTCTTTCGGGTGACATTCGGAAGGCGATCGACAGGTGCTTCAACTTCAAATCGGTGACCAAGGTGATTAAAGCGTTGGAGAAGGAGAACACTGCTTGGGCTCATGAGACGATCAGGCTCCTCCGCGAGCGTTCGCCTCGCAGTCTGGCTGTTACTTTAAGGCAGCTGAGAGAGGGTAGCAACTGGGATATCGATGAAGCGTTTAAGCGCGAGTTCATCATTGCTTCGAGGTTCGTTCAGACTGAGGACTTCGTTACTGGTGTCGAGACCAAGTTGGTGTTGAAGGAGGGGGGCAGACCAAATTGGCAGCCTGCAAACATTGAAGATGTCGACCAGGACATTCAGAACTGGTATTTCGACGTGAAAATGGACGACCCTGAGCTTGAGTTATTGCCTCGACCGCGTTCCTGGATTCCGTATAAGGGTATGCCTCATCATCGTGCGAAGCACTACCAGGTGGACTTGCCCAACGAGGTGGAGGTTAAGCAGCTGATCGAGGGAATGCACCGTGATGGTGGAGTGAACGCTTGGTTGGCGGAGGAGGTTGTAGATTTCTTTGTGCAGAACAGGAGAGGCAGGGCCGGTGTGGCGGAGAAGGTTAGGGATATCCTTGCGAGAAAGACTAAGCTGAGGGCTGCTGGGGAGAGTGAGCTGTCGACTTTGATGTGGGTGCAGTGATATGTCTGCGTCGTACGACAGGCAGACCGGTAGCATACCGCATCCCTGCTGAATGGGCAGGCATATTTTTAGAATGGATAATGTTCCTTTCTTGTATTCTCGATCTTCATCTCCAGAGCAGAAACCAATTTTCCCCGTCGTACGTTCCAGGTACGGGCGCGTAGACAATACCCCGCTAGGTATTGTTCCCCATCCAAAGCGGCGAAACCTCGGTCCGCGAGTGTTATTATGTAGGACTACTACAGGGACCCGTTCGGTTTATCGCAACCGAACAATGCCTTGCAGACCTTAAGTAATGGCCTGCTATTGTTCACTACGATAAAGCTGAACGTGGGGCGGGGATGGAGGGAGCCACGTTGTAAGAAGTACAGCCATGGCTAGATAAGAACAATACCGTGATTTCGAAGGCGATGTCACTGCTATTGTATCCACGTGCTGCCATCCCGATCGTACACACTGTTACAAAGACATGGACCGGTTGGAAACGGTCGTCGGTATGAATCGGTAAAGGAAGTGGACGAGGAAAATCTGGCTTTGAGCGGTCGCTTGGGATTCAACGGTAGAATCACAAAGGGCAAGAACAATATGCTTAGGCCTATTGTGGAGCGGTTAGTATTGTTACCACGCGCCTGCAAGGCTTCCGTTACGCCTGAGAACAAGGCAGTTGGCACTTCGCAAAGGACCATGTGGACTCGACAGCGACGGTTTCTTTGTCCATTGGCCTTCGTCGGGCTCTAGCACAGATCCTCTCGAGATTTGTCTATAAGAAGAGGCTGTTTCCCCCGTCTCTTCAACCTCATCAAACACACTCACTGACCAACTCAACTACTACTACTACAATGCCTGCCTGCACCTTCTCTGCTCCCGTCCTCGCCTCCTCCGAGCGGTAAGCAACTCCTCAATTCTAAAGTCTTTGGTTCTCTCTTACTAACTGATCTTTTTCAGTGCCGTTGTTGCTTACACCTGCTCTGTCCAGAGCTCCGAGCGCGCTGTTGTCGCCTACACCTGCTCTGTTCAGTCTTCTGAGCGGTAAGCTTGCTCGCTCATACTCTCACCCAGTCCTTCGAGCTAACTGTTCTCTTCTAAGTGCCGTTGTTGCCTACACCTGCACCATCGCTTAAGCGAGCGGACAACCTTGAGTATGAAGAAGGATCAGGGTGCTGATTTCCTAATGTCAATGCAGCGATGGATTGACTAGCGGTTTTGGTAGCTTGTTTCTGGTCTTCCCTTTTCAGTGTTTGGTCGGTCTGGACCTATTTTTTATACCTCGGGATCATTAGCTTAGCTGGCCTATGTTAGTGTGAACACAAAACCCAAAACTGACAGTCCAAACTTCCTCCTCTGTGAACTGGCCTTCGAAACTTGCAGCCTTCGGTGGTATTACTATGGATCCAATGGCGGTCTGCAGCTTCCAAGCTTGAAACTTCTCTTCGATCCCGTAGTAAGGCTGCCGAAAGTTGCCGGGTTCGAAAAAACTTAAGAACCACACATGAATACATATGGCTGAGACTCTAGCATTCGGTGGACCGGTAGGTAGCAAATTGATCCTCTGGTGTCTTCAACCTATGAACAAGGGTCGTTTGCTGCGCGCGATGTGCTCGGCGTGCTCATGGATATGGAATAATTACCTGCAGTCTGTGGAAACGTCAGCAGGCGTGGACTACGTACGCTGTTCTATATACGTTTCACGTCTTTAGACCTTTGACTTATTGTTTTTTGACGACATAACCCTTTCGTCTTCGAACTCAGCGTGACATACCGTGGGAAACTCTGATAGCACTCATGCCGCAGTACCCTCAAACAGAAAAGTGGAGTAGAAATGTGAACTTGAGTGTAAATGTCCTCGCACGCTCAGTTTCGCTTCGCTACCGCTGAACAACGTCAAAAGAGAATAATATCGACGAAAGTTACAACACGACATGACGAACAACGAGGGGATGAACACCAGCTCATTATCGCGCAAATCAAAGTGATAATTCCTCAACCTAGCCTATCTCAAACTTGCAATTTCAGGTTCTCACACGAGCAACCAAGGCATCAGCCCATCATCCTTTTCTTCTTCTCCATCATCACTGCACTGCAACGTCGTAAAGCTCAAAGAACAAAAGGCAAAACCATAACCCAATTCCATGCCAAGATGCCCGTGTATGTAACCTTGCCACTAACAATATAACCTGCAAAGAAAAAACAGAAAGTGAACACCCCGCACTCGTAAACACGCAAAAAATAGCAAAGCAGGAAAAAGCAGACTCCGATCTCAAAGAAAATAACACGCGAACCCATTAACAATATCCAATAGAAAGCAAGAAACACCCCGTGACCAACCGCGTGTATTATATAGGCCCAAGGTGTGTGTGAGGTGTTGTTGATATTTGTGCTGTGTCGTGTGCCATGATTATAGTCGTACATTGCTGCGGTCGTGATTGTTGATCAAGCAGCCGAGACGGAGATGGGTTCGTCGTAGAACATCCCATCACCTGCAGCTCCGGTGATCCCCTCGTCTACTTCAGCCCCAGGCTGAGCATGCGGCGACGGCATCGTAGGCATAGCCGGCGTCATCGGCTCCATCTTCAACCCCTCACCATGACCATGACCATGATTGTGTCCATGTCCCATCTGAATACCAGGCATCGTCATCCCAACACCGCCCACATGTCCTCCATGGCTTGGGGCATACCCTTGCCTCTGCGACAACATCTCCGCCTCCCTCGACAAATACCTCCTGATAGCCTCACACCCACACCCCTCATGCGCCAACAACCTCCCCTTCAACAACAAGACCTCCTCCCTCAACTGTGCTGCCATGACCTGCAATTGCCTGGATCGCTGGGAAGCGAGGCGAGCTGTGGCTTCGAGGTCGTTTGCCCATTGTTTCTTTTTGAGGCGGCATTTCGACGCGGCGAGGCGGTTGCGTTCGAGGAATTTTGAGCGGCGGGAGAAGTCGTTGGGGTCGGCGTCGTCAAAGTCTTCGGGAGAGGGAGAGGGTGAGGGTTCTTTTTGGTCTGGAGTGGATTTTGGGCGGCGGCCGCCGCGGCGAGACACTGCGGGAGCAGAAGAGTCTTCGGGCGAGATGAGTTTGGGTTTCTTGGTGGAGAGAGGTGGCAACATGACCTCGCCCGCTACATCAACAGCACTAACCTTCCTCTTCCTTGCTCCACCACCACCACGGGTAGCCTTTGTAGTAGCCGCACTCATACTCTTGCTCCTTCCGTGGGCGCTGTTACCCCTTGGAGCAGGAGCCGACTTGGTAGTAATATCCTCCGGAGGAGTGACTTGCCCAGAAAACGGACGAGGCATAATCTGCATACGCGGATCGATAGGCGGCATGACCTGCTGAGGCGGCACCCCCATCAACGGCGAAGGTTGACTAAAGATAGACGGAGGAGCATTATTCGGGATATCGGTGGTGGGTGAGGGAGACGGAGATGGTTGTCCGGTGTGTGGGTTGATGTGCTGGAGGTGAACACTGGTCGTGTATGCACCCTGTTCTTCCATGATCCCGTCCTTTTCGACGGCGGAGGCCCAGTTCATGGGAGGGAGTGTCAGAGCTCCTTCGAGGGTGCGTGGAACGGGCGAAGCCGAAGCACCGAGGGCAAAGTCAGGGAGAGGGAAGGGCGAGTTGCGACCCGAGGCACCACCGAACGAAGCGTCGAACGGATTGAGGTCTGTGAAAGCGGCGGAGAAGAAGCCCGGAGTGAAAGTGGACGGCATGTTGCAACCCTTTTTATCCAGCAGTGCACGGGGGGGGAATACCTTTTTATCCAGCAGTGAGCACGGGGGGGGGGAATCACGGATCGCCAGCAGTGAGCACGCGGGGCCGCACCTGACGGGCCGCGTGGGGGGGCGATGTCGCGCTGCACCTCGATCTGGGTGTGCAGCGGTGTGCGGCATGACATCACGCCGACTCTGCGCGGCACAATCGCATGTTTACCTAAGCGGCATCGAATTGTTAAGAGTGGCAACCGTCAGGAACAGAACACCGTCAGGAACGGATTCTCCCAGGTGACGCGGTTTCGGGTTCTCCCAGGTGACGCAGGGACGCAGGGCCGTCAGGAACAGGAGAGGGCGGTTTCGGGTTATTGAGTGCCCGCTGACACGGATCCCCTCCCTCGCCGAGATAGAAATAGAAAGTCTCCCCTGTAATCAATCGTGTACAATCCTCATAGACCCTCGACTTCATCCTCGTAGTCGGGCAATGTCCTTGAACGGTTTGCGTGCTTTGAGCGTCAGCCATGCGTGGGAGAGGGTGTCTACCCGCGATTCTGATGCTTGGTTTGTGTTGCTAACCCCCAGCAACTGATCGCCTGCGCTAATGTGACGGCTGATCCGTAGGATGATATTGACGTATACGAATCGTTCGACCTTGGTGTTGTGGTCGAGTGGGTGTACCGGATTGAATGGGTTGGTCAACACGCCTATCCCACCGTCGACCGATGCTCTCTACGCTTTCGTTGCTCAGCCCACCGCTCGGCTCGACCCGGAGCCGAGTGTATTGGCAATCAAATATGTCAAGCCGACTGCGGGCGGTGTAACAAGAGCACGAACCACTGTTCATTGGCAAACATTGCTGGAGACCTTCCGGGGTTGGACGAGTTGTTTAGAGGTGGGTGATTGGTCCGCACTCCGACGTGATCGACGCGTTTCTGTTGGGAGTGTAGGAAGTTCGTACGAAGGTGCTGCATCAGTCGAGAGTTTACAATTGGTGCATAGGACTAGTACGAGGAGGAGGAGACGGGATGAAGGGTACGCTGATATGGACCAGCCATGGTCCGAATGGGCATCACAGAATCCGGTGCGGTTAAGTGCGTTCCCGATGCTGCTCCCCAGTGCCACCGAGAAAGAGCACGAGCAGCAGATGCTCCCGTTTGAGCCGCTGATCGGGTTTCCGGCACCGCCTAGTCCGCCGTTGACTTCAAATCCTTTGCATGGTGGGTTTCAGATGGATCCGGATCGGGAGAAGTTGATGGAAGGGCACAAGTTGATTGCTTTACCTCTTCAAGTTGTCCTGCCGGACCCGGAGGTGGTGAGAGCACGCTCAAAGAGTGAAGGAGGTGATGTACCACCTAGGAGTCCGAAATGGATGAATCGGATGGCACGAGTCAACCAAGGCGTACGCTGCGTCAGTGTCGCTATGGAGCGGGATCGGGAACGCGAACAGGAATCCCTGCCCGCGTCCCCAACATTCCTCACGCCCACCAGCCCCGGACCCACAACAAGCGGTAAATACGGACTATGGGAGCATTTGGCCCGTTTGGAGGCGCAAGGAATGGAATTGATCGCCGGCTACGTCAACGTCCAGGCCAACTCCCCCCTCTGGCGCCGCCGCTGGCTCACAATTCGAGACCGCAAACTGCTGGTCGAATCCAGCCTCGGACCAGCGAGTATGTGGGATTTGTTGAGTGAGGTCGAGAGTGTGGGGGTTGTCAAGGAAGAGATGGTGGGGATGAGGAATGTTGTTAGGGTTGGGTTTGTGAGTGGGAGGGAGGTGTTGGTTGGGTGTGAGAGTGGGGAGGAGTGTGAGGAGGTTGTGGCCGTGGTTGAGTATTGTCGGCAGCATGTTGTGTTGATGTGAGTGAGTCGTGATTTGGTAATGCATGAGTTGTACGATTTTTGGAGTGCTATGTTATACCTATTATGCCCTTGATAATGCTATTGTTATGATCTTGTTCATTTTCCTTACTGTATGGCTTTCTTAGACTTCATGTACCAATCATGATCCCGTGAAGATTTATCCTATTTACCTACATTCAATGACGGTTTGAAAGTAGAAACATATTGCGTAACATAATGTGGGCACTTCCCAATGCGGCATTCTCACGCGCTAAAGCTAGTTCCGAGAGGCACCTCAGTCATGTCAACTGCCTCTTGCGGATGTTGAGAAGCTTGCTTCGATCTCCTGACGTCAGTTGCTGCTCTTTCAGAATGTGCTATAAAGTCTGTGGTTTGTTTGCCAAGTCGTCTGTTTCTCTCCAAACCTCATCTGCTGCACTCTGCTGATACGAGCCCCAACTCACACCACGTACAACTCTGGTGTTGCATCCAATAGCCATCGGAGAATTTTCCTACTCGTCCTATCCGCTTACACCTCATTCCTCGCTCTCAGCTTCAATATGACCACCCGGCGTCGGGTTGCCGCAACCTCTGCCTTACCGCTCAGCCAAGACGATCGTCGTCTGAAAACGATCCCGAACTTTGAAGTATCACTCAACATTTACGAGGTTGAAAACGCCGTGGCAATTCAACACTTCGCGCCCAGGATTATGGGTCTCGAGCGTGGTGAATGGGAGGCTTGTGGACAGGTCCTCCTCGAGACTGAGATGGTGAGGAACACAACGTTTCGCTGCGCGCCGATCGTCATCGGCGTCTCCGCACATGACAAGCTTCCTCACATAATGCTCACGCCACCGACCAAGCAGGAGCTCAAGCGTCCATGGGTTCCGTGCTGGACGGGACAGAAGCGCGTTGAGGGTCTTTTGGGAGTGCCCCACAAGGGTTACAACAGAAAAGACCGGAGGAATAACGCATGGACTCCATTGGGAGTGAAGAAAACTTCAACAGCGGCAAGCCCTACTGTTACTAAGGTTACGAAAGTCCCACCCACGAAGCCAACGATCACCGGTCGTGATTATAAGCTGAGGTTTCAGAAGAAGATTGAGGAGAATCTGAAGAAGGGTGTCGCAAAGTTACAACTTGCAGACTAAGCATATATTTTCGAAATAGCTCGGCTTCTTCTTGTATTATAATTGACAATCGTTGCTCGGGTGTCTACGTTGCAGGGCCCATGCGTTCGCAACTCCAGATTCGGGAAGTTCCATAACAACCGCGACATACGTAAACTCGATAAATAGAATCGCCATGAGCTCGACTGATAAAAAGACTGCGGATCTTGTAACAGCATTCAAGCGGCAAGGTCATTTTGACGCTCTTCGCAAGGAGCTACTCGCAAACTTCCGTGAAGGGGTACGGCCTTTCGGTGTTCATCAGTGAAAACGCGTACTTACAGCCATGGCAGGATGATGGCAACGCGTTCCTCGCCCGTATCAAAGACATTGTCGAAGCCGAGATCACCCGAGATGAATCCATCCTGGCGAAAGATAGGACAAAGGCGACTAACCTGCTTGGTACGGCCGTCGAGAGGTAAGTCAACGACGTCGTGACTTGCCCACGTGCATATCTAACACAAATGCCGTGCCAGGACTGAAGCCTACCCCGACTTGAAGAAAAAGACTGAAGATCGAGTAATGGGGTCTAAAGAGCTAAGGGAAAGGGTGGAAGGGTTGATGAGAGCTGTCTTGAAGGAACAAGAGGAAGCGAGGAAACAAGTTGACGAGAAACAGGAGCCCACGACAGAGGTAAAGATCGAGCAGGCCAGAAAGCCGCAGGAAGCAAAAGAGAATGGCATTTACGTGCCTTCAGGCGCGAAGTGAAATGGAGGATGGAAGAGATATGTGGAAGATGCACGAAAAGGCGCATTGACAACTGAGCCCCCAGTACATCGGTACATCCGGCGAAGTATTCCCGTCACGTGGCCATAGGCCAGTTGACCTCTGGGAGAAAGCTCATGAATGCCCACGGATTAGATCGGGAGAGGGTATGTCAGCCCTGGGAGGGTTGACTTTGACTCATGTCGAGCCAGAGAACGAGGGAGGTCGGCTCGACAAGTACGACCACGAGCGCAAAATCATCTAGATGTCAAATGCGATCTATAGCATAATAAACGATTTGCTACTCATGCTAGACATGCAAACAGTCCAGAGGTGTGGTATATCCTAACTCCAAACCCGAATGACAGTATCAATAGCCATGTCCCCAACACCTCACTCCCCGCCCCCGATCCTTCAAACTACGAAACTCTAAGCCTGGTTCCCACCTTGCGCCTGCGCAACATCGGAGGTAACGACGCTGTTTCCATCCTGCCTAGCCGATGTCTCATCAAACACGAAGGGTCCGGAATCGATCCTTGGCGTGTTGCCGTCGACACCGTTTTCGGTCAATGCACGCAGACGTCTATTAACAGGGATGGGAACAGCGCCCATGATTGCGGATAGGCTGTCGTTGTCAGATCCACCGGAACCGCTGGCGACATCATCGGACATGTTGATCGCGGCTGTAGCCGAATCGGTGGGCTCGGTAATCTGGGTATCTTCCGCTTCTTCCGCATTCATGCTGTCGATAGCTTGCGTAAGTCCACTCGTTGGGTTTTGTGATCCGATAGCAGCAGCGATTGGTTGCATTAACGGCTCTGGGATCTCTCCTTTCGGCGTCTTGGGGTCGGAAGATTTGATCACGTCAGCCCAGACTTCGTCAAGCTCTTTCTCCACGGTTGCTTCAAGATCTGCGTATTGTCGGCATAGTGGACACAGGAAATTGGGGTGTGCTTGGATTAACATCGGTCTGATACACTTGAAATGCCAGACGTGCGAGCAAGGCGCAACAAATAATGCCTGGCATGGCGCGATGGGGAATAGACAAATGCAGCATTCAGAGCTGTTGAGAGAAGCATTATCGCTATCAGCGATGGGCTTGCCAGCCGCGAGATTGCGAATGTGCTTATGGGCAGCGACACTGTACGATCGTTAGCATTTACACCCGATGTCCCATGTCAATAGACTTACTCGAACTGATTCAAAGTCCTCTGCCATGACTTATTCACCTCCACGCGCGCTTTCACACACCTGTAAACCTCCTCCGTACCACCACGGAAGTCAATTCCAAGCTGCAGCACATCACCGTCCTTGAGCGGGAACGGCCTTGACTCTGTGTTCGGTGGCGAAAGGCGGATATGATTCAAGAAAGTACCGGAAGACGACTTGATATCCTTCACAAACCACTACACAACCATATTGTCAGTAAATGCACACAGTCAACGTATGACGTCAGTCCTTACCTGTCCACCCTCACACCAGATATGGGCATGACTTCGACTTACTACCTTCGATTTGAAGGTGATAAGGGTTTCGCAGACGGAGTTTTGCTTGTCTGTGAAGCGCCCGACCTTGATGATGGTCTTATCGTTCACTGAGCGCTCGATTGGCTCAAATTGAAGCGAATGTCGGCCAGAGTGGTCGACATGCGGAACGAGCCTGATACTTGGCATGTCTCCCGTATTACTTGACAGCGCTGTGGCCGCAGAGGTTGCTGGAACATTCGTGCTGGAAGTCGTCACGGCAGACATGGTTTCATTGACAGGTCGCGTTGTCGATGACGCAGAGTCGGACCGGTTACGGTTTGAAGAAGCTGGCTGTTGTGGAGGAAGCATATGTGAGGTACTGTTGCTGGGAGAAGTCGAGAATGAACCCGTAAAAGAGCCAAGTGAGAGCAGTGGTCGTCGGCTGAACAAACCTGAACCTGAACGCTCTGGCCGAGGACGCTGAGGATCACCGCGGGACATGTGTATTTAGAGGACAGCAGCTGTTGACCTAGTCGATTGGTTGGAATATTTCCGGGTATAAATGCTTGTCTTCTTGGGGGGTCAAGGTGTACTTGGCAATTGTTGTGGCAATCTTAAGCTTGCGGCAGTCAACGCTCACTCGCAGCCACGGCCAGATTCGAGCCGCAACGGTGATTCAGGAGGCCGCAGCAGACTGCAGCCAAAACGCAACGCAATGCAATAATGCAACCAGCAGGACTGAAGGAGCAGACAAAAAGTTCACCGTGAATAAATGCTGCCATTGGGACGACGCCTGAACTCAGCAGGGGGTGTCAGGGCATTCTCGACAGCTCTGCGCCGTCCTCTTGCTCCTCTACGGACCGTCTCGACACTGCCGTCGCTGCGGAGATCGTCAGGATTGGCAGCGGGTCAACGGGATCCTGCAGAGCTTGATCAGATTACAAGGCTGCCAAATGGATTGCGAGTAGCCACGGAGGCTCTTCCCGGACATTTCGCGGCTGTTGGTGTTTATGTGGAGGGCGGATCGCGATTTGAACCGCCAGAGTTGAGCGGATGCAGTCACATTATGGATCGATTGGCATTCAAGAGCACAAAGACGCGCTCGATTGATGATATGCAGGGCGTTCTCCAGGAGATGGGTGGCACTTACATGTGTTCATCCTCGCGAGAAGCCGTCATGTACCAAGCTGCGGCGTTTAACCAGGACATCGAGAGGATGACGGAGGTTCTCGCGGATACTATAATCAATCCCCAAATTACCGAAGACGAAGTCGAAACGCAGAAGCTGACCGCTGAATACGAGATTGAGCAGATCTGGGGAAAGCCGGATATGATCTTGCCTGAACTGGCGCATATGGCTGCTTTCCGTGATAATACTCTCGGAAATGCATTGCTGTGCCCAGCAGAGAGATTGCCCCTGATCAACTCGGATGTGATGAAGCAGTACCGCAACGCGTTTTACCAGCCCGAACGGACTGTGGTCGCGTTTGCCGGTGTTGCTCACGAAGAGGCACTACGGATAGTGGAGAGGCACTTTGGCGACTGGAAATCCGCCACGCCTGGCGAGTCTGCAGTCTCTACAGGAACTCTTGACGGGATCTTCAAATCACTCTTTGCGGGATCCGGCGGGCAGCCGCCTTTGATCAGCACTCCTGCGCATTACACCGGAGGCTCCATAGTCCTGCCAACGACAGCCAAAGTACCCGATTACACGCATTGTTTCATCGCTTTCGAAGGTCTGCCCATTAGTGACCCAGATGTGTACGCTTTGGCCGTGCTACAGCTCATCATCGGTAGTGGATCATCTTTCAGCGCTGGTGGACCTGGAAAGGGAATGTTTGCGCGCGCATTCACGAAAGTATTGAACCGTTACAGATGGATCGACTCATTCATGTCGTTTAACCACTCTTACAGTGATTCTGGGCTTTTTGGTGTTTCGGCTAGTGTTGAACACCGTGCTGCTAATGTTGTTGCGGAAGTCATCTGCCAAGAGCTGGCATTGACGATGCACTCTGGAGCCGGAGGAATCACCCAACTGGAGGTTGATAATGCTAAGAGACAGCTCCGTTCTTCGCTGCTGATGAACCTGGAGTCTAGGATGATCCAGGTTGAGGACCTTGGTCGTCAGGTGCAGGTTCATGGACGCAAGGTTGGTGTACAGGAGATGTGCGAAAGTATATCTGCGTTGAGTGTGGATGACATCACGCGTGTCGCGCAGAGAGTGATGAAGGGTGCGGTCGTGAACGTTGGTGAGGGCAGTGGAAGGCCTACAGTTGTTTTGCACGGACCGAATGTTGAGAACATCGGTGATGTGTTTGCTTGTTGTGACAAGTACGGTTTGGGACGCGGTGCGCCGGACAAGGGGTACACGCGTGGGGGGAAGTAGGCGAATCATCTGGACCGAGAGCGGAGTTGTAGGAGTAGGGCGTAGCATACCCCCCGAAAATGAATAGACAGCATTTTACACCCAGCAAGATATCGTATAACCCTATCTTTCTCTTATCTTATCTCCCTCAAGAGGTTTTATAGTATACAATCATCAGATTGCACGAGGACCAACTTAGATCTTAGCGTTGATGATGTCGGCGAACTCGGGCTTCAAGGAAGCACCACCGACCAAGAAACCGTCAATGTCAGCGCACTGAGCCAACTCCTTGCAGTTCTTAGCAGAGACGGATCCACCGTAGATGACGCGGACCTTCTCAGCAACCTCCTCAGAAACGTTCTTCTTCAACCACTCGCGGATGGCGGCGTGGACCTCCTGAGCCTGCTCGGAGGTAGCGACCTTACCGGTACCGATGGCCCAGATGGGCTCGTAGGCGATGACGATCTGATCCCAGTTCTTGGTCTGCTTGGTAACAGCGGCGATCTGACGGGTGACGACGTCGACGGTCTGGTTGGCCTCACGCTCCTCGAGGGACTCGCCACAACAGAAGATGACCTTGATACCGGAGTCGGTAGCGTGAGCAGTCTTGGAGGCGACGAACTCGTCGGTCTCGCCCATCAAGGTGCGACGCTCGGAGTGACCCAGGATGGCCCAGTTGACGTTGGCATCCTTGAGCTGGTCGACGGCGATCTCACCGGTGAAGGCACCGGAGGGCTTGTCATAGACGTTCTGGGCGGCAACCTCGACGTCCTTACGGAGGTGGTCGCGGGTAGGGATGAGGTAGAGGGAAGGAGGAGCGATGACGACCTCTGCGGAAGTTGATCAGTGAGAATTCAATCAAATTGAATGGGGCTTAGCTTACCGGTGTTGGAGTCAAGCTTGGCGTCGTTCAAAGCAGAGACAATGGACTTGATGGACGACAAAGTGCCGTTCATCTTGAAGTTACCACCGACGAAGAATTGCCTGGCCATTTTGTATATGATTGTGTGTGTGTGTGTGAAGATGTGTGCGTTGAGGTCAAGATGCGCCGGCTGAGTAGCAGCTGTACGTGCACGTGCCGGCGCCTGCGCGGAATGAACAAGTGAACGCGGCTGAGCAGCCAGTATACAAGATGACAATGGCTCTTTTCATGGTAATACCCTGTAGCGAAAGTCTGCTCAACAGGGGCATTCACCGCTGTAAATGCAAGTCTCTGTGAATGGTCACTGTCTCTATTTCGCTGCTCGATGAGTGCATGCAGAAGACGCATAAGGTTGCGTAACCCGCTCGTTTCCGTATGAAAAGTCTTGTCCCGGTGAAACGTTCCAGCCATTCCTGAATCTTTCCGTTCTCACAGCCTTCCACGCCTTCAACAAGCATCAGCGCTGGCAGCATTGAAGCGCAATAGGCGCTTTGAGTTATGCGCTTTGCTTCCATCCATAGTCGCCTTCCAGCGTACCCGGTCACACGGCTCTCGAAAGGTGGTGCATTATGGAGAGTATCGACACCATTGTTCAGCGGTTCAATACGAGGGTATTCGTTGGCGGTAGCACATGCAGATGACGATGTGAAGGAGCCACAACGTATGTCTTGGAACTGGAGAGACGTAACCATGCTGATGTCTGGGTACAGCGCTCCGTCTCAACCCCGTGGGTGTACAGCAACTTGCTCCTCACCTCCATTCTCAGGTCTTCACCAAAAAGTTCACAGCTCCACCACAAGATCTTGTCGAGCTATCCAAGACTCACCTCCGCCAGCACGAACTCCTCGGCAAGAACACCGAACGCCAACCAGAAATCTCCATTGATTTGCCCCCACTAGTCGGAAATTCACTAGACGAGCATTTCCACAAGTTGGGAGCTGAGCTTGCAGAACCATGGTTAAGATTGTCCAAAGACTTCGCCTCCAAGGCCTTGCCGCCAAAACCCTCCCCTGGTGCGTGGTTGAGGAGATCAGGGTGGACTCGACATAACCCAGACGGCACCACGGAAGCAGTCGAGTACCCGCAAGAAAAGTGCCTTGTCTTTGATGTGGAAGTTCTTTACAAAGAATCTCCGTTTGCCATCATGGCTTGTGCAGCATCTACTGAAGCTTGGTATGGATGGCTTTCACCCTGGTTATTGAAGGAAACCGAAAATGACCGACAACTCATTCCCATGGGCAACATTGGTGAAAGAGTCATTGTTGGGCACAACATCAATTTCGACCGCCAAAAGATCAAGGAGGAATACCACATTCGAGGGACTAAAACGGGTTTCATCGATACTATGTCGCTGCACATCACTACCAACGGAATGACTTCCCAGCAAAGACCATCGTGGATGAAACACAAGAAGCTCATGGAGAAGAAGCAAGACATAATCGAGCAATACGGGGATAAAACGAACGCTGAATTCGCTCAACTTTTGGAGGATATCACTCTCGAGGGTGGCGTTGAAGAAGAAGATTGGATGCAAAAAAGTTCAATCAATAGTCTTAGGGATGTCGCCAAGTTTCATTGTGATATCGAAGTTGACAAGACTGTCCGTGACCAGTTTGGTGAGCTCGACCGAGAGGGGGTCATGAATAACTTTGAAACCCTCATGAATTACTGTGCTGGTGATGTCGAAATCACGCATACGGTGTACAGTAAGACCTTGCCAACCTTTTTGACGAAATGTCCGCACCCCGTGACCTTCGCAGCGATGATCCGCATGAGTTCCATGTATCTCCCTGTGGATCGGTCGTGGAAGAAGTACATCGAGACAGCGGAAGCGACGTATCGTAAGTTGTCAGACGCTGTCCAGGAGCGTCTAATCTCGCTCGCTGAAAAGGCGTTAGGGATCAAGGGCGAACCTGAAAAGTACGAGAACGATCCTTGGCTGAAGCAACTTGATTGGTCTGGTCAGGAGATTCGGATGGTTAAAGGAAAAGGCAAGAACGCTGCGCCTGTACCCTCGGCACGGCAGAAGATGCCTGGTATGCCAGCCTGGTACAAAGGTCTTTTCGCGTCCGCAACCAAGCCAATAAACCTCACAGTTCGGACGCGAGTTGCGCCGCTGCTGTTGCGACTGTCCTGGGAAGGGCATCCCCTGGTATGGTCAGACAAGTATCGGTGGACATTCCGCGTCACGGATCCTGCAAAGGTTGAGCTTTATAAAGCTAAACACCTTGTCAAGTGTGATATGACTGACGAGCCTAAGTTGCCCATCCAGGAGGACACGGATGGTGTGTATTTCAAAGTACCTCACAAGGACGGCCCGAGTGCCCGGTGCTCTAACCCGTTAGGAAAGTCCTACCTGAAGGCTTTCGAAGATGGTTTGTTACGATCGGAGTTCGAGTATGCTCGGGAAGCGCTGGATATGAATGCAGCCTGTTCATACTGGATTTCAGCTCGTGAACGCATCATGACCCAGATGGTCGTATGGGCGGACGATGCTGAGCTTGGCCTAACTCCTGAGTCTGGTGTGATTCTCCCTCAAATTATTCCCATGGGTACCATTACTCGTCGAGCTGTGGAGCGGACGTGGTTGACTGCATCTAATGCGAAGAAAAACCGTGTTGGGTCGGAGCTCAAGGCGATGGTTCGCGCCCCACCAGGTTACATGTTTGTGGGCGCCGATGTGGACTCGGAAGAGTTGTGGATTGCAAGTTTGATCGGAGATGCTCAGTTTGGCATGCATGGTGCGACAGCCTTGGGCTGGATGACGCTTGAAGGCACGAAAGCTGCGGGTACAGATCTGCATTCCAAGACTGCCAACATCTTGGGCATCTCGCGAAATGAAGCTAAGATTTTCAATTATGGGCGTATCTATGGCGCTGGTTTGAAGTTTGCGATCCAGTTGCTTCAGCAATTCAACCCTAGCGTTACTGAAGTGCATGCAAAAAAGGTTGCCGAAGAGTTGTATAAGGCTACGAAGGGCGTTAAAACGCGTACCAAAGAGCGTGGCACTTTCTGGCGCGGCGGTACAGAAAGTTTCGTGTTCAACAGGCTCGAAGAGGTTGCCGAGTTGGATACGCCAAGGACGCCAGTATTGGGATGTGCCATTACGGAGGCGCTTTTGAAGCAATATCTTGGCGCTAATGGCTTTATGACGTCGAGAATCAACTGGGCCATCCAGTCATCTGGTGTAGATTACCTGCATTTGCTGATCGTCGCGATGGAGTATCTCATTAAGCGGCACAACATTGACGCAAGGTTGTGCTTGACAGTACACGATGAGATCCGTTACCTTGTCTCTGACGAAGACAGATACCGTGCTTCTTTCGCTATGCAGGTCTCGAATCTGTGGGTTCGCGCTATGTTTAGTGAGCAACTTGGAATTCATGATTTACCGCAGGTTAGTCATAACGATCGGTGTCTGCGAGTTTGTCAAACTAACCCACTCGAAAATTAGTCCGTCGCTTTCTTCTCTGCAGTTGACATTGATCACGTTCTTCGCAAGGAAGTCGATTTGTCGTGCGTAACACCGTCCCATCCGGAAGCCATTGCTCCAGGGGAAAGTTTGAACATCGAACAACTCTTACATAAAGTAAATCAACTCGATCCAAGAGATGTCCCGAAGGTTCCTATCAATCCTGAGAAACAGGCGTATACTCCACGCCAACCTGTGTTCGAGAGCCTCAATAACGCTCTCGATCTTGGTTTACTCAAGGCGCAAGTTGCAAAAACCGAAACCGAGTTGCGCCAAGCTCTCCATCCTAAAGGACCCGCACAACGCTCTGGTCAGGCGAAAGCGACCAGATCTCCTGGGCGTGATGGAAATGATGATCCCGATAGCCGGGAAGGGTACAATGGATACAATAGGCGCAACAGCTACGGTAGGAACGATGGGTATAGTGCTAGTGCATGCCGTGGGTACGAAGAACGCGGTGAGTACGGTAGGAACAATGGGCGTAGGTACTGAGGATAGCTATCTCAGCATATATTCCCCGGTGAGTTCCGCACTAGGAAGCTACGCTGCAGGCGTTCGATCATGTGAAGCGGAGCTACTCGAGCAAGAGGAAGGGTCAAGGGAGAAGTAATGGAGAAGTATAACCTGGTCGCAAGTGCTGCATAGGACCAGGAGTATCTGGAAACGCTTGGAAGACTATCTATTGCGCCGGACTCGTGAAAATCATGGCAGGCGTTAATAGCATATACTGAAGGTGCCTACATCAAGGAGGAGCATCTTGATGCCTCTGATTTCACTAGCGATTGAGACCAAAATTTAGGCAGATATATCTCCCGTACCTATTCAGGGAATGCCCAATATTTGTCATGTAACAAGCCAGTTGCCTTGTCAGTGGCAGTTCTAAGTTGGATAGATGACCACGTGTTTTGTTGAACCAATGAGCTAGAGATATGCAGCCCAGCCTAGCGCGAAAGCGTTTAGTACGAGCGCTAATGATTCGGAGCACAGAGTGATACTCACCACAGAAGATCAATGACAGGTTCCGTGGATCCGTCGCCTGTTGGATCAGCTCGTTCACTGTGGCTTCAACGCTCAGGGTCTTCGACAGTTTCTGTGATACGACCAGGAGAGCGCGCTCCGCTTCTACTCCTTCACTGCCACTGCTTCTACGCCCAGCCCCAGAAGGCAGTCCATGGCCTTCGCCAGGGGCAAAACCGTCGTCCTGCAACGGCTCTTTTTCCTGGATGCGTTTCATACGGAGAGGCGAGATTGTCCATGAATACTATTTTGTCTTCTTAGCAAGCTCCTGGTCAAATGATCGGTTTCAACTTACCAATGGGTCATGTCGGAGGACATCGAGAATAGTGATAACTGCAGGAGATTCGTTGCGAAGCACGCTCAATGTGTATTCGCAACACTTCCTGAAGACTCCTTCAACACCAGTGATTCCGAAACCATCCACAATATCTCGGGTTAATCTAAACGGCACGGTTTCCGGTATAGGAAGCGTTTTGCCCTATTCCATTGTCAATTATGAGCATTTGTGATGCATGCTGAGGAATGACTTACCTGTTCAAATGACACGCCTAGGTCAATATGAACAATTTCTCCTGTGGACTTGTCCAGCAAGATGTTGTGTCCGTGACGGTCGCCAAGCCCCAGAACGTACCCGAGCATGGAAATGGCTGCCGTACTGCGACTGTAATTCAGTCGTTTAGAGTACCATTCGTCGGGACTTACATAATTGTCGAAGAAGAAATGACGCATCACTGGGTGCAGATGCTCGGTGACCATTTCGTATGCACGTAATCTGGTCGAGTTGCTTTTGCCTTGTACTTCAGCGATGTGTTTACGACATTTACCGTTGATTGACCAATCCTTAGAATGATACGCTTCATGAGCCGGGATGAGGTATTCGTTGATGGGTATGGTCTGTTGGACCCACTCCAGAATTCCAGAGTTTTCTGTCAATGGAAGAACCTTGTACGTGCGAATTCGGAGATTGCGCAGGCGAGTGTTTTGATTCTTTTGCAACAGTGCGTCCACTTGTTGAAAAACTTGTTCCATGATAGCATCTTGTCGAAGATCATCGTTGCCACCCTTGACAAGCTGCTTGTGACGACGTCCATCCGTACCATAGCAAACTATGACCTTCGGAGCAGATAGTCCATTCGCAACACTGATTTTGGCGGCAAAACTATTGACCAAGGGCACATCCGTGTAATCGCAGTTTAAGTCGACAGGCACGTGTGCAGTAGGCGGGGGTATGCGTAACCGAGGTATATCTTTCAGAAACACCCTATGTTTTGGATAAACCTTACTCATGTCGAGGGATCCAGACCCATAGTCCCGTCGCGTCATAGGGTATCTTGCAAGCTCGTTGTATGCCGCTGCAACGAACTCCACGTTCTTCGTCACCGCTCTAGCTTCGGCGTCATTCTGATTTTTAAGATCGTTCCAAATACTCAACGCAGCTGATTTGCGAGCTTCAGCTGCGATATCTCTGGACGAGGTTGTTGTACTGCACATGGAAATAATCTGATAAAGACTGTGATAAGGATGCTCTTGACAAAGCCTGAAAATCAGAGCTCGTAGAGGCGCCTGAAATGAATCGCTGGCAGACACACCCGATAATCGGGCTGACAACTGATTCATCAAGGGTATGAACTTCCTTGAAGGAACTTTTGGAAGATAGTCCTGGACGATCTCGTTAACGGCATCCATAGTGCAATTCGCCAGCCAGAATGCACAAAACCTAGACGCCTGGAAATCATACGCATCAGAAGCTGCGATGCATCTCAGATAGTACTGCGCACTCTTCGTGAGGAAAGTTGTCTTGTTCTCCAAAAGTCTTTGGTACTCGGCGTTATCGAGCTGGTACAACGCCTTGGCTTTGCCAAGGTGGCTTTTCACGGCTCGTGCCTTCTTTTCGGGTAACGACGAGGCAAGTAGCTGTTGAAGCTCGAATATCTCCGCAGATTTCTGGTCTCGCAGGCGTTGCATACGAGCGAAATCTTCAGCAATGGCGGAACTATTCAGCTGCTTCTCACAAAAAGAGGCGAACTCGTTGAAGACTCGACCAGCATTATCCCCCTCAACCACGCCGTGCAGCTCTTGAACGGCAACCTCGAGGTACGATTGTAGTATCACATCAGGTCTTTCCAACCGCGCTTCCGACATCCATCCAGCTAGTTGGGCTAAAGTTTTGGCCCGTCGCACATTTGGACCGGCAGTCTTAGGCTTCCAGTCGACTATGGTCTGTTGCAACATCCTGATAGCAGGTATAGACTCGCCTTGCTTCCAGAAAACGCTTGCCGTATTTACAGAGACGTCGTGCATCAAAGCATCATCATTTGGAAGGTACGTGTTGGCAGCTTCTTGTAAATATGCGGCGTTGCTCAAAGCAATCTGATATTGACCCTGGGCTCGTGCCATTCGGCAGGACTTCAGCAAGTATCGGGCTTGTAGACGGAAAGCTTGTTCGGGGTTAAGTTGTTGTACCCGTTGAAGATGAGGACGTTTCATAACTGAACCGAACAAGACGGAACGCAAGGCAAACAACATCTCGACATCACTGAACTGCGCGTGGTCAGCCCAGTGATCAGCTCGTTTCTCCCAAGCATGTATCAAGTCCTCAGACTTGCCGTTTATTCGGGTCAACTCGTCAACTTCGACCAAAGCAGCTAAAGAACACCATTGCCCTCTCACTGTAGTGGGCGAGTCTGCCCGATGCAGCAATTTCTTCGTTACACTCAGAAGCGCGGCATTCAAACAAGCAGCAGAACCGGGTCGCGGTGCATCAAAGTTGAGCTGCTGCAAAACTGTGTACAGCGCCGTTTGGTCACTAGGAACTTTCGCGGAAGGGAGGTCCCATTGTTCGAGACGCCAAGCGATACTGTGCACATCGCTAAACCCCATATCAGCAGCAGTGATTGCCTTCGCTGTAGCATATAGCCCCAGCTTGGACAAACTTTCTCGCACACCGCGATTGTGAACAGCAGCTTTACCGTCCATATATCCAAGTCGAGACACGGCTTCAAGCTCAGCTCCTCGTAAACAGAAACTCTTCCAGCCATTGCCCTCATAGTCATATTGCTGCATCATACTCGCAAGCGAGGTTGTTCTGCTAACGCCGTGATAGGAATCCGGTTCATCAATATGGCGGAAGATTTGGAGCAACCGTTCGTACGTGTCGTGCCGTGGTACTGCATCTGCTTTCGTCCAATATATCTCTGTGAATAGCAATGCTGCTTTCGGCATATTACACAATACCGCTGCATCCGCTGCGGCCGAGTAGTCGATTGGAAGCCAGAAGTTCCGATCGAATCCGACCTTCGAGTTAGGCATTGCTGTCTGGCGTAGGTATAGAACGCAATCGAGAAGTAGGGCGAGTCGCTCGTGCGAAACATTGTCAGCCAGGGTGCGAAAATTGTGGTTGAAGATAGCGGCAAGAGCGGCCCCGGCAGATTTGAACACCGTATCGGAGGTAGACTTAGACAAGACGAAAAGGACGAGATTGGGAAAGAGGTCTTTACCAAATGTGTCGAGGGCATGGACTAAGGGCGCTAAACACCCCATTACCGGGTCATCCATAGCAAGACGCACAAGTGCGAGCACAAGACTTACACTCCAGTCAGTGAAAGGAGTTCGGGAGTTCATCCACGTTTGAGGCTCAAAGCTTTTGGAGACATCGTCGACATCTGATGCAGTCCGACGATGCGTTCTCGGATGGGATTCAGGCCGGTTCAGCGCTAATCGCACATGTTCAGGAAGCGATTGTAATGCCTGCTGATTCGGGTCACGCGCAAACATACGGCTTACTATAGCCTCAACCTCTCCAACGATGACGTGAGAAGGATGCCGCAGAAGAATGGCCATCTGCTGCAAGACCGCCGTTTTGGTGATCAGATCCGGATTCTCTCCTGGGTGACCTTGCACGGTACGTGCTTCGGTGAGAACAGGCGCAGAACCCTCTGATGCAAAAGCCATACCTAAGATCCTTCCTATGTTGCTGAGGTTCTTGTCCGAAAAGTCAAGCTGGGAGGCATGACATACGATAGATTTTGCTAATGCGGACACTTCGAGTTGTCCGACAAACTCATGGCCTTCGTTGCCGCTTCTGTCATAAGCATCAGTGAACGCTTCAAACAACAAATTTCTAGAATCTGCGTCCAGCGGCGAGCGATCTGAGAAGGAAAATGTAAGCTTCAGCGCTGAGCGCCAATCCACGCTCTTATCGTCAGCCAACCCTCTTAGAGTCAGGAGGGCCTGAAATGCGGGGACCACTTCGTCCAAGTGAGGATTTTCTTGGACAATCTGTGTTATTCGTTTCAACCACTTGTTCGACGTTTGTACCACTTCGGTGCCGGCGTCCGTGGCTTCCAGGACACGTAATGCACGAACCAGCGCGGATGTGGCCCTGATGAGGGTAACTGGAGTAACGATGTCTCCATGTACCGAATGAGAGATGAGATACTGTAAAACTCCGATGGCGTCCTTGCTGCAAAGTGGAACAAGCACGTATCCCGTGAGAAAGTGAAGGAGCATGTCGAGCGGATAACCTTGAACAATAGCTCCACCGGCCATGCTTGCCAGAAAGCGGAGCTTCCTTATTAGCACACACAGCTCGGTAGGGCTAGACGCCTTTGTGGCAGAAGACATCAAGAAGCGGAGGATATATGCCAAACGTGAAGGTGTCCAGAGTTTATTTGGGGAAACCGCTGCCTGTTGGCATAGATCAGAAATAGCACGGATGACGACCCGTGCCCTGTAGTGAGGCCGTGGAGGTTCGGGTAGAACGCAATCTGAACAACTTAAGCCACAGATATTATCCATAACCTGACCTTCCGCAGGCAATGATGATTGATAGAAGGCTTTGGACGATGACCCTTCCTCACGAAGTGAATAAAGCATGACGGCGATCGTGTCATCAAAACGTTCAACCAAAAGCGAATTGAAGTCGGGCAGCCTTGTCGCACAAAGCGTTTCAATGGATATAGACTCCGCTTTGTCAGGTTGAATGGCACTTGCTTCACTGTGTTTGTGCAGCTTACCATAAGCCATAGCACGGTGAAAACACACCCGAAGCAGGTCCTCAAATGTACCCCTTAGAGTTCCTTGAGACAACTCAATGAATGCCGCGATGCCACCATGCAACAGCAGTTGTGCCCCTAACTCCTCTCTGTAGGTCGTGCTCCAATCTTTCAAGGTTTTGTACCCAAAAATGGCGTAAGGAAAATCGGATATGGAGCCCTCTAACTGGATCCAGCTGTAAATCACTTGGGAAATATACGTCTGCAGTAGTTCTCGAGAACTTTCAACACCACAGCCTCCAGCGATACCCTGCAAAGCGTGTTGTACATAAGGTCTGCTAAGACCGAAGTTACCAAGCTCAATGAGGTTGTAGATTGCAGCTTTACGCGTAGCTTCAGAAGCCATACTAATGCGCCAAAGTGTTAAGACACGCATGGAGAACATCTCAAGGTTTTCTTCGTTGTCTTCGAGGAATTTCATGATATCTTGATATATCACGACATGATCGCCCTGAGGAAAACATCTGAAAAGCTGAACCACTAGGGCGGACATGTCATGTGTGACTCTGGCGTCGCGGTCTCGAAGCAATTCGATGAAACGACTGCGCGTAGACCCTGTATTGCTGGTACCATGGTGATGAGGTTGAGCAGAGAGTAGCTTCCTTAGCAAGGCCGCCAGTCTCCGCCTTACCACGTAAGATGCCAGATTCTTATCAAGCGTGATCTTAACCACCCATTCATAGACAGTGTGTATGATGTCGTCGTTATCCTCCATCGTCCACATGTCGACCAGGACCTCCAACGTGTTGATGAAGAAAACGATGACTGCTTCCGAGCGCTCAAAATCGTAATCTGACAAGAACAACGATGCCGCATATTCAAGGAATTCATGGATCGCGCCGACGGGTAAATGCTCTCCGTTCGCCTGGAGACAGCTTGTCAAAGAACTTTCCGCCCACAGCACACGACCTTTTGGCAGCTTTGAGATATAATCCATGAACGTGCTTACCTTCCATTGCGAAGACACGAGTACATCCACTGAGGAATTCATATGCAGCCGTATACACATGTCGGTCCGCCAGCGCTCGAGAGCGCATCGCACGTTGAGTACAGTCCGGGGAAGGTCTTTCAAATCCGAATGCTGCCCCGAGCTGCTAGACACTGCCATATCCATGTCATCATCATCCTCGCCGTCATTGTAGTCAGGCTCAAGCCCATTATGAGGCTCGTTGTCCGATTGCACTTTCATGCGAGACTCAATGATACTCGACAGATGCGCGAATGCATCCGCAAGAAAATGGACATTGTCCAACCTCGCACGAAAAGCAGCACCGTCCGTAGGTACGCTTGATCCTTTCGCTTGAATGAAGCATTGATTGAGCGACAGCAAACACATATCAATATGCACTTGTTTCGCATTGTCCAGCCTCAAGAAAGACCCAACATCTTCGAAAATACAGGTTACCAGGCCTGTTAGCTCGCCTGCAGCACCCTCATTGGGCGAGTCGATGGAGACAGCCAACATCGCTGTAATTAGCGCAAATTCCAGCACATGGGACATTATTTCCGGTGTCAAAGAATTAGGATCCTCCTCGAGGAAAGATCGAAGATTATCCCTGATGACACGGGCGTCCTTGATCAGGATCTTCCTTAGGCCTGTATCGAACAAGATTGCTTGTTCCGGATCGACTTTGTACGAAAGACTATGCGAGGGCGTGCTAATCAGCTCCTGTGACAACGGCGGTTGGTTGTCATTGTCTTCGGCAAACGCAAGAAGCAAATACTGCAGCAAATCCTGTCGGTCAGCCAACTCTAAGCAAACTCTTCCGATAGCACCACGAGGGACGTCATTAGCACCAGCAGGGGTTTGCGGCAAAGACCCGGAACTTTGGCGACATCGTTCGAGTAAAGCAAGTACCAGAGACGCGTTTAAAAGCCGCGGGTAGGTCTGCGACATCCGCTTGTCCATGCCATCTAGTGGGTTCCATGAACCGAACCATTGCAAGATTTTTTCTTGAGGACGCAAGCGTCGGACTGTGCCCGTCTTGATCGTGATGTCGAGAGCTCTGGCGATGAGGGTGCACGACGTATCCGTCAATTGAGCCGGGCCTTGTAAGTCAATTGTCTTTAGTATTTGCTCGATCTCGAGAACAACGAATTCGTCATCCAATACTGAAGTTTCGACAGCCGTAGATAGAAAGTAGCAGGCTGCTCTGCAAGTAGCTGTAGCCGTGATTTTGCGGCAACAAACCGACCAAATGATTCTCCACTCTGGCTCACTAGCTAGCTGTGAGAGAGCATTTGGCGACTTCAGCCTCCGCAAAAGAGTGGTGTAGCGCGCAATGCTAGCAGCACAAGTCACAGCCCAGCATTGAACTTGAACATCGTCATCCCCACATAACAATGCTAGGTCGTGGATCAAGCTACCCATGTCCAAAACCCCAGCCTTTGTCGGTTCCAAAGCTTCGAAGACGAATACAATAGCCTGGAGTGCGGCAATTCTTAAACGACTTGAGGGATGCCGGGTTTGACAGACAAGGAAACTCAACTGGCTTTCGGTGACTTTGCGGCGTTTCTGAGCAGCGTCGTCGTCGCCTGCACTCGAGCGTTCGTCGTGGAGGCCCAAAGCCTCCTCGTTGTCCATGGCGATTGCCAAAGCCGCTATGGTCTGCAAGCATCCCCAGGCCTGCTCAGCTCGAGTCGCAATGGGATCAACAGACGCACGCAAGCTGAAAGAGCGGCTGCGTAACGAGTGGAATGCTCGTGCTTCCGGTCTTTCGAGACTGTCGTAACGGTAGTCCAGGTCGTGCAACTGTAATCGATCACGATCCAAGAGCTCCACCAGCTCTGCCCACATGGATTCAAACAAATGCATTGCATCCTCTCTACATGATGCATGGGATTGAATGCGCCGATGAAGGTATGGGTATGTGTACATCAACGTAATCAGTAACTGTTCCTTCAGTGCTGCGCTTTTGGTAGTCCAAAGCCTGGCGATCAGTGGCAGTAACGTCTGCGCAACTCGATCCGTCAGACGAATGTTGTTCACCGAGATCGACGCCAACGTCCTGTTCAAGGCTTGCATTGCGAAGATATGTGCGCTGGTCTCTGTCGTGTAGAAATTCAAGAACCGAAGAAGGAAATCGGCCACCAGCTGACCGACAGCCGCAACAGGAGCATTTGGCGTCTCCAACAGACCTTGTAAACACTGCATGAGTTGCGTATCTTCAAATCTTATCTTGTTGTGGTACGACCTGTTTCTCCAACCTCCGGGGGTGTTGTCAAAGTCGTCTTCGCTAGCGTGAGAATCCGGGTTTCCTTGACCATTTCCGTCTTCCTCCATGGGAGCCCGCAGGATGCCACAGCAGAAGTCGATCAGATCTGTCCAACGTGTCGTAGTAAAGTGCTCGGCATGAGGTGGGTATGAAAGGATACATCTTAAGGCCTTAGAGTAGTCCAGGCTGACTGGTTCAAACAGACCAGCCCCAGCAGACGGCAAAGTGTAACATATATGCTCGATGATGGCTTCCACTGTCTTTTGTCGTAAATATCTAACACCAACGTCAACCGCCGCGCGCAATGTTTGCCCGCATTGTTGCAGGCGGTTTGCGACGGTTGCCTTGGCTGTGCCCTTCGCGCGAGTGTACTGTGCTTTTTCACGAACAACGATGTGAAACAATGCCTCGAACAGCTTATGATAGCCTTTATCATTGAGGGCTTCGGCATTCCTCCCATGTCGAAGCAGTCTGCGTAAATGCTGAAGTCCGTCAGTCCTGTCCTTCGGCTTCTCGCTCTTCAGCAAGCTGTAGATGTTGTACAGGTTTATCTGGCCAGACATGTGTGGCGGGAATCAGCCAGCTGCGGCTATTGGCATTGACGGTAGAGGGCGTCACGCATACACGGCTGTCCGTGCTCCTGCTTCCTCGGCGTACGTACGGGGTGGTGCGGTACCTGGACCCCTGTTGTACGTCAGGGCACACTGCAGGGGCCATGCGGACGCGAGCGCTTACACCGAGCAGAGACAACAAAGACGACTCCCGCATCCAGCCCCTGTCAACCCTGGTCGCTGATCGTCATGGAGATATGCCTGCCAGATGAAGTGGCCGTGAGTGCCTGCTGCTCAATTGCTCTGGGCGGCACAGCTAATCGCTCAATTCGCAGACCCTTCACCATACACTTCTCAGCCTCGCCGACGGCCAACGAATTCTCGCTGGCGATCTCATTACACAGCTTGAAGCCTGCTTGGCAGAGCTTAGAAAGACACTGTACCAGCCTCCCAAGAGCGAGGAAAGTCGTAAAAAGCTACACGAAGGTACGTCACGGCATGTTGTTTCCTTGATCCAGAGGTTAATGCGAAGTCAATAGCTGGCGCACGGAAGATAATCACGCTTCAGGGAAAGACGTCTAGAATTACCGATGCTTTCGTTACGGAATCGATTGCGCTATCAGACAAGCTCAAGCTTGACGAGCTTGAAGCTGCGGCTTTAATTTTGTGCGCCGCCGAACATGCTCACCGATTCGACCGTTCCTATGTCCAGAGCGCTATCTGCATTTTCCATTCTCAGCGTGAAGTGGGCTTGGAGTGTATCCGGTTGCTTCTGGCTTGTGCAGTGGATAGCTCAGCATACAAGACAGTGCGTCAATTATTGTATGATTTCATTCCTAAGCTATACGCCGGTAAGGAAAGTCTTCCGACTGTATGCCTGGATAATGCAGCATCTATACGAGACCAACTGAACGAGGTCGAGGAAGCAACCCGTCGCGGAGTGTTTCTTGGACAGAATGCAGAAGAAGGGTTTTCAGACATACTACAGCTACGCAGGAAGGGTTTACTACGAGAACATGAGATTTACGGGATGATACTCTGTTACGCAGCAGTTGGCGGGCTTTTGTCAGTGGCAGATTTCGTGAAACTGCAAACCGCATTTGAGCTGGCAGAGACCGCCCAAAACAGCACTGTCCTGCATCTATTGCTTCCCGTATTGGTTTACCTAAGGGTTATCATAGGTGATGAGGAGTTGAAAGGAGCAGACATGATTCGTGACGCTAAGCTGGCCGGGAGGCACTTGCGTACGGTTCACGAGTCTGTTATGAACAAGCGACAAGCGAATGAGGCACAGTCACCCGCATCTTTACTATCTTTCGCACAAATTCATTGGACTGCGCATCTAACTGGACGGTGCAAGTACGATGCCGAAACAGCTACAAGCTTCGACTATGCGCGGGATGTTCTGACACCTACAAAAACGGCCATTAAGAACGCTGCATTCGATTTGGTCGCTCTTCGAGTGCTACCTTTTGTGAATAACTCGGGCCTCAGGTCCTACCTAGAGGTTCAGTTGATCGGCCTGATGCGGCAACAGGTCGTCGGCGCGGTCTCAAATGTTAGAGAAGAAGATTTAGTGTCTTCCGAAGATATGAGCCGTCTTCTCCGTCGGGAGTTGGAAATCTTCATCGATGTTTTCGTTGGCAATGTTGCAGATGTCCTGAAAGAGATCAAGTTTGCAGAGGAAGACCTCATTCTTGCGCATAGTCAGCAGCAGGATGAGCCACTCAGTCCGACACCCCCCCTTGAGCCAATCAATCACGATCTTGAATCATTCTTCTACGTGATTGCCAAACTATACGATGGTCGGAAAAATGCTGCAGAGAAGTTCTGGGTGGATCACGACAGCAATCTTTACGGGTTTCTAGATTGGGGCCTGAAGTGTCAGACTCCATCTATGATATGCGCATTCGCCCACATGCTTTCTTGCATCGCGACTGGCGAAGAAGCCAGCTCGGCGTTGTTTGCGTTCCTTTCCGAAGATGGAGATTTGAAGGGTCCCGCCTCCCGTGTCCGATTCAACTTTACCTGGAAACACATATTCGATGCTCTGCAGCACTACGCGCAACGATTGGCGCCTCGCCCCAAAATGAGTAGCAGCCGAGGCTTCATTGCAATGACAGACGAAGGCGAACACCTGAAAATCGACAGTGAATCGCAGACCGTGCTGCTCGCATATCTACAGCTGCTGGAGCGTGTAACGCAGTATTCTATGACCGCACGCATATCTATGTACGAGAACCTCGATTTGAAGGCATTTGATGTGCTATTCACTTTCCTCGGGTGCCGTCCTTCTGGCGAACTGCAAGCAGCCTTGTTACGTGCAGTATCCGGATTTTGTTTCGGTGGAGTCCGCGCAATCAAAGACGTGATCTGGCAGGCACTGGAACATTGGGTTTTCCTGGCAGACTTACCCGCAGCATCCGCCTGGGCTGGGCGAAGCACTGGCCGTCCGAAGTCGCGGGTTGAGCAAATCTTGACCTTCCCGAATGAGGTTATGGCCTTTATTGATCTGTTGACAAAACTCGTGGAGCCCAACCCTGAGGTGGATGTTTTAAACGACAGCCTCCCTTTCCCTGAGGGCCTTGGAAGGTCACATAGGACGTCTGACGTTAATCCGTACGTCGACTACGTCATTAATGTCATCCTCATGAACGTGTCGTCTTGTGCATTGTCGCAGAATGAGCAAATACGGTTATACGAAGTTTGCATTAACTTCATCGAGACTTGCTTGGACTCTTACAATCTCAATCTCGTTAGCATTGCTGATCTGCGTGTTATCGACGTGAGCAATGCAATGAAAGCCTCCACGTTGACAACCTATGTCGCTTCGCATCCGGGAGCACGTGTCTTGTATGACATTCTGAATGAAAGGACCTGCTCGTTGATCTTGGATCTTGCAAGCCTTGGTGTCGAGGCCATCGCGGGTGAACCGCGTGCATCGTCGCTCGTCAAACTTGTCAATGCTTCCTTGAAGGTAGTCAATCTTGCTCTGGATGTGGAGACCCCCTTCATCGACGCGGTTCTTCCTCAAATGCAGACACAATCCGTGGGATTGCAGAAGCGACACGGGCAGATCACGACTTTCGAAAGCAGTATTCTTTACCGCGTGCCCTTCCTCGTCCATGCTGCGCTATACGTGGGTGCGGATCGAGATGACATTGCTCGCTCTGCTCTTGCAATTCTGTCGAAGGTTGAGGAACTACCTATGTTCTCTACAGTGCCGGGTCACGGGGTGAAGAGCAGGCTATTGAGCGCCTTGGATACTGTGGACGAATCTCGGAAGATCGTGTTCGGCTTCTTGAACAAATTAGAAGCGCCGCGGCCAAAAGGAGAAAGAGAAGCGTCAGTCGCGGCCATTGGTGAACGTGAGGATCTTCGGACGTCGATACTAAAATTTATTAGCGGATCGTTGCGAAAAGAGGAAACGTCCGCGACTGTAGGGCATATGATTTTGGGCTTCGAAGTTGCCGAGGGCACCGGGCTGCTGAAGCTATCTACCGACAGGGGTGGCATCGCTTCCGGGGTGTCAGTCTTTCACCTGCTCCTCGATTTCATCCGCAAAGGTTGTGAGTTGGAGGAACAAGTTCCTTCCTCGCTTCACTACATGCATTTGTCTGACCATTCGATGGAGATCGTCTCCTATTTGTGTGGTTCATCATCAACATCTGACTGCGTCCTGAATTATCTTCGTACTCACGAAGACTTCTTCACGGAGAGATTAGATCGTGAACTCCGTATGACAATGGAGGTATTTACCGCTGCAGCAGAAGCGAATGGAAATGATTCAATCGATCTCTTTTCGATGTATGGCTCCCTATTAAGACGTCGCCAGTACTTACTACAGTATCTCGCCGCAGAACTGTACACGGCGACCCAACAGGGTTCTCTGTCGCAGCTGCACCGTTATCTGCGAGCCTTGATCGGACTGAAAGACGTCTCAGAAACTCCACACGGTCAAGACTACCACTTCATTCCGAACAGAAGCTATGTTGGGAACGGCTTGCGTTTGCTTGACTTCCTTGAATTTCTAGATCACGAGGTGGACATATCTGATACACCAACGCCTCTTACGGCGTTAGACAGGTATGGAAGTGTTTCTCTGGATGCATGTCAAAAGGTTTCCGACGATGGATTACTGCTTTTTGACTACCATGCAGCTTATTCAATCGTTTCACTCAAGATCAACGACCTTATCAATGTCGATCCTACGCTCGCTACGCAATTACCCAATATGCAAACGCAAAGGGACAACGATATCAGAGCCCTCATACAAGAAAATTACGCCCGAGGAATACGGGCTGCCCAAGTGCATTGCGTTAAAAACTGGGTGAAAATAGTGAAAATCCTCATGCAAGACTGTTTGACGGCGATGGATGATCATGCTCGTGAACGCACATCGCTGGAGCTCATCCAGGAGATCGTACCGAGATTGTCACATTACGTATCTACTAATGAAACCATACTGGAGGCCTTCTCTGAGGCTCTCCTTACGGTCGTAGCAGTTGCAGAAGACCGCTTCCTAAACAACGACGAAGCTTCTGTTCTGAGTGATGAACGTCTTCAATCGGCTTTCAGGATTGTAACGCAATGTATCGTGAGTCCGTCTGCTACTCAGCAAGCCCGGGAGACTCTATACACCATCGCTGTTAAGTATATCAAGTACCTCATGACTTTGCCGGAAGGAAGCAAACTTGCGGAAGGGAATGTCCGGATCATTAAAGCTGCTGGTGAGCGTTTCGTGGAAGTCGTGTGCCAGGATGCTGTGCAAAACGGCGGGCCATGCCGAGTCATGGCCTTTTTGCTACTGGAAGCCCTTGCGGCTGCGGATGCACGATACCGACTCAATCAAGTTCTGGACGTTTTGGTTCGCCGGAATTACCTGCAGGCGTTTATCTTGTCCATCAAAGACTCAGAAGAAGAACTTAGTACGCTGTTGAGGCCTGATTTTGGTGAGGTGACCCCTTATGCCTTACTGTCCCAATAGCTCAACTGACTCTTGTTAGGCTCAGCGTACGAATTGACCGAGTACAGATCAAAAATGAGCTTGCTACTACGGCTCGCGATGACGAAGGCGGGTGCTATACAAATTTCTCAGACGAATTTTGCTCGGCTCCTTCAATCCTCCTTCTTGAATTCGGAGCTTGATATACAAGGTAATTATCTCCTAGGATTCAAGAATGATATACTGATCTCTTCTGTAGAACTTCCCATAGACGCGCGACAAAAATACCGCCAATTATTCGAACCAATGCTGTCGGTCCTTCTTTGCTGTCTGTTCAGCATTGGCACGCAACACATGGGTCTCATTCAGCATGCCCGGGAGTTCGCCGCATCCCACAAATCCGCAATACGCTTCTTCTTGAAGCATGAGTCGAAGGGCCAGGAATGCTCGGAGTTCGTGCGATCGCTTTTCGCATTGGAACTGGTCGCGAACTCAGCGTAAGCCCTAGCTACTTGTTGGATTACATATGGTTTACAAAAGGGCATGCCTACAGCTGCAAACATGATCCGGTTAGGGGTGCGCATAGAGTAGAGTACCTGCTCACAAAGGTTGTCAAAGTTGACACCCGTACAGAAATGTTTTATTATCATAATTATGGCTTCGCTGCATCCTCGATCGTACCAGCGTTCAAAGATTCATTCACCGACGACGTCGCATCAACCTGTGTGTTTTCCAGCAGAGGAGCCAAAGTAGGTGGCCTCGGGGCCTTCTTCATCCACTTCCTCCAAACCGCAAAGCTCTTTCGCATATGAACGTCCGCCTCTTCCGGCGATTCCGCATTGCTAGCATTCCTCTCGTGAATTCGGCAGATTTCTTCAACGTACAACGGCACTTTCTCTGACAAGCCATATGCAGCTGCAAGAAACTTCCTCGAGAGCATTTCTGTCAACAACTCCTCCACCGCATCAGTTCTTCCTCTACAAAGTTCATTCATGATCATAAGAGTCCATTGTCCACCTTGCGGGGTTATGTTGTATGGGGGTGATCGCATAGAATCCCAGAGAGCGCGAGTCGAGGTAGCCGGAGTTGGGCCCCCAAAGAGAGCTGACGTAACATGGGACCAACGTAAAAGTGCCGACCAAATGGGAGCCGTAATCTTGATATTGTAAGTGCGCGCCATAAGATCGACAGCAAAGATTGCTGCTGGTAAATTACCATTGTAGCCGTATGCAGTAGCAATTGACAGCAGCGTGTGAGCCGTGGGCCAAAGTGGAGAAAATGGCTGGCGGGAACCCTGGGGTTTACCTCGCTTTTGCAAATCGCGTTTGGACTTGACCGACGCTGGAAGGACATCCGTAACGCGGCTGTCTGCGCTATTGGCGAGTGTTTCTGTACTATGCGAAGTTTTCTTATGAGGAGAAACGCCCCATATACCCTCAAGAATGTTCGTAATACCTTCGATGTCACCGTCCCTGGCCTTCGCAAGGATCAGCAGATCATAGGTTGCTGCGTTCGGTGCAACTTTGTTCTTCAGCATTTCTTGGACAAGACTCGCGACTGTGTGACCGGGGCTAGGGTCAGGCGATGACTCGAGCGATGACTCGGCCGCGTCCCTCATCTTCTGCCAGTCCCTGGCCTTCCACAAGTCAGTAGTGAATCCATGGGCCGTGCCGCACACAGCAGCGATGTAGGCGTTGTAAAGATATGTATTGGGTGTGCATTCACTTTGCTTGAATTCCCGCCAGAACTGACGGGCGAGCTCAACGTCACCCACAGCACGAGCACAATCCAGGAGGTGTGTCCATTCTTGAGTACCGAGTGTGAATCCAAGACTCTCCATATGACTCCGTACCACTTGGATTTTCTCCAGGAAGCGTTTTTTTTCCCCTTCATCATCCCAACTTTGGACCCTTCCCTTGTCTGGACTCCATTCTAGCATCTGTCTAGGCCGGAATGACAGCAGTACCAAAGAAAAATCCGTACGCCACATATGTCGTAGGCCTCCCTTTGAGAGTTGTGTTGTTCCCGTGCCCTGCGATAACTGTTTTGGCGCAAGTTCGCAGTACTCCTGCCAGACTGCTTCCTTATCTCTGTTAGAGAGTGCTCGTAATAGTGGGCGAAGTGCTGGATTAGATCGCTGCGTGAATACGTCGTTGAGCTTTGATTCTACTCCAGCAGCACTGTAAGGGAAATCAAGAGAATGTGAATCAAGCATCGCCGGAGTCAGCCCTCCTAAAGGTAAGAACAGCGGACGAGCTTTAGAGAATGATTGCCGCTGTATCGGCAGGTTCCGCAGCTTTCCGCGAGCAGCAAGCAGACATCTCGGACAGCCAGATGGTTTGATCATGGCGGATTGTGCTTGATCAGCCCCGACTCGAAGGTAATTGAGATTTCCTACACTTTTTTGTGTTCCCCGTACTCCGAATCGAAATTGGGTCTCAGCAGTGCCTGGCGCACGTGACCACCGTTTCGCGCGAATTCGAGTCTACGTTACAAGCGGCTCCATCTCCGACCTCGAACAGACAGACGTTTCCATCATCATGAGTTCTGACCCCCTGACATCTACAACAAGACCAGGTGAGCTCTCTGTCCAGAGTGTATCTACTGTACCTTACACACCCTGTGCATAGTCACCGATGCCGTGGTCACGGTCCGCGTTATCAAGTCGTTTCCTCACCGTACTGTGAAGAACATGATTCTTCCTCATGTCGATCTTACGGCAATGACCGTAGGCGACTTGAAGGAGATTGTTCGGTCTGGTAACTGTTCTGTTTTGGGGAACATCGGAACAGCTCGACTAATGTATTGTTTAGAGGTGCAAAAACAGGGAGGTTGGAAACCGTACCGTTCTTGTGTCGCAGAACTGGATACCCTAAAAATCTACACTCAGCCTCACGCAACAAAAACTATGAATCTCATTATCAACATGGATAACGAGCATTGGATGTTGGATGACGAATCTAAAAAACTCGTTGAATATGGCTTTGGTGAGTGTTTGAGCATCCAGCACTTAGGGATAAAGCTGATTCCTGATGCTTTAGCAAACGAGACCGAAGTGTCGTTCTTCAACCGTGTTGGATATGAGGAGTTCAAGGCCAATCCAGAGGAAAAGTGGCTCTAGTTATTTGAGCGTGGGCGAAGCGATCTTACCTATCGTATCGACCGCTGTGAGGCGTTAAACAATGCGCCGCAGCGCGATGGCGTGTATGACCTTTTATTCTGCAGCACAATACTCACTGTAGCACAAGGCGAATATCTAACCTCTTAAATCTGGGTTTGCAACTGCGTGCATCGCGCCCACCAGAGAAGGAGGAGGGGGGAGGAGCATAGGGACAGCGTAAGATATTTGGATACAGATTTCTACTTAACTCTTCACGCACAGTTACCGTTACCGTTTCTCTGCTGTGCATTGCCGTAACAGTAGCTCTCGTCCCGATTATCTCTGCTCTACTGCCGGGGTCGCCCTGATCCTCCACCGCTCTCTTCTCACCATGATCCCAGGCCTTCTCTTTTCTGCTCGCGCCGTGAACCTTGCTCTCGTCGTATACGTAAAGGGGTTAGTCGGTGACTGCACTTGTCTAAGCTGTACTAAGATGGTCTTGTGCTACTGCTGTGTGCAAAATTCTTGACGCGCATCATTTTACCGCATATTCGTGCAGGACACGACCAATCCACCAAACACGCCGCCAAACCTTGAAAATGCCTCCAAGGAAGCTGAAAGGAGCTGCTAAGGCTTCGTATAAGCGCAGGGCATCGTCTCGTACCCCCAAACCGCCCTCCTGTCTCCTCGAAGATGCAGCCTCACCACCACCTACAAATACAGTCCGGAGGGAAAAACGGCCTAAGACAGTCATCGAACTCGAAGACGAAGACGCGCCGGTTGATACTATCAGCAGATTCGACGACTTCCAGGTCTTCGTTCTCGTCACTAGGCAAAAGAACCACAGGTATCCTCAAGCACACTGGACGGTCAATCCAGTCAAGTCTTGGGCCGACCAAGAGCAGCTTTTGATCGATGTCGCCCTCGAGGAGCTCCGTCATGATCATATGGTCGTCGAAGGCGTCAACAAATACTCCCTGAAGCCCAATATCAGCTGGAAAGTCTGCCGTGGAAGGAGCCGGGATGCACCATGGTGCAGACTACGAACGGAGGACGACTGGGAAGGCTTCATTGATGCCGTCCACACTGAGCGCAACACACCCAAGGTCGAATGGTCAGCTTTTATCCTAATCGAAACACACTACGACCCTACAAGGGCTGCTTCTCAATTCGAGTTCGACCAGCAAACCCCGTTGCACCCCTCTCAGACTCAGTCCAGGGCCCGAAAGCCTCTCATCCCTCGACCTAGGCACAGTGCTACCAACACTGCTCTCCAGGGCATTTCGAATGAACTTGCGAATGATCCTCAACGCTACAAAAGGATCCTTGCTGTTCAGACCCTACAGGCTAAGCACAAATGCGCCAAGCACCACCAGCAGTACTGCTATGTTCATCCTTTTTCTGGCTATCATCGATACATATCCAATGATCTCCTCAATCTATGGTCTAAGTACTTGGTCGCGAAAGAACATGGGGTTACCGTTGAGGATCCACCCATCCATGATCCCCTTTTCGCTGAGTTGCTCAAACCATACAAGTCGACAGATCAGTCGGAAACACCTGAAAGCAGGCACTCTTCGTCCAGTATGCCTCAACTACCTACACCAGTGACTGCACCTCGATTCGATCTACTGCCGCTACTCCCTCAAGTCAGCCTACTCCGACCCCTACCCCAACAACCATTGACACGCAAATGCTCAGGGGCTCGAGCCCTCTTCAAGGGCCGGCTGCTGATGATTTGGACGGGTTTCTAGCCTATGTCAAGACCAAAGTTCCGGAATACATCGACTTTGATTGCCAGACGGTTCGAGATGCAATTATCGACAATGGAGTAGTGCTGGACGATCTCAAGAACATCGATCCGAATGGCCTACCGCCTGTGAAGCATGGATGGGTGAGGATTATGCGCAAATGGTGGCCCGTTTGGAAAGGTATCCAGCGGGAGCAGCAATCGAAGCCTAGGGGTCCCCTAGGCCTCGAGGAGACACCCTTCGAGGTCTACGAAAGCTAGGAGTTTGACGAAAGCTTTGATTTATAGTTATCTCTGTCGTACTGTACTGCTTTTCAATCCACAATGCTTGATTCTTTTGCAAACCTGTACTCGAGCACGAAACGACGTTGTCAAGAATTATGCACGCTAAGGCAGGGCATGCTGTTTTGTCAAGGTTTGTGCACGCTAACGCAGGTATTGAGCGTGCATAATCCTTGACAAAGCATCATGCCCTGCCTTAGCGTGCCTAATTCTTGTCTCAGAGGAGCGTAATCTAGTGAGCTACACTCGCATGCTACGTAGGTGGGGCAGTTCCCGGCCATTTTGTTAGGGAAAGGACCCGTGAGAACGGCAAGTACGTGAATAATGAACGAAATGTTCCTTTGATTCATGAAAATACTGAGAAGAACTAATGAATGATAGCTACACCCGCTCAGCCGCTCGAGCGGCCATTTCACGGTTGTTATCAACATATTGGCGCAAATCCATGCCGGTCAGCGCATAACCACAGCCCGTGTACAAATTGCGGATCTTTTCGAGATCTGCATTGATATAGTCGATCGCTTTGCGAATAAATGAGGCAGGGTCGAGACGGGCGTCAGGGTCGTTGTTATTGCGCTTCATCCAGGCCTTCATCATGCTGAAACAGAGCTCAATTGGGTTGAGGTCGGGTGAGTATGGCGGTAAGAACACAATGCGGCAGCCATGTTGGTTCACTAAGAGTTCAGCAACCCTTGGATCATGATGAATTCGACAATTATCAAGCACAATGACACTGTTTGGACCAGGGAATGGCCCAACGATTGGTAGGAGGTCCTCTTCGATGAATTCGACGAATCGGTCAGCATTGAAGGACCCCTGAAAGATCCGCAGCGCCTTCAAACCTTCAATAGTCAATGCCGGCAGCACACTCCAACGTGTCGAATGTCCAAAGACCCTCTCCTGGATAGCGCGGGCGCCTATTGGTGAGTATCCAAATTTCCGTGAACCCGTGCGCTCATCCACGGCTGATTCGTCGAGAAATACCAGCTGCTCTTGAGTATAGTCAGCCATTTCAATGGCATGGTTTGCGCGTAAGATAGGGTTGCGCTGGGCTGCCCGTAAGGTCAAAACCTTACGGGTATATCCAATCTTTTGCAGGTAGCGGGTGACATGGTAGCGCGATAGAGATGTAGCGAATTGATCATTGAGGAACTCAGCACAGTCGTCTTGATACAGGGTAGGGTTTTTGTCGTACAGGTACTTGATTTGCTGCGGTCATTTAGTCATGCCCTTGGTGGTACCCATGAGCAGTAATAGTCTACTTACCGAGCCCAGAAACTCGTCAACAGCCGATTTGCGCCCGCAGGTTGAGTTGCCCTTACGCTCAGTAAGACCTGTCTCCTCAAATCTCTTCACAATTCGGTAAACTGTGCGAGGAGACCTCTCAATGTTGGTCGCTATTTCGTAGACATCCTTCCCAGAAGCATATTGGTTGATTACCTTGTCGCGGTCGACATCGGCACATATCTTCCCAAGCATTTCGACCCTTACTGAGTTTCCTAGACCCTTTTTCGAGCTGTTTGGAGGTGTTTTATGTTACCGTTACAGGGGTCTCGCGCATGTACGAAAATGCGCGTCAAGAATTTTGCACACAGCAGTATGCAGGGCTTTGGTACAACGCTCTCGTATGGATATTCTTAGGGTGAGGTGCACAGCAACCCATGCCGCCAAATTCTTCAATGTGCACTTCGAGAGCAACCCAGAGACCATTGTCCAACCAGCCAGGAGTGAGTTGTATGTACGTCGTACGTCCCCAAAGAACCATAACGATTCATCTATCCGTGATTTTTTGTCGTCAATTACACCCCATTTTGTCATGGCAACGTGCATCATTCGCCTGAGAAAGTCTGTCATAATCCACAGCGGAATTCCTCATGATCCATGGCTATCTTTGGTATAATCCATGATGAGATCGGGCTCAATCCCACGGTTTGTCAACCAAAAGATCATGAGCCATCGATATCGTGCCATGGCCCAGGATGTTAGCAAAAGCTCAGTTGCAAGGAGAAGTCATTCACACCTGGCCTTGACCTAAAATACTTGATGGATGCATGTAAAGATTTGGGAAGATTTTGAACGCGGTGTGCCCTGTGGCTTACGCGTCCGCTTTTCTGCACAGTCATAGAACAGGTATGTGCCAAAGCGCAAACAAAAATGATGCTAAAATCATGACGTGCGTGTGTGAATAAGATCTCCTGGCAATTAAGCTTGTGCTAACATCCTTGATAACAGGACCATAAGGGACTGCTACTGTAGCTATTTGGACACTATGTCACAATGCGATTATCTCTTTTACTTGGTAATCTCACTCTTCTAGCCTAATAACTTTACTGCGCGTTTGTCAATCATTTCTGGCATGTTCCCTGATTTTCATGTGATCAAGCCCGATTTCATCAAGGAGAAGACCTCATATTTTCGAGGATTATGTCAAATCATACCGCGCGCGTGAATCAAGCCGACAAGTCTAAAGTACATGGCCTATGATGGATGTCAAGGAAGCTGAGACCGCAGTGTTTTTGTGGAATGTGCAGGTAGCGACTATACATGTACGCCCTAGAGTACGTAATTCATGTCAAACCGGGGATTAGTCGGGAATTACACATGGATTACGCACTTCATTGTGGAATTACGGACTTGGCAGAAATCCTAGAAATTGTGGACGACTATCCTTGACATTATCAAAAATTAAACCCATTAAGAATGTCATGGATTACAAACCCAGATAAAATCATAGATCAGAAGTAGTCACAGCAAAATACCTGAGAAATTGCCAAAATAACGTCTATTTGTCTTGAGATATTGAAGGCTTGATATACACAACTGTCTTGTTGTATTGAACCCACAGTGGCTTCTGCCATATATAGACATTATTGTAATCACATGATTCGATCTGTATCGCATATGACTACACATAAGGGCAAGTTTCTAAGCAAAGTATGTCATAGGAAGTGTAGGAACAGTGCAAATGCATATGAATCGTAATCCACAATCAAGGAGTGATCTGTGCCGATAGTAATCCATGATACGACAATGGACCTAATCCATGCTGCGATCCAGCAATTTCATACCCATTTCTGGCACAATGGCCTCGGTTTAACGTTGGTCCATGAATCCATGAGCTCAAACTCATGCTTTGATTCAGTATAATCCACGACAAAGCTCGGCGAAATGCTCGATAATGCTATGCATTTACTTCAGGCTTCATACAAGATAGGATTTTGTATTCCCCACGACCCCTTCGAAGATAACCCACTCTGTCACCCCAACCTCGACAGTCTCCTTGATCATGTAGTCATCAACGTCTATCGGTTGGCCATTCAGTTGACAAGGCAAGCCCTGCCGGCCCTACGGGCCCCCCGAATTCGACTGTCACGAATACCTGATTCGTGATTGCGCAAATATGGAATAACATATTCCACTTTCAGCAAAAGCACTCAAATAAGTCATTCGACTTTACGAAAAACGCGAATAAAGTGGGAAAGTATTCAAGCAGAGTGGAATTCCAATTCATGGTACACGAATACCTTATTTGACCTGGAATGATATTCGTTCCAGGAGAATAAGATATCCCACATCAATAAAAACGAGATTGAGGATCAATGATTAAGGGTCTTCGAGGATCAACCCTACGGAGTCGCCCGTTATGGAATTTCCATACTTTTTAGGTGGGGGGATATGAATTCCATACTCCCATTAAGGGTCCGTTATGGGAACGATTATTATTCGAGTGC